GTTGTTTTTAAGAAGATAGATAGGATACCCATACAATCGCGTTGCTGTGTTTTTCGAGGAAAAATTAGTTTTTTAAGACTTGTTTATTACTGTCTATTGTGTCTTTTCAAATTTCAAATGCTTACTTGACAGAATTTTTGAATATGTTACTTTATGTTGAAGCTAACCCTGTATGAATGTATTGTTAATGTTTGTATTCAGCAGTAAAACTGGACTATTGTACCAAGTGAAAAAAAAAACGTGCCATGTCAACCACAGGCAGCCTAGATTCTATGGAAGTTTCTTGGACTTTGAATATTATAGGAGAATGTACGAAAATAAACAAAATATGTTGAGCTATACTAACATTATCATTAGTACAACTCAAAATCTAGAACTCAATAAACAGCTTCCAAATGGCTCTAGAAGTGAACAAAATATAGTCAAACACACAACTTGAACACAAGGTGGGAAATTGTTATTTCATTTTTTTTTTTTTCACACAATGGGATTTAGAACACACTTTGTTTATTTTCATACATTCTCTCATAAAATTCAAAGTTCAACCATCTCTCATAGTCTGGGTGACCTGTGCCATCTAAGGTGATGTGAAACGATTAATGCCGGCCACATGTGAGCTTTGATCACAAACAGTTTTTAACGGCAAAAACAAATTTACCTCTGAGTTAAACAAAAATGGGAAATGGACAGCTAAGAATATAGCAAACAAAGGATCCTGTTCAGTGTTGGGGGATAACTGGTATAAACTTACATGTAAACAAATATATTGAAAACTGATGTAATGTGTGACAGTGTGTGACGAGATCTTGTATATTGCATGGATACACAGAGGTAAACCATTCACTTCAGATAGTAATAAATGTAAACAAAGAAAGCACTTCAACAAAAGCACTTTAACAAAATTATATAAGACCCACTTCGCATAAGCTTGAAATAAAATTTAAACGAGCGTACCGTACCTCGACGTTAACCGACGCTCGGCAACACCTTCACTGATCCGCAAATTCAAATATGTCCTTCGTCGTCCATTCCTTGGGAAAACCACATTTGTTTTGCACCAGCCATGTGGGTAATGAAGAAGCCATGAAATACAGCTAATTGCACAGTGCAGATCGCCAAAAGGACCGAAAAATACCCTCTTAAACTCGGACAACATGACGTGTCGCGCTAAAAAGTCGTCCGTTTGTAAGTAGAATGAAGAGAAAACATGTGATTGTTTCGTTTCCTCTGCGAACTCTGATTGGTCCAAGTTCTGAGTGCGGGAAGTTTGCGCGCCCAGGCGACAGGAAGTGTCGTGTTAATAAATCGATATTCGAGAAGAAACGCATTTCTTTTTTTACAATAGTTTGTCATCACACAGGCTCTAAAAAATAACATAGCGTATAAAAATCAATGACACTTGACCTGAAAAGATGAGGATAGTTTCTACAGAAAAGACAGATTTCAATCTCTTCATTTAAGAAGCTTGTTAGATCATAGTTGGGTCTTACCAAGCTGTGTATTTTAACAGTAGTTAACTGTTTATATCACTTCCTGCATAGCAATGGTGGTAGTAGTGTAAGAAATTTTACTATTAGTTTAGTAATTTCATATACGGTTTTTATGTGTCAACACGCCTTCGCAGGAACCAGCAGAGTGTTGCTGCGGCCGGCGTGTTTCTCTTGTATAAATTTGAATTTTTGAATAAAGTATTTCCTATCTACCTTCATATTCCCGGCGGTAGACCATGTGAGGCAATCACACGGACTTTAGATGAAACCTCAATTAACGTCAACATGGCTGAGACGTCACTGGCCTCACTTAAGAGCCCCCCTGACGAAGACCGGTCCTCCTCCAAATCAATTGGATTGGAGCCCTGGTTTGCGGTTCAATAAACTCTTTTCAACTATGGTTAAACCGCTCATGAATGCGGATACCGGGTGACACGGAGAAAGGACCTGACACTTTAACTGCCTGAACTGGAATGCGATTACAATCAGCACAGTAGAAAAAGGAGTCTTGCGTCGGTAGCGTCACAGCGCCGATGTAACTGAACTGGGCCAAATTTTAATACGTCTGGATAGCACTTAAAGCAATGAGTCGAATTGCGGGCCTGCAGCGCCGGCTGTAGCGCCGCAACGGAGCGTTGATGCCTATTGTGTTTAAAAATATCCAATGGCAAGTGGAAAATAAGTAAATGGAAATGCACACGTATACATACCTTCTGTTTAAATGTTGTGCGCGGGAGCCTGATGGAATTTGCTGGGATGAGCCAATGGCAACTTGAAGGTAGACGAGGCAGGCGAATATAAGTTATCAAAAGTAGGAAATTAGGGGGTGGGGCGAGCAGAAGGGAATGAAAAAATGGATCATATATCCATAAAATACGCACCCTAGGTACTAAAAATAGTAATGAATAAGCGACATAGCTTGCTATCTTGCCTATCTTCTTTTTTTTTTGTAATTTATCTTAAAACCACCAAGGTTGCTGAGTCTATATTGTATATTTTTACTAGTGGAAGGTACCTTTCAACAATTCTTTTCACTTCCATGCAAAACACTAGCTTTGGGTGAAGGAGCGATATGTGCGTGCACTTCAGCGGAGACCATTTGTGAACTCCGTCAGACGTACTAAGTTGAAGTAGATAATACATCCTTGACATCAGCTTGAGATGTAAGTTCTCGTTCTCTAAATTTCATCCTTTTTGCTTTATTATACTGATAATACTTCGCAAGTGCACGTGAACTACAACGAATTTGCCTTCACAACGGCTTCAGCCAGTTCAGTTAACTGCACGTTGTTCTCGCAGCTTGCAACGCTATGGGTACTTAATTGCTAAAGAGCTGAAAGAAGCAGAAGATTTAGAGACCTAACTACAACAAGGCTATAAGTGCAACGTTATTGATATGAAAATGATTTTTTGTTCTAAGGCAAATGAAAATGAATTTCACAGTAAATGCAAGATCGAAATAAATAAGTAATGTGAAAGTAGACGGGACATAAGTTACTCAAAAATATGAAAACTTGGAACCGACTTTTTTTGTTTCTGGGGTCGAAGAATGAATCCAAAACGATCTGAATTTCCCATGTCTCTCAAAGAGACATAATCCACATGATTTTCCAATTACAAAGGTACTGTTGTTTCCGTTGAAAAGAAACCTTACAAAAGGCACTACATACATACAAACTGCCGGTATGTGATTTAAGTGTCAAAATCTTCTAGCATGCTCAAGGAGGCCCACTAATCGGGATACTTAATTCCACTTACTGTTGTTTCCGTTGAAAAAACTTCCGAATGCAAATAAATTATATTTAACTCAAGTTACCCTTTTGACACTTTATCTCTATCTTTAGCCCAAGACAACAAGCACCAGATAGAGAGGCAATGCTTATGCAATGGTGAGAGTGGGCCTGGGGCAGGTACTGGTACCACTTTCATTCTCTTTCGGATGCCATAAAGAGGGGTGGTGCAAATGTGGTGCGGGTGGTCTCTTTGATACTTGCTGTAAACACCGTGGAAAATGAAGAGCTGGAAACTGACAGATGAACTCACCGAAAATGGAATTGTAGTACTCACTCAGCTTACCGTGTGTGTATTTCACAGGAAATATGAATAAAAGAAACTTTTATTTTGCCCGTACTTTGTTTTCAAGGACTTTATGTCGCTATTATATATATCTTCCCGAGTTCAAGTGACAACTGTTACTAAAAATGTCCCATTATGCTCAATGCTTCACAATATTAGGCTTATTCTTTATCCTCATCGAATTTGACTATTATGCCCAAATAAAATCACTATTATACTTCATTATGGATTGACGTAACGCAGTCCCTACCATGTTCTTTGAGAGAACTACCGAAAACTTCGTTCAAACAAAAGATTTAACCTAATGAACTATAGACCAATCATTACTTAAGTCAGAGCTATTGAAAACACTTTTCAATTTTTCAGTGTTGTAAATTCCACAGTTCTTGCAGAAAACTACAGATTTCCAAGGCATTCATTTGACCTTACCCAGGTGTGAGTGATATCTTAGTTTCTCGAATATTTCGAAAGCACTTTTCCGTTCACTAATGCCATCAATTATGACCAAGATGATATCAACAAATCAAAAGTAGAGTGTCAGCTGTTTAGCACAAGTGACCACTCTTGCTTTTATCTACCTTCTTCGGCCACGCAAACGTAATCTTGGCACATACCGCAATCTTACGACGTTCGACGTTCGTGGGAAAGGAACGCGTGACGAAAAATACGTGTATCACAGAACCTTGCGAAACTCAGAAGGTGGCCCGAAGAAGTTGGGATGGGTTGGGAGAGAAAAGAGGAGAGTCGGTGACTGTGAAGAGGGGAAGAGTTGAACACAAGCCGTGAAATTAGAAGGCGAGTCTCGTTTTGGTTGGAGTGAATTTGAACTCAGTCAACTTGCTTCAAATGAGGAAGGGATGGGATCTAGTACTAGTGTGTTGCTAAAATTGTTTTGTTTGCCAGAATAGCAAAAGTAGCTTTGGAAGCGGAAATGATTCTCGCAGTTGAATAAACAGCCTAAGCGGTTGGAAAAGAACCTGAAAAAATCCAGGCTTGACCGGGAATCGAACCTTGACCATTGCGATGACCGGACATAACGCTCAATCCATTAAGCTAATCAAGCCAACTGGAGAGCAGGTCATTGTGAAATGAGTCATTGCATATATTTCCATTCATGCCAGAAGTATAGCTTTGTTACTTCTTAATCCCAAGTGACAGGCATACAAATAAACCACAAAGGCTTTTATTAACACTCTTGAAAAGAAAAATACTTTAATTACACTATTTACAGTTCTTAACACCTGTATAGATGGCACTTCATAGAAGCACGAGAATCAATACATATTGAAAAAAGGATTACAACCTATAAAACCCAGAGTCAATTTTGAGAACTTGTCATAGATTTCTAACATTTCGGTTTGAAAGCTGATACCCATAGTTATAGCATTAATAGAAGCCTCTTGTCAGCGGTTTTACGTAACACCATCTCTACCATTTTTCTGCAGTAAGTGACATTTGTGATATTATCTGAATGTTGTTTCCTCACCAAAAAAGGTTCAGTGGCATAAAAATGCTCTCTCTTAAGATGGCGGGAACATTAAAGATACTGTTACATAAAGTGGCATACACACGTTCTTAACACAAACAACCTGAGGAAAAAAAAAGAAAGATAAGAATATCGTATCAAACATAAGTTAAAGAGACTAACACGGAGACTGGCCGTTTAACGCAAAACACGAAACACAAGAAGGAATGTTTTATTACATACCGTAAATCCTCTATTAAGCCCCCCTCCCTCTCAAATAAGCCCCCTACCTCTAATAAACCTCCCCCCCACCCAATTCAGGGGAAGAAAGTTAATAAGCCCCCTCTCTATTAAGCCCCTCCCCCTTCCCTCCTCTAATTATTCTTCACTAGTAAAATATAGACTGCAGACTTGTGGGCTGATCCATGAGGGTGGTTCATTTACCAACTGGAAGTCCGGATTTGATTCTGATCCTCGGCTGCATGACCTCCAACCTTCATGTACTTGACCTTTTCAACTTTGTGTTGTAGTTATTTATGGAGAACTGATACTATCGTCTTCCCTAAATTAAATAATCCCCCCCCCCCCCCCAAATATAGACTGCAGACTTGTGGGCTGATCCCTGGGGGGTGTTCATTTACCAACTGGAAGTCCGGATTTGATTTTGATCCTCGGCTGCATGTCCTCCAACCTTCATTTACTTTCCCTTTTCAACTTTGTGTTGTAGTTATTTATGGAGAACTGATTCTATCCTCTTCCCTAAATTAAATAAGCCCCCCCCCCCCCCGCTTCTCAAATAAGCCCTCCGTCTCTATTAAACCCTCCTCTAATGGGCTTGAAAGAGGATTTACGGTATCCATTAGCACAAAGAGATAAAAAAGAAAACTAACAAACAATTGACGAAGCTCGAAGTGCTAGATACTTTTACGAAACACTGAAAAGGTTTCGATCGTTTGACATAACTTTACCAACGAAACGAGCAATACAAAAATGAGAATACATGTAGTGGTGGTGGTGGTGATGATGATGATGATGATGATGATTATTACCACAACAGTATAATTTTTTATTCTTACCTCGGATTGTCTTGTCTTCCCTGAAAAACCAAAGCTCTGACAAAGAATTCCTGAAAAAAAAAATTCTCAGATCGAAAGCTAATACAATGGTCCAGCGATTCTGACTTGTGAAGAGATGACAGCTACTTATAACAGCTTTTGAAGCTACCCACCTGATGAGAACATTTTATTAACACCAAAGTCCGACCACTGAACACGGATACAGTAACGCACCTGCAAATAAACGAGGCTTACACCATTATCCTATTTTCCAAGGGTCTCTACTCTTTCATTTCCTAAGAGGAAGAGACCCTGGTAAAAGCAGAGACCTTTAGATTCTGATGACTACGAGGAAGAGATTTGTTAAATACTTAGTGGTGCGCGCACAAGAAACCGCGTCATTTTGGCCGGAAATCGTGATAGCCATCGTCATTCTACTACGGGCTTTAGCGGACTGTGGTAGTGGCGGGAGCAATTCATCGACGGTTAGAGGTTTTATCATTTTGCGATCGGGAAAGGGCTTAACCTCATTCAATACAAAAAAACGTGCTAACATTTATAGGTGAAAAAAAAAAATTCACAATGAAGCTTTCCGGGATGTACATCTTTCTTAGAATACGAGAAAACTGGAACTCTTGTTAAATCTCGTACTCGTAGTCTTCCTCGTCCTCGAATCTAAGGGTCTCTAATGCTGAATAAGTACGGTTAAATAGAATTTAACCTGTTATGGGGGGACAATAATAGTCTTGTCGGCACCGTTTTCAAGCATTGCTAGCGTGATAACCAGCGTTTAGCGTTTTCTAGCGTGTGTAGCGTACGTAGCATTTGTGGCATTCATGTGGTTGTTGAATCCCTCGGGCGGGCCCTTGTCCAGCAGTATTCGAGGTCAGCGCATACAGTTATTTGCGTTGTGCTCGATGTTGCGATAGCAGACCCTGCGCCCCTTCTCACCTCCATTTACAACTTGGGCGTTAATACATATAATCAATCATATAATCATATAATCATCTCAGGTTAAGCGATTTTCGTATGACCTTGAAATGAAAACGCGAACAACATAGAAGCAACAAACGAACGGACATAGAGCGACTTGATTGGTTTGTCGAACGAAAACAAACGCGCGTGGCTTTTGGTTGGTTAATCGAACGCTCGGTTGAAAAAACTTCATGCCTGAAGAACTTTCTAGAAATCAACCGATACTTCGCTTTTACGTTATACTGCAACACGATTGGCCAATCGAACAATACCTTCCCCATATTAGGGTTTTCTTTCGCGGGAAACGAAGAATCCATGTTTTGATCTTTTCACCCATTGGCTTACAAAACAATAACAAACACTTACCAAAACTACTTTTCAAGGTCATACGAAAATCGCTCTATCACTGAAAAACAACGAAAGCCACGCAATGGTGAAGTAATTTTTATTGCGCCGTGCTGCGATGGTGTCCTAGCCTTTAAGTCTGTGGATGAGGTTTTTGAGTGTGCAGTACTTTCCTGTGTACTGTCATGATGCTTTACAGTTGTAACGTTATGATTGAGCAGTGGTTGAAAAAAAAAACGTTTTCAATTTTAAATGGGTCCGACATTTTTCTACATTAGGGAGAGATGATGTCACCCACCTTTCTATTAAACCTCTAAACAAATTACTGTTTTAACTCAAAGAAGAAATATCTTTACCTCTCTATCGTGACGCATGGAAAATGTGTGACGTTCACAAGCTCTAAACGACAGCACGGGATCATTGGGCTTCAACCTCTGTCAAGGTGAAAAAGAAGAGGAGGTAAAGAGCAGCTAAAGTTAGACGGTTACGTTTCTTTATAAGAACAGATTACTTTGAGGTGAGGCTCAGCCAAAACTGAACTTTCTTAGCCCCCATTAAAATGGTGAAAAACTGCCGCGAGCGTTTGTAAGAGAAAAAAGTTGACCCCTTTGCCCAAATCAACAATACTTGCGCATGCTGTTACTGTCTAGGGTAGCGCTCGCGCATGCTCTGATTGTCTTGCCTTGACCGAGTTGACCCGGCTGAGTGTTCCGAAGTGTTTACAAGGACAAAGGTTTGCCCAGCTAGGAGGGTGACCCTACCATCACAAAAGGGTGACCCGACTGCGTGGATCACCCTTCTAGCCAAGCCAACTAGCCAAGACACCTTGCATGGGACCTGTGAGTCCCGTTCGTGCCTATTCCCTCTGGGCAGCCTGTGTCCAGAAAAGCTGGTAAAACAAAACAAACAAAACTTTTTGTTTCTCATGTAAACGGTTTGGCAAGTTTTATAAGAAAATGTAGAAAGAGTTTGAGAGCCTTGCGAAAAAAGCCAGAACAGACCTGAAGATAAAAGGAGTATTTAGAACCAGTGTCGTCCTTGGTCGCTTTGACTTCAAAATGAAAACCATGTAGAGACATAATTTCGGAGTGGTACTTCAAATGCTGCAATGAAAAAGACAAAGAAAAACCATCGGTGGGCATTGTATCAAAAACTATGATGACACTCATTTGCAAACTTTTCACGGGCGCTTGTTTAAGGGCAACACTATAGAAAACGTTACAGTGAAACCAGATAAAGTTTTCTTACAAACGTAACGTGGTTCACCTTAGCAAACACCCGCGAAACCTCAAGATGTGTGGGGCCGGGGTTACTTCTTCAAGAGAGTATCCTTAATCTTAACTCTAGGCAGCATATAAACAAGAAAAACAGGATGTTCAGCTCTTCTGAAGACTGAAGGGTGGACGGGCATTCAGACAGGTAACATTATCCACTCTCAACCCTAACTGACATTATCTGAAACTCCATCAATTTATCATTGAAATTTTGATTGCTCTATAGATGATGCAGATAATGTAATACGGACAATGGCCTCCTGAGAAAAAAAGCTGTTTTACTGCAAGAAACATTCGACAAAATTTGGTCGTTATCATCGGGGAAAGATAGATGCTCCGTGCCATTTCCCTCCATCACTGAAACAAAAAACAAAAGAAAAAGGAAAAGAAAAGAAGGGGAACCTAACTGAATGAAAAACCAATGACTGAACAAATTTCTAACAAATCACGATTATTCCTCATTTTCAACCATGGCTGGTGTGTTAACGACTAGAGCTTCGCAGGAGCACAACATAAGAAACAAATAAAAGAAAAATGGACTACCTCCTCGAGAATGAAACCCTTGCGTATGGCTCCATGCTCAAATCTCGTCATTAAAGACATGTCGCCTCCACCTTGCAGCTGTGACGAAAAAAGGGAAAAAGAAAGGAGCAACATTACAACAACATAAGTATGTGGAGTTTGACTGCCCGGGTGAGCGTAGTCCTAAATAGGAACATTGTTGACAGTGACTGACGTTTCTACAACCTGTGCGGCAGTTATCTTCAGAGACAAAGTGAGTTGTATCACGTCAGTTGATGGTACGTTGTATTTAACTCTGGTTATTGACCTGATTGGTCAGTTTAACGTAAAAGACGCGATGTTATTGGTCGTCTGTTAGTTAAGCCGTGATGTTATTGGCTCTGAGGGCTCTTATCAAATGGGATTGGTGCGTTTCGATCCATCTTTTCTCCCAACTGGACGGTCGCTCATAGCTTGTCAAATTGTAAGTTGCCAGCCATTCTATCTTTGTCAGTTTTGCTTGAGTCCGTCAATAAGTCGTTGGCACGGTACCGGTAACTTTTGACTAGGATTCAGTTGCGTTTTTTTCTAAGTTAGAAATAGTAATAAATAATAAAAGGCTGGAAAATAAAAATAACAAATTTCCCTTTTCTGCCTTGTTCACCCCGGGTCTTAATCCAGCCCATAATACTAATCCTTTGTTAGATCAGAAATTAAGACACGTACCGCGTGGTAATGTTGAGCATAGACCCGAAGCAGCCATGACTGAGGAACAAGGTTCATCTTCTGTAGTTCATCTAATTGTGAGCCTGATAAAAAATGAAGTTGACAGAGTGTGAGTCTACCTTACGCCCTTTAAATGGATCGTTTCTACATTCCTCTGAACAAAGATACCGACTCGATGGCTGGGGAGACAAGATACTCCGTCTTGTTTCATTGTGTGAGCTCGCTGGAGGGGAAAGCTGGAACGTTAACTTATGATAATAGATAACACACACTGTTCTTCAAAAACAAACCAAAAAGGAGAGATTATTTAAATACTGTCAGAGATCTCAAAAGAAGGAATCCTCGAGAATCAAGAACTATCATTGCTTTAAGAGATGACTCCCAAAAAAGCTTGCTTTTCTTACTGCAACCACGAAAAATAAGTAATCAGGCAAGTCCTTTTAAATACAAACCCAGGTTGAAAAAAATAAATAGTGAAGGTAGTTTGGCCAATGTGGTAAAAAAGGCATATTTTCAACCTACTGTCTGTGATTCCTCCCAGTCTGATAGTCCTAAATAAATTCACATAACCATGACCCTAAAAAGATAAGACAAAAATATACACATACAGAGGTTAGGTGCTGTAAACAACTGTTTCTACAGAAGTTGATTTCAGAATAGACCTTCCATGGTTTTTTTCAACTTTTGATATGGACAAGTTTGGGAAAATCCGTTGACATCAATGGAAAAAAATAGTAAAATTCGTAAAATTGCCAAATTTCAAAGTGATTTGTTAAAAACAACGACGATATAGCTCCTGATAGTCGCGAAATTTTACAGACGTTTGTATGTTGGGGCGCACAGGCCAACGTACCTCCGTCCCCCCCCCCTGCTCCCCCCCGCAACCTCTACCAAATGCATGATGATCTCCGGCCCACCACCCCCCTGCCACCCCACAAACGCCCCCCCCCCCCCCCCCCTTCCTTCTCCCATACAAACGTCTGTAAATTTTCGTAGCTTTGCAGAGCTACATCTTCGTTCGCTTAAGACGTATCGCTTTCAAACTTGGCAATTTTACTAACTTTAAGGCGCTCTTTCTAGTGGTGTCGACGGATTCTCCCTAACTGGCATCTGAAAAGTTGAAAAAACCATGTTGAGGGGTCCTCTATTACTTAAGGCAGCTTTGAGTGCTTTTAATGATTGGCCTTTTTTTAACTTCAGGTGAGACTGGGTCGGTGCTGTGCCGAATTGCACTATGGGATTGTTTTATGGGGTCGAATGTTCACCGGCGAAAAATGTCTGATTGGTCGACGAGCGACCACGTGACATTGCCAAATCCAAAATGGCGGCAATACCTGCATCGTTTGTTTATTCCAGGGGAAAGAAGATTAATTGCGGCTTAATATGAGTTGCAAAAGCATATACGGATATTTTTAGAATAGCCGAGACTTTTTATTATCCTTTTTCACTTATTCCTATGGGATTCGTTCCATGCGATGCTCGCGTTTTGGCCGGTTTACCGGATTCAACTTTGGACTCTTCACGATCACGAAGGACAACAATATTTTTAATGAAAGCCGGGTCACTGGAAAGAACGGTCTTTGTTCACAGCTCAATGTAGCGGAGAAATAAGACACTATGGGTCCTTTGAAATTGCTTAGACACCTGGAAGTTCTCTTATTTTTTTTACCGAAAAGGTAAAGCAAAATTATGTTTTCTCCAGCAAGACTTCTAATTTATATAAAGAAGCTTGAACATGAGCTAAATGAACTGTAGTGTCTGCACTCATGTTCTTTTCATTGCAATTTTAACACCAAAACTTTAAAGCCGTCAATGACCGAGCAGGTTCTTTTTTTCTTTTCAATGGTTACTGTGCTTGATCTGAATAAGATAATGAAATTTTTAAAATTAGGGGAATACTATATATAAAAGAAAAGAACTTTGATTGGAAATATATGTTAGTTGGAAAAAATACTGATTATACTGTATGATCTTTTTACTATATAGGTTAGAAAAGTGATGCGTAGTCAAAAGTGCTACAAAGGAGTAAAAACCCAGATCTTTCCATTAATAAATTTTATTGGCACTGTCAGGGACATATACTTTGCTTGAGTACACATTTGTTTGTCAAAATATCTTGTTTGTGAAGCTGCACTTAGTTTGATTCAGGATCAATCAATCTTTTCTGAAGAGAAATGAACAATAAAGTATGTCAGATACTCATGAGATACTTCAACACTACCTTAGCCAACAACTAAGAAGAAACTCAACTTCATATCAAAAAAACAAAGTGAAAACTACTTCACTGTGAAACAACAACCCCTTCAAATATATACCACATTAAATTCATGCAAAATGTAGACCTGATGAGAAGTTAAAAGAAACAAACGATAATTACAATGAAACTATAAAGTTTGAATGAGATCTGTATTTGAGTGTTCTCTCATAATTCTGACAGAAGATCAAAATTGCAAACTGCATATCCTACACAACTGCATTCATCAATATGATCCAACTAAAATTTTATTATAAAGACTCAAAGTTTACTCCAAACTTGAAACTCCTGTAAGTTTAATTTGGGAGGATTATTATTTTTTTTCTTGAAAAGAACTTTTGAATACTTCATAGCATGTTTACTCTATCAATCATTCATAACTTTGCGCCAAAACAAATTAAGCCGGAAACGATGGACAGAAAAGCAAAAGCATTCACATTTAATAATATTACCCTGTTCATCTCCTTCCAGGATTCAATTTCCAAACAAAGAAGCACCCCCCAAAGAAAGCCTTGTGTGCAAAAATTTAGCACTAAAAAATTGTATACGGAGGAAATCATGTCCGTAAGTGCGGTTCCTAACGAAGTAACTCGTTGTGTGGATAATCCCAAGCCAAATTTATGAGCAAAATAATCTAAACTTCGATCCTTCAATTATAAAATTGCAAGCCTAAATGTACAGAAGCTGTGCACATTGTAAACTGAATTTTTTCACAAATCATAATGTTGCTGGACCTATCGAACGGTCCAAGACGGTCTAAGTGTTTTAATGAAAACACTCACATTTTCTCATTCGACACTGAGTTCGCATAAAACTCAAATTTCTATATGGTAACATACAAAGCTGTAATAACGTGCAACAACAATGAAATTTGCATCGATCGACAAAATCACGTTTCGAACTACGCACTTTAGAAAACTGCCGCAACCCGGCCGCTTTCGATCCACTAGCCACAAGATAATTTACACAGCAAGACAATCGCTAAGAATATTTCTTTACCTTCTTTATAATTTCCTTTTGTACCGAGTGACACGAGATTAAGTTGAACCAAGCGTAAGCGTGCGGAGATAAACCATCTAAATATAGTTTTTCCAGGAACAAAGTACACCGCTAAGTTATATTAACAAAACCAAGCCCAAAAATGTCTGTCCCTCTACTTTTTTTTGTTGAATCCGTGATAAGAAGCCCGATCTTAACAACAAAAACATTTTGGATAGCATTGTAATACGCTCTTCGATCAACAGTCGAATGTTATCGAATGTTAGAGTCACAATCAAAGTCAAATTTTGACACAAAAACGGAATAAACATTTAACAAAACTGTCGCTTCCGTGCAACTCGGTACAAGCTAATTTATATACCAAAACAAAGCCCAATAATTTTTCTTCCACTACTTTATAATTTCTTTTTGTACCGAGTTGCACGGAACATGCAGTAAACAAAAAGAGCAAAAATTACCCACCTTTTCGGCTGTCTTCCACATGCAAACCAGCGATCTCAACGTCAATAACACTTAATCAGACCATGCCAAAGCGATTTTTCGCCAGTTTCAGGACGCTATATTCTCTAGAGAACACACTTACGTCAAAACTCTGACCAAAATATTTTTTGATCTCATACAGTGGCAAGAAATTGCAAAGCTATCACTGCCAAAAAAAGCTACCATCGCTTCTTTCACCTGAACAACATTTCGCGCGCATTTTCGCCTCGGAGCCAATGACATTACCCGAAATCGATCACGTGTCATTTTTAGTAGAGCATGCGCAGACATTTTTCGCCGGTGAAGGGTCGAATGTTGACCCAGTTTACTGCGCAAGTGCTAGAGTGCAATAGACCACGTTCAATATACTAAACTTCTAACAAGGCTCCAAGGCTTTAAGGTCAAAATTGCAAACTTTTCACGACTCCATTGTCTCGCAATTCCCAGAAGAGACTTGAGCACAAAGAAAACCAAACCAAATATAGAAAAATGACCAGAAAGCCTCGCAGTCAAGGTACAATTTTAATTATGATCGAACGTAGGCTATTGAACTTTTCCACGAAACCCAGCATCTTTGCACGCGCTTAAGGACAGATGGGTAAATTGATGTCACGTGCTTTCTCAGGGGGCAAACAGGCACTGAAATTTGTCAATTCAAGAAACTGCGGTCGGGTTTGTTTATTCCAGGCAACAGGAAATGAAGAACTTTTTGTCTTAAAGACGATAATGTCCAGAAAGTTATGGATAGAAGTGATCATTGTTACTTTTTTGGACGCAGTAGCGACCATAGATGTCCTCACAGCAAGCAATAATGACGTAACACTTGGCGAAAGTCGAACTGTTCATCTTGCATGACTATTAAATGGTCGTCATGTTTTGAGAGAGTAAATAAACTAGACCGCGATTACTCGTATAGGCAAATGTTAAAACTTGTTTGTGCTCCGATCAAATACCACGTGACATAGCTTTTATTCCATCAATCTTTAAACACAGGCAAAGATTTTGGGCATCGTGAATATGGATTATTCGACACGACACCGGCCCAGTCTAAAAGGCAACCTCAAAAAAGGCATTAGATAACTCCCAAGAATGAAAGCCACAGTCCAGTTCCTGAAAGACCGATCAGAGCAAATCCAGGATTAAAAATTAATTTTAATCCTCGATTTCACTTAACTTCCTGGAGATTGATTAAATATTATTATCTTATTATATCATCATATCTGCATATTGAGTCAAGGCTCAATAATACTTTCTCATCTCCAGTTACATATTCCTAGACAGGAAAACTTCGCCAGTTAAATTTGCCTTAATCCTGGGTTAGACGTATCCATCTTTCCAGGAACCCAGCCCAGATCTTCATACAGACAATTTGTTTTACTTTTATATAGCTTTGTTCATGACATCATGTTCTGTTTGTGGCTTTTCTACAATTCTTTAAGAGTCTTTCTAGAGATTAAAGCAGTAAATTGGATGTTTGAGTCAGTTTTACGATCATTTTGGTAAGTGCCGAAATTTCCTTACCTCTTCTCTTTCTAAGAATGAAGTAGCCTTTGGCAAACTAGGAAAGAAAAAACAATGAAGGGGTTAATATAATTTCAAAAGGAAAGATGGTGCTATGCCGATTTGAAAGCACAACACAAATTATGGGTTAAGTAAAAGATTAAAAGGCTGCCATTTCCATAGGCAAAATATTCAGACTTCAGCATAGAAAAGTACAACGTTTTAATCAAAATGAGGTCAAATTTCCTCTTCTTTTACGTGGTCTACTTCACAGCACTTTGTATTCCACTCCCACACCTACCTCTCACGCCTCCCCCCCACTCCCCCCCCCAAAAGAATGCCTCAGCATAGGGAAGGATGTAAGTCTCATTAGTAATTGAAAATACCTCGTGTTTTTATTATTCCCTATAGCCTACAACTCCTGTAGTAGGGAGTTTAAGCAAAGACGTTTTTAAGCGACGCACGTCAACCGGAAGTGAGGCCTTCTCTCTTTTTATATGCCTTGACTTTAACAAATTTGTATTGCTAAGTTTCTTTTCTCTTGTAAAGGCGATTCACCCAAGAGTTTGAACCAAACCACTGTCCAACGATGTAAAAAGCCCATTTTCTGGTTGGCGTCAATCGCTCAAAAACGCTGTTGCTTAAGCTCCCTGGTAATTAGGGTCACGGTAACCGCCTGGGTCTTTTATGAACTGTCACGTGACACTATCACGCCGATCCCTCCTATCCAACACAATTTTGAAGTACGCAAAACCTGGCCTCATATAATCTTACCTCATGAACCAGGTTACCACAGTTCCCCACGAAGGCATCAACTGCACAAATCAGAGACAAAAAGTTAGATACAGAAGTTCGAATTGTATGTGTATCTCGCATAAGGTGGTACAAAAATGGAACGGTTTCAACGGAAGTAATTTATCCCCTCGTCATTTGGTTTCTTTGGGAGCAGTTAGGGCTGGTCTTCATATGACTGCTATGACCGTTAAAAGAGTCTGACGATCGGTCTAACAGACTAACGATCTAACAGTCTAATGATCTAAGGGTCTAACGGTCCAACAGTCTAACGATTGGTGGGTGCAATATCAACGTTCACAGTCATGCAGAAAAAAGCCTTGGGGTGGAAATGAAGTCGATCTCAGCTCAACAAACAAAATGGCTTCAAACAATATGTTCCTCAAACTGCTGCTTCGATCAAATCACTTCTGGAACCACTGGAATGCAACATATTAAATCTGAATGCTGTACGTAAATGTAGCCAGCGAATAATGCTATCTCTCCTCGCCTTTGGCTGCTGAGGACGTTTCGGCGAGGAGCAAGAAGAGACAGATGTATTCGGAGGCTAATAGTACCGTCACACAGAGCAGAACAACTGAGTTACAGCGCAATAAAATGTCAATGTACATGTATACGACTTTAGGACTTTCAAACAACTCAGTCAAAGATATGGACACCGTTAGGCCAGTATCAAGTGTCCGTTTAAGATGGGTGTCCCCTTATAGGAAACAGAAAAAATGATTATACAGACAGAAACCTATAAGACAGACATCTCTCCAAAACGGACACCTAGAGATGGCCCCAGCTCTTCTATATTTGATTCCTTTTGACCCTTCAAGACAGGTACCTCTCCAAAACGGACACTTTGTGCTTGTCTGAGCGTCCGATAAAGAGTTGACTGTAGAGCAGCTGGCCGACCAACTCTAGGTGTCCGTTTTGAAAGCTTTCCTACGGTCCCATAATATCCCGTACCAAAAAAAAAATCAAATGAAAGCAAACACGCTGTTTAAGTCCTACCTGCAAATTAGGGTGCTGTTGAAGAAAGATCCAGTATGTCAGCAACTTGTATAACGAATATTCACTCCAAGTAAAAAGCCTAAAGAACGAAAATAACTATTATATCCAAAAAGAGGACACGGTGTTTAGTTGCATGTTAAAAACTGAAAAGAGAGATTTGGGAAAACGTGATTTAAATCGAGAAAACAGGGAGCTTAAAGAGCTTAACGATACCCACCGTTCTTTTGGTCATCGTGACTCGTCATTTTAGAGCACCAAAACATAAAATTGTGCGCAGAAAGAATCAACAAAAATTTGCTTCGTAAGCGTTTAGATTTGAAGTCAAACTTTGCACCAATCCTGAGTTATCTTAATCTTGTTATGAACAATGGGATCAGAACTCTTACCACTGTGCTTGAGAAACCAGTGGCAACGCAGAGAGAGACTTTTTTCCTTATCCTGCTTTCTTTGCACACAGCTGTATTGGTGATTTTTTCATAAAAATAGAATTACGTATTACGTTAGAGGGCTGCGTTGTTCAAAGCGAGTTAAGATAACCCAGGGTTAGTGCGAAATTTGAATTCTGATACAAAAGCTTAAATAGCAAATTCGGTTTAATTTCTTTGGTCTGCAGTTTGGTGATTGGATGCTCCAAAAAGATATAGCAAAAAATTTTCTGAGAAAATGCTTTTAAACAAAAGAAAAAGAAACCCGGATTTAAAATTAAACCCTGGGTTAGCGCTAATCGGCCTTCGAACAACTGGACTCAGCGGTATATCAAAATTTTCCAGGTAGTTTGCCCCAACACAACAATTCCAATCCCCTCACCCCCAAGTTGCCGAACTGAATCTCTTATTCACGCAGCCTAAAACAACACTCTACTCCTGTAGCATGCCGACAGAAAGCCTTTTCACTTAAACTCGCAAGATATATGAGAAACATGCTTTCTATTGTATAAATTTACAAAGTCAACTTACTTGGCAGATTTTAAACACTTCTCCAGTAGATCCTGTGGCAAGTGACTCAAAAATATTTGAACTGAAAGCTGAAAGTAAACGTCATATGTAATGTACAATAAATTATTATGTACAGTATGCAATGTAATGTACAGTAAATTATATTTTTATACTTTCAGAGTAGTTCTGAGTAGTATTCCCGGCAACAATAGAAAGTATTTTCCTTTACGGCAGCGAAACATGGACTCTAACCAAAAGTACAGAAAAGCAAATTGATGGTACCTATACTAGAACGCTTGGCACAGCACTAAACGTTTCTCGGAGGGACCATATTACAAATGAAGATCTGTACGGTCACCTTCCAAAAGTTTCTAGCTAGATCAGGGAAAGAAGAATGAGGGTAGCTAGGCATTGTGTTAGACACAAAGAGGAGGAGGAGGCATCGCAGCTTGTGTTGTGGCAGCAACAACACGGAAAAACTAAGAGAGGAAGACCTAACACCACGTACATACACACTTTGCATGAGGACACCGGGTTCGACACTATCGGAGAACTCAGAACGGCAACGCTAGACCAAAGAGACTGGAGAGGGAAAATCCATGTTGTCCGAGCTATCGCGTGACCAAACTAACTAACTATAATAAATCAAATACAGAATTTCACACGTCTACTGAGTGAAAGCTATCATACTTTACCTGTGGTATTAAATTGAGTTCCAGCCACCTCTCACATGCTTCCACAACCGAGCTTTGCTTGTACTAGATTGAAAAGGAAACAAAACATTACTGTCACTATGCCGTATACCTTTAACATATAATTATCACTCAAAATACATTCTGATGGCATCAAAAGATCACAAATTCCTCACGGAATGTTCTTTTTCGAGATACATGAAAAAAGCATTTACTTCGGGGAACGGTGCCGTAAAATCCGCCGCCTGGTTAGCTCAGTGGAGAGTCTCACAGCACTTTCACTGATTTGTATTATTCGAAAGACTAAGCCCCGGTGGTGTAGCCAACCTTGACAGGTTGTGGGATTGGGTAGGGATGGCACCTCCCATGGAACCTGAATCCCGTTCCTGCACATTCCTTCTGGGCAGGCCTGTGTCCAGAAAAAGCTGGTAAAAATTAAAACATTAAATTAAATCGATGCAGCATTTAGGAAATCACCAGGACACCCTATTTATAATGGAAACTTGTATGGGAAAATGGAAAATACAACTTCCACGATTAGGCTCAAACATTGCGTAGATAGGAGCTGCATGGACACTTCACAAAATTAAATCCTCCAAATGAGGGAAAACTGGTCTTTTCCAAGTGGAGGCGGCGGTTTTTAAGTAAGTATCCATAGCCGATAAATACCAATTATTTTTTATTTTCAAACAAATCGTATCCAAAACAGCACAACATTAAAATAAGTTGCGATAAAAACCTTTTATACAAAAAAGTCGCAGAATAACGTATCATAAGGTCTCTGAGTAACATCAATAATCTTTAAAAATTAATAGATCTTTGGGAGGAAGACCAGCAGGGTATTTAATTATGTTTTAAATTTTCCAACAACTTTTAGAACCTACATGTGTAGTCCTTGATTGCTGGAGTTCTGCAAAAACCGTAAACCAATAAAATATGTTTTTTTTTTACCTGATAAGAGGTAGGAGAGAGACCTCTACCAGTCCCCGACAAGTTTCCTATCACGCATGCGCTAGCGTTTCCTTAAAAATCAGTGACGTTTTGGTCACGTGTGACATACCTCACAGAACTGGTTTGCGCGCGCGAAAAATCAGCTGACAGCACTGGCGTGTACAGAGGAATTTCTCGCGAAGTGAGGAGATCAGTTTATCTCCTTCCTTTCATTTTTCTCTCGCAGTGAGAGATCTCTGCTAGCAGGGAAATGTTTGTTTTAGCTCATAGTAAATTTGAATAAAGTAATAATGACGTTAAAGACCAAGTAGCAGTTCAGTTTTTCTCTGATTTGAAGCCCTTCAAATTACATGTACGTACCTTAGAACCTGAAGCATGAAAGGCACAGACTGACCAAGCAGCAATGGATTTTAGCATAACATCAGAACACCTGCAACAATTATTTCAAATCTCTTTTAGATACGTTGTAAAAAACAGTAATTTTAATTCAGTGTATCTTCCATCACGAGCAAAATAATGCTTTAAACCCCTAACCTCGGTATAAATGAGCTTGAAAATTCAGTAAAACTACAGCTAACACAACCAGAATTTGAAACTTCACCTAAGAGATTTTAACCACAAGGAGCAGAAGAGTTGGGTCAGACTATGATTGTTTCTCATTGCTAATACATATTGTTAGTCTTCCAGAGCTCTGCCGGCCAACTGCTCTGTAATATAAACGTGACTAATCATAGCGCCAAGGTCCGATGGGCAATGTCCTCTTAAACTTCATTCGCTCTAATAGCATGTAGTGCTACTGCATGTACATGTACATGTAGCTTTAAAACTTACTGGACAATTACAGCAAAATGTGAAAAAAAAAACTGAAAACAACAATTCGTGAGTGAATACAAAAGCATAGGTTCATGTATGCTTATGGTAATTAGGTTTAAATTCTTACAATTTTTCCAAAGATGTAAATCCTAAGAAACTTGCAGCAGCCAAAACACCGACAACATCAGCTTCACTAACGTTCATCTCGCTTTCATTTTCATATAGTGCAGCAAGAGCAAGCGCAAAGGCTGAAAAGGAAAACAAAACAACTGGAGTGAGAAAACTGACAATACATGAACATGCGAGAAATCAACGGCCACAAGCGCAACTTTAGGAAGTTTTTTTTAACTTTATTAGAAAATACTCTAAAATAATGTTGCAGCTCTCCTACAATGTACACGTCAATCCTATACAAATTACAGTTTCAAAAAACTTGCAGCCTGATATCAAAATTGATCTATGCACATCGCATAAATGCAAAGCAATGAAAACTTTAGCCCTGTTTACACACACTACAACTATACTGCATTCTGAATAAAATAAGAATGTTCAGTACTATTATTATGAATGGCCTCCTACCCCAGTTCTTCCAATACTGTTTTGCATTTAAGAAACCTTCCTTTTCCTCTGCGTGACACCTTCCTCACGGGTGGAGATTTTCACCCACACTCCCTTAATCCATTCACTCTGCTACCCCTTAGAAGCACGAGATACTACTCATAGTCTAATTAGGACACCACTCACTTTGTTTTGTGATCAGTGGATCCTTGATCCTCAATCTAAACGTTAACTGGTTCTTGTACCACTCGCCGCTGGATCTCCTTCTTCCTATGGACATGTCTGACATGACAGGGATGGGGTCTATGTTACCAGAACTGGCAGCAGTCTTCAAGGCATCTAAATTGGTTTCTGTAAACGAGATAGCAAGGGTTATTAGCAAACACAAATTAACTACATGGTATGTCAACCCACTGACTTGTAGGGCTCTCACCAAAAGACATGAAGAAACACCAAGGGCCCACAATGTACATGGCGTGACTGCAAGCAAACCTGACTACTTTCCCTTACCGGAAAAATAACTATTTTTATGAAATCTGTGATCGGCTAGTATATACATGTAATGTACTGCATTTTTACTTCAATATCTACCCTATTATAGGAACTTAACGCTCCATAAAATATTAAGGTATTGGAAATTAACGCGACTTAAATTAACGCGAATTTAATAGAAAACGACTTTTGAATAAAGAAAATTAACGCGAAAGAGGAGGTACAATTTCAATTTCAATTTAAGTTAACGCGAATTTTAACGATTCGCGTTAATTTCATGGAGCGTTAATTTCCTATAATAAGGTAGTCATAGATTAGTTTATGTATTATCACCATTGTCATCACTGTGCATGTACTATGACAGTGATTGAAAATTTTAAATAATGTCAAATACAGCAGATCATCAACAAAAATTAACATTTTTAAAAACAGTCAAAAGTTGCTTCAACAAAATTGATTAATACTATAAAGTATTCCATAAAGTATTCCAGCAAGCTACAGTGTACTTTTAGTATCACAAAGCTTAGAACACCTGTTTCACCAGCTTTATGCATGTCTTCCTCATCTTCCTCTTCTATATTTCTCATGCCTGTCATCTCAGCTTTTCTAAGTAAAGAACTCAGCAATGAAGACTTCTGTAGATAAGGCTTATGAAGTTCCCAAGTAGTATCCAGTGCATGGACTACCACATCTTTGAAAACAAAAAAAGAAAAGAAAACACAAATTAATTCAAAACAAATATTTATTTGTAGGAACTGAAATTATTGTTAATATGGCAAATGAATATGATTGTGACATGTACAACATGTGCAATCAAATGTACAATCAAATGTATCTGACTACATGACATTACGTACTGTACATGTTGAAGATGCCTTTTAATTCATCTGTGGCAAATTTAATATTTGCTTCCAGGGAGCTGTTCTTTGAAATAATATTGAAGAATCTTTTAAGTGTCTTACGTGTGACTGTCAAGTTTAAACAGTCCTTGAAAAAGGCTATTTTCAGTTCATATAATTATTAAGTCTTTGCATGTGTTTTTTTTCTCTTTTCTCTGTTTGTTTGTTTTTTACATTGTTTTATACTTGTACCTCCATCAAACAACCTCATTCAGTGATTTTGTTACAAATAGTTATAGTGAGTCCAGGGACTCACCTTGCAAAAGATCAGAGTCCTATAGTCCAGAACTATTGAGTCCCAGTTAAAAAAAAATGAGTCCTAAATGGAATTTTTTGTCCTAAATTTTTTTTTTGGCCTTTATGTAACCATGTAGATAATTAATCTGAAGACAGACTCTGTAACTGTGTATTACAGTTTACTGAAATAAAAACTCCTTCTATCATAAAGCACAACAAAGACTAAAAGAAATATTCCTCATGAAACAACAGCCAAAAGGACAGCCACAGAAATCACACTAACAGGATGTTCTACAAAAACATCTTCAGATTGATCGATCCATCTTTGCATCCCATGGGACGCATGCCATGAATTATTTTGCATCTTTGACGCTTTTTATGTGTCAGGGACGCAGGATGCAGAGGTAACAAAATCACTGCCCTTTAATACTCTGAATTAGTCTACAATGCCTCCTAGCTGGGTAAGCTTTTCAGCTATCTTCTAGGTGGCTTTTTATGTACCTTACATAAGTACATGTAGTTGTCTTTTTTTAACATCTTTTTTTCCGTGTGTGGTATAAAAATATAGTTCTTGTCTTGTCTTGTCTTGACCTACAAAATTACCCCCTGTTGGTGTTTTCCAATTTGCCTGCTGGCAACAGTAAGCTGTCTTTCAACCGATTAAATTTGCCACCAGCAGCCTCTTAGCAACAGCATGTTTTATTTCAGTTAATTTTTATATTTCCTTTGTTTCAAATTCACTAGCATTCATTACCATACCCAAAAACAATGGAAAAACAAAAATTAACCGAGATAAAAAATTGCAATGTACCGTAACCACAACTGGAGTAAATCCCTGGTTGTATACGTGTAATTCTCATAACAAGCACATATAGTTAATTAATAAAAGTTACTGTAGTGGTAATCAAAATGGCTGCTTCATACCCCGACAGACAGCTAGGTGAGAAAGAAAATTATAAAAAGCAGCATAAAAAGAAAAATGTTTCTTGATCTCGATGTAAATTAACAAATACAATGTACATGTACCATTAAAACACAAACTGACAAAACCACTAAGGCTTGGCATTTTCCAAAGACAACTAAGCAAACTGGCAACTTTTAATGCACTAAGTACTAATAGACATTATAGTGTGTTTTACGTAGCAACATATGTAAAACAATTTACAAAGACAAGACGTTAATATTTCCAACTGAACCTGGACTCCTAAATTTCCAAAAATTTACCCAGCTGGAAAAACCAGTCTTTTACAAACACAGAAATTGCGAAGAGTAGGGCATCAAAACCCTGGTGGTGAGGACAAACTTCAATGGTCTACTGGTGGGTAAAGGAGGGGTTGATATCGATAATATTGGGACAAAATAGTTCTGTTTTATCCTCTGTCAAAGTGTTGATTCACTGTGCTTAAGGCAAAAAATGTGGCCAGCCCAGTAAGCCAATCAGAGTACAGGGTTCTTGCCTGCTTCAAGAGCCAGCAAGTAATAAAATTAATGACTCACAATTATTTCTACTAATGTACATACATTACATGTACAACTGTAAAATGTATAATTTAATAACACATGAATGTTTACCTGGAATTTTATGAGCTCCAGCAGTTTGTGACCGGTAGAGAAACATTTCCATAGGAGTTGGTGATCTCATGGCTGGGGGGATGACATTCCTCTGGTAGTCAATTTGTTGAAGTTGAGATGAAGAGAGTCCAGAGCGCCCAGGGATCCTACAGAAAGAAGGCATGTGCAGTAGATTATTGTCCTCCTTTATCTCCTCCACTAAGTTACAGAGTTCCTGTCACCTTAATGTACATGTTACTTGTCAAAAATTAATTTTATTAATTCCATCAATTTGGGCTAGGAGACAAAGGAAATTGAGAACCAACCTAGGTTAAAAAAATTTAACCCGAATTTAATATTGACCCGTACATACAGGTACATATGGATATACATACATGTACCTTATCTTTTTCACTGAAATTTACTTTATGTTCCACTGTAATCAATTAAAGAAAATACAACGACAAATTACATGTAATTTACAAACCTGAAAGAATCTGTTTGTGATGCCGGCTGAGACTGAATAAGTCTTCGATCAAGCTCAGCCTTGATGCGAGTGGAGTTCCCAGGAACTGGTTGAGACTTCAAGAATCTGGGAGAAATCAAGGAATGTAATGGACCTTTGTATGATTTTTCACCGGTAGTGTCAGCATAATTGCAGGTTGCCATTGGACAGTCAGCTGTGTATAATGAAAAAATTACATAATAATTTTTAGTTATAATAAATGAAGATTTGTTTCTTTTAGCCTAGGAAATGCCTAAAGCTAAATAAAAATAATAAAGGCAAGACTAGTTCCTCATTATCAATCTGGACAAATAACAATCAGTCACTTCTGGGACAATGTTATTATAGTTGTAAAAATCAGTCAAATCTCCTATCAATTACTCCCCTGGGAATTCATAGCAGAGCTCTCGTCCATGCATGAAGTGTGCGCAGTGGAGTGCCATAGGTAAGAAAAGTTAGCTATCTATGCGTCTGAGAAATTTTGTCAGTCATGTGACCATACATCTGTCTGCTTGTCTGTCTGTCTGCACTACAGGGAAAGTAATGTAAAAATAATGTCCCATTTTCTAGCCACAGGGGCCTGTAACCTGTAATTGACAACCATGTTATGGTCAATTGTCAGCTGTCAAAACAGGGTATCTTCTGACCAGAATCACATGACCATATCATAAACTCAGGGTCCAACTCATCGAGGTAACATATTTTTTTCTTATAGCTTTCCCGCTGACCAGTTATTAACTTTCAATTGATCACAGGCTCAAGTTTATGTTCTTCAGTGAGTCCTCAAAAGTCATATGGTCCTCCCCTAAAGGAAAGTATAGATCTGTGAATTTCTTTGCAATCGTTCCAGGTTCATTTTCTGATTGAAGTAAATTATACATGCAGAAACACGAACTTTGCTTTTAGCTCTGGTTAAATCTAAAAGCAGTCACAACTTGTGGTTGTTTACAAGAACAGACTCTCCTACATGCAAGCAACCATTGATAAAGTTATTACCAGTATATAAATTACATTGTACACTGTGTATTGAGGGCATTCACAAGAGCTTTCAGCTAAAAGCTTTTCATGAACATTCCTAATTTAAATTACATATACATGTACCAATACATTCAGGTAGAATAATATTAAAATTTGTAGTCTCTTTTATTACAGTTGTATTTCCTCTTTCAAAGCACTTGTTAATTGTTACATAATTAGCCTAATTTTACCAGGAATTACAGCTTTTATTGAAATGTTGACCGAGTGGTCACCTAATGAGAACTTCAAACAAAAGTGAAATCTGAGCAGTCTGTAATTCACTAAAGAGACAACAATTGCTCACAACAAAGGTTGCTTAACAAAAGCATTTCTTTCAAAGCTTTAGTCACAATTCAAACAGGGGTTTCACAGTGCTGATCATAACTATTGTAGAGCTGGCAACTTTCAACAGGGATCACAAAAGGCCAAGAGCTTTGAGTTGACTGTTTCACTTCTTTTGCAACAATAATTATTATAATAATTTTTTAAAACATGTACAAGATGCATGCATACCGGTCATTACAGCCATTATTGAGTCATTGTATGAGCTGGTAACAGATTTTAAGGCTTGAGATGATCCCAGTAAGTCACTACCAAGCAAGTTTGGGAGTCTCCATCGGTTAGTGCAACCAACTTGAATTCTGTGTCTACTGCGTGGTAAAGAAGGTGGCTGAAACAAGAAATTTACGTACTGTAACTACATTTAACATTATGACTCCTAATTATATACAGCGTGTAAGTGTTTGTCCAAAACTGTCCATGCGATGGGAGACAGTACATTGTACACTTGAATAACAATGTAGTTTATGCAAGTACATTTACTACGTACTGCTTATTATTATAATAAATTACATGTAGTTAACAGGACCAGCTTGATCCTCAAAACTTGATCCAGCAGCAGGGGCATATCCAGGGGAGCTGGTTCAAGGGGTTTCAGACCCTCCACCCCCTACTTTTAGGCACTACTGAGTTATTCATGAAAATGCTGTAACAGCTGCTCTATACACGTAGGTTTCAAGGATGCATACATATGTAGTGTTTAACAGTCCAGTACATTCTATTTTGTGAACTACACATTCATTAACCTGAAAGAAACATGTACTTGCAGTTTGACAAAGTAATCTACCACTCTAGCCTAAGCCTTGGCTGTGTCTTGCAAGCCCTTCTTCTTTGGGTATTGTTGAGTAACTAATGTGTTGTTCTGGAAAATATCCATACACCTCTGGTGGATGGTCAACAGAAATATCCAATTGGAAAGGAAGGCTAAAAAACTGAAATTTCCAAGGAGTAGGGGATCTCCAAATGAAATATTATAACTATTTTCTCGAGGGTCATGCAAAATTTGCAATGTGAACATTGTACTCACATAAAAAGAATAATATTTTTAATTGATGTGATAAAACAAAGACAAGGTATAGAGATACTGTATGTGATGACTTAAAGATGTTTGCCTTAAACAGATCTGTTGTTATTCTATTAAAGGCACACATCTTGACATCTGAAATGTACAGTGCTTTATAAAAAATGATCCACAGCATTACATTCACATAGACCCAGGGGAAGCCTATTGGGACAATAAGAACTATTAAAGTTCAAAATGTTGCCAAGTCAACAAGAAGAATGATACAAACCAAGGCAGTTACTTATTATTTTTCTCATCAGAAATGCTGATGTTTTGGTCATTCAGAAGCAAGGCTAAATCAGAGCTTCTTAGGGCCTGTTTACGTGGAGGAAGGGGACTCCAGATAGGTGAGGTAACATGTGGCCGGTCACCCCACCTATCATGAAAAAGTGATCAAATTAAAAAGAGAGATTATATGGACAGGCAGGTTACCCCACCCAAGCGGGATACCTCACCTACCTGAGGTCCCCCACCTCCATGTAAACAGGCCCTTAATATGATTACAGGTGTCAAGAAATTGAACAAAGTTTTCCTAGTAAGAAAATGCCTTTGAAAATGAAACTGAGCAGTTTTCTGCAAATAAAATACACATATAGACCAATGGAAACATTCAGGGCTCGAACGAAATGTTTCATCAGTTAAACGTTGACCTTGACAATAAGATTCATCTACTGTTTAAGTGAATTCCCATGATAGTTTATTAACCAATTAAACTTCCACCTTTTAAAATTAAAGATCTGTTTAACAAAATAAGCGAAAATTTACCTTTGGAGGTTCTCGTGCATCTGCAACTACGCCAGCAAGCGCTGAATATGGGGCCTCGATAAGAAATCTACAAATAAAGCAAACCGCATCAGTCATGCAAGTGTGCTGAAGTATGTCAACAAAGTTCCGCGCGAAATTTGTAGCTGATTCCGAAATGGCAAAATTTCCCGCAAAACTGCACGACAGACGAGTTTTTACCTTGAATAAGAAGGTTTGATGGTTTTGGCAGGTGGCAAAGACGGCAAATACGGACGAGGAAGAGGAGAAGGCGCTCCAGAGAGAATATTATTTCTAAAATGTCCACGGCTTTCCACATGCACGTCCGCCATCTTTGAGGTTCGAATGGTTTCCACGGTAACCAATGCTAAAACGAGGCTCAGTGGATTGGTAACGAGGCTCTGGTTCACGTGAGGCATGTGCTGTAAATTATGCCTCGAATTATGAGCTCAAAGAGTCTCCAAACTGGAGCTATAAAGTAATCCCGAAGAATATTCCGGGAGACTGTTTTAAAAAAGGAGATCGATTAGGGCGTTATTCACTGAGCTGTCCCTTTTTATCTTCCTACCCCACCCCTTTCAAAAAGAAAAAAGCTCGTGACATGAGATGCAGTCACATGACAAGCAGGTCACAGGTCTCGCGTGTTCCCATATCATATGTTTTAAATAATTAAGCGTCAACGACCCTGCAAGGAAAAGTTTTTGTTAAAATGCCTTCTTACATCTCTACCCAACCTGAAATATTTACAAAACCGCCCGAGAAAACAACTTCAGATTGGAGGAAGCCGGGCCAACTAACCGATGAACAAGTGAAACAGTTTTTCGGTGAGGTAAGTTACAAATAACTGCAACTTGATCCTTTTATCGTGAAAATTGTTCACACATTAAACTCTTCGCTCGATCGCTCGAGTGCCTGTCCCAGCGTTAACTTTGAGAAGCTAACGCTTGCAAAACATCAAAACAACATGTAGGACTTTGTGGATTCCCGATCCCTTTGAGGGGTCGATACAAAACATTTTACACCGAGACTGTCAACCCTCTTCCACTTGCTCAAAAAACGCAAATTTAGGTATTTCAAGTTGGGAGGGCAAAGTGAGGAGGGAGCTTCGAGTAGGTATGGGTAGGGGTTATTTTAGAGTTCATGGAGAAGCAATATCATAAAAAAGCATGACCCATTGCGTTACATTTATAGGTAACGCGGTATTGTTGTAGGTGCGTGACAGCTTGACCTGTGATTGGCTCTATTGGGGATCGGGATGCAAGATAGGTGCCCATTTGACCGAGCATTACTGGTCTGGTTCTTTTCTGCTTTTTAACACTTTTATATCACCTCAGCCAAAAGAAGAGGTCCATAAGTAATCGAACTCTGTAACAGCCCCAGACGAAACGTGATTACCCTAGAAAGAACAAATATCAAGAGAAAGCAAGAAAATATAGAAGCCTTATCTTCTCATGAAGGAAGAAATGGAAACACAGAAAACTGATATTAGCGTGGAATTACACTGCGGCACAGGCTCGTCCTTTAGACGTGGACTAAAATCTGAAAAAGTGACGGAAAATTAGCTAACCTACGATCAACCGGTCCTTCTTTCGTTTTTGTTTTCCCCTTTTCCCGAAAAAAAAAAAAAAAAAAACGCCTGATCCCAGGTTAAAAATTTGCGCGACGAAACAAAGCTATTCGCTATTTCGTCATTTTCCCCGGCCATTTGCCTTTGGGGTCTCTTTCTACATTTTTAAAGTGAGTCCTGATGGTCCTGATGGTCGTTCTTTCATAAGGAAATAAGACTTTTTTCAAGGGCAAATCAAGCTCAACTTCGTTTGAATATTGGGGCTGGAGGTAACTCGGAGATAGAGTATTATGCACTACCCACCATTCTGAAGGCCAGTAAATCACTGAGGACAAAGATGAAGCGGAAGCCGTTACATTGATGTGATGTTCCATGCTAGTAATATAGTTGCTTAATTGTCTAGGAGTATATAGTTGTCCCAATCAAGTTGAAAACACCAAAAAAAAAACGTCTACAGGAGCCTAACCCTAGTCACGGGTTTCTGCTGATGGGTTCCTGGCTGATGAGCCACTCCTGACGCAAAGTGAACACAACCGGAAGCTCAAACTCACGGACTATGTCACGGAAGCTGATCAGTGACTGTTGAGATGCTTGGATATTTGGGAAGATGCGAAGAAGAGGCAAACCGAACAGAAGCTTTATTAGACTCAGGACCTTTTGGTGTATGTGCCGGTTTCTGGAAGCGAGATACAACAGGAGCCTGAGAGAGCAACTTTACCACCGCGCTCGGAACCACTGCTGCCAGAAGGCCGGGTGTTTGCGGGCAAGACTATTTTGTTATGTACTAGCACTATTAAACAAAGGTTTAGCGTGTGGTGGCATTATGAACTACAAGTCTATTCATTTATCTCATCCTATGTAAGATTATTATGTCAGTTCGGTTTCTATTGTTAATATATCTTTTGCACAGCCCATCTTTAAAACCTTATAACTAGACTTGCAACACTGAGGTGGACTGCGTAAGGGCGGAAATAGGCATTAAGAAAGTCTACCTTACAACTTACATGTGTACTTTATAAACAACAGAAAAGTTAAATAAAAGAAAGAAAGAGAGAAAGAAGGCGGGAACAAGAGAAAACTGCAGAGAAAGGGGGAAAATCCCCTTTCTATCCTCTCATCTCTCTATCCTTCCCGCGCCCCTTCGCTCAGCTCTCTATTTCGCGCCGCAGGCTATCCAAAGCCTAGTAAAAACTAAGTAAAGACATCTCCTCTCGCGGGCACACAGGTTACTGTCAGACCACTGGAACAAAGCTACAAATGTAGATGCTTTTCTTTTAAGCAAATTCGTTTTTGAGCGACGCACGTCAACCGGAAGTGAGGTCTTTTTCATTTTAAAGCACCTTGACGCTACCAAATTTGTATTTCTAAGTGTCTTTACTATTATAGGGACGATTTGTCTAAAAATTTGGGCAAAACTACCATCCAAAAATGGAAAAAAAAAAAACACTTCCGGTTGACGTGGGTCGTTTCACTCCTATATATGCAGATAGTATGCTGTGGTTCATACCAGGAGCCCATAACCCGGCGTTTTTTCGGACCGGTTTATTTTTAGACACATTTTAGGGCAATTTTCCCGCGAAAATGGAATCTCCTTCACGTCTATGAACGCATTCGAAGTGTAAGATATCAAAAAGGAAAACGTAACGTGTTTAAAAGGCAAAAATGATCATTTTTAGGTCTGTAGGTTTTGCGGACTGGTTTGTGGGACTTTGATGATATTCTAAATTCGCGTCAAAACCGTTCCAAAAATAAACTGGTCCGTGAAAACGCCGTGAACCGAGTACATTGAAGTTGCTCGCTCCAGCTTATGGGCTCCTACATGTTCATACTCATCAGCACTGTATATGTATTTTATTTTACAGGGGTATGTGTTGGTTCCGCAGTTCTTTGAAAAAAGTGAGTTAGAGTCTGTTATCGCAGCCATTTGCGAGCTGGTTGATCAACTGGCAGATAAACTCTACGATGCTGGAAAAATTCAAGGTAGACTATTTTAAAAACCATGTAAACTTAAATTCAAGTTACGGAAACTACGGGGACTCCCTTGTTTTCGTTCCCTCGAGCGCGCTAGGACTCGCCTCCAACAAGGAGAGAAGAAACGCACCCACGATATTTCCTACTGTACCTTAGGACAATAAGAGACTTCTCGTGGTCTATTCGAATCAAAGCATGGACAAATCCTTTTCGCAACGTTTCCTCACCTGAGGTATAACTGAGGATCAAGCTGTTATGTCTTTTCATAGCCTCTTTTTATAGATAGCCAACATTAAAACCTAGAGCACGCCATTTTAAGAGTACAAACTAAAATTGTTTTGGATAGTCCAGTTAGCGGATAATGGAAACACGCTTAAAAGGTTTACAAGAGTTAAAATGGTTCTAGTATATATATCGATCTAGGGGGGAAAAGGTTTTATCAGTACATACAATACTTTATTTCTTTGTTAAATGCAACATTTTTCTTTTGGTTTAGATAAACACAAGGATGCGTCATTTTATGAGAGACTGATATTGATCGAAAAGCAATTTCCGGGAGTAGTACTGCTTCATAAGCATGGAGTTATGCCAAAGGTAACCCGAATAACCGAGTTTTTACAATTACAAGTCATAAGAAATTTGTTGGAAATCTGGATAGTTTTTGCGGGAGCGAAGGAGAAATGCTGATTTAAAGGATGGTGGAGGGGACTGGGAAGCAGGGTGGTGGAGACAATAATGGAAGTAAGTCTAAAACATAAGCCCCCTCCCCCTCCCCCTCTTATAACCACTTATAAAGTAGAAAAGTGATTTTTTTCTTGGAGTGAAATATAGTAGCTTTCGTTATCAGCTTGTTTCCAGACGAATTTTGTATTCCGCTTATACGCACTCAACCCCCGCATATAAGCTCACTTTAAACCCCTCGTGAACTCGTATAAGCCAAGCTAGCGCTTATGGACGGGAATTTTAACTGTGTTTTTTTCTTTCTTTATTCCTTTTTATTTTCCTCTTTTTTTGCAAATACTACTGGGACTGGACTCAGTAAACGATCGTCGTCCCCTTTTGTCTACGTAGGGGATGCAATAAGTGTTGCAAAATGTTGGGGTGTTTGGTCAGGTCTTGGTCAGATGCATTAAAAAAAGCAAGGAGAAACCCCGTATCTATGAAGCATAATGCAAGCAACCTCCAGGTATTGAATGTTGTTTTACCATTGTGGCCTGGCTCACATGTTGGTATTTAATAGGCTTTTCAAGACTTGTGGAGCAATGAACGACTTTTGAACGTCATCGAGCAGTTTATTGGACCCGATATAGCTGGTCATCCTGTGTGGAACTTAAGGACGAAGGTACGTGTCCTGATACAGCTACCCATCCTGTGTGGAACTTAAGGACGAAACAGGAGCAACTCCTGGACAAAGGTTATATTCCGCTCTGCTCGCTACGTGTCATGGCTCCAAGCCTTTTATTATTCCCCGACCCATTCTCACCCCATATAAGGGAGTACAAGACAGTCTTGGATTTTGGACTCCACGCTAAGGGTTCCGGATTTTAGGAACTGGCTTCCGATTTTATGTCGGTGGAACTTGGATTCTGGATTCCAGTCGTTAGTGGGATTCCGGATTCCTTTAGTTGTATTCCGGATTCCAGAGCCAAGAATTAGCTAGAATTCCTCGAATTCCACAAGCAAAAATTTCCCGGATTCCCTCATGGGGCGACCATTCCATATATGGAGGACAGGTTACACGGAACAAAACTAGACAGTTAGATCTTCTATAAAAGCTCGTTAGGTAACTAAAAATGATGACTAATCTCCTGATGCTGATGTGTTATTATATTATTTTGGCAGACTCCAAAAAACACTCAGGTGACCGTGCCTTGGCATCAAGGTAAAACTCTTAGTTACAAATTACAAAGTCGAGTGTTGAATGCTTCATCTGCTTCGTGTTGAAAAGATGGTTATCCAGGACCATGAGAAAGTGTCTCTCTTGCCCGTCTTTGCAAACTGGTATTGTTGCCTAAATCCGGTAGTCATGAAGGGGACCCTATATCTTAACCAACTTATCTAAAGTTAATTAAACTTAAATTCAAATTCTAATGAGTTTTAGTGACAAAGACATAGAGCTCTACCTATATTCGTGCTAAAACTTCAACAAACTGCAGATTTTGTGATCATATAATTTGTTTGCTACCATTATTGCATATAAAAAAGTTATGTCGACATTCTTATCCCATTTCTGATGAATTTTATTTCTTTCCATTCATTTGATTTCATCTATTCTTCCATTTTTAACAAGGTAACGCTGACTTAGTTACGACATTGGTATTGCCTAAATACCAAGGGTAAATAAAGTCCAGTTTGTTAAAATTTATTCCAGACTGCGCGTACTTGTCATCAGAAGCCTGTGAAATTCTTCAGCCTACAGCTTGGATTCCATTGTTAGATACAAACAGGATGAATGGTTGTATGCAGGTAAAGTATACCTTAATGTCCTTTTGAAGACTAATTTCAGTCGGTATCTTTACAAAAACAATCCTTTTTGCTCAAAATGCCCACAGGAAAAACAAATAATGATATAAAAACGGATTTTAAGATGGCTGCTATTTCCATCGATAATGCGTTGAAGAGATGTACAACTTGCTCAAGTAACGAGCCCATAATCCTGAGCGAGGAGCTGCCATGTCCTCGTGTCACGGCATTTTCACTGACCGGTTTATTTTTAGAGTTATTCCGGCGCGAATTTAGAAAATCTTTCAAATTCCACAAACCAGTAACCAAAACCTTGAGTCGTCAAAATGGTATTTTTGTCCTTTTAATGACGTTTATTTTCCTTTTTTGATATCTTATAGCTCGAATGTAAGGAGGTACATCTTCGTAGCAAAAAGTTCCCTTAAAATGTATCAGGAGCTAAAAATCTATCGGTCCGTGAAAATTAAGGCCGTTACATAGGCCTAGGTATAGAAGGAGAGGGTGGTAAAGGGCTTCTAAGGATGACAGAAGATGGAATTTTGGCAAAGAAAGCGGTGCAATGGGGGCCCAACGAGCTGGTTAATGGAAGATCATATATCCTTAACTTATAATAATCTTTGGTTCCTTCAGGTAGCACGGGGAGGTCACAGAAAAGGTACACTAGCAACACACACCTGCTGTGCCGGGGATACTTGGTATGTTGACCTTGCCGAGGACGAAATGAGAAAGACATTAGGTAAGACCCTGGGAAATTTGAGGATATCAATTCTAATTGAGCCGTATCGATCGTCATTTTTCTTCTTTTCTTCCGGTATCCTGTGGCTTTACATAAGCCATATCAGTCTAAAATAAAATCTACAATATGGTTGTGCAAGTTCAAACCCACCAACAGCCCTATTTATTTCATCAACTTGGAGTTTTATTCTGTCTCATTTTAAAACCTACACATTTTTAACCTCTAATATAATGCAAATGCTGACATCAATTAGGTTATCGGGCCCAAAAATACATAGGGTCTTCTTATGAGTCCCAAGTTGACGCAAAAAAGGTGACTGGCAGATACTATAAAAACGCTATCAGTTATTACTATAATTATAGTGATGATGATGATGATGATGATGATAACGGGGGTGCCAACGTTCCTCACTTGTACCAAATGGCTGAATTACGGAGGAACCAGAGAGGTGAGATCGAATGTCAGCATGTATTAAAGGTGCACTATGCAGCCGCTTCATTCCATGTTTGGTCTCACCGCACCCACCCAAACCAATGACGGCAAATGTCAGATAGACTATGACACCGAGGCCTACGTCCCGCACTCTTTCCATCAAACGTCATCAGAATCTTTGAATTAGGTTTTGCAGAAAGATCAACTTTACTAAGAAGTGATCATTGTCTTTCTCAATTTCATATACGATAGATGTGGATTTCGAGAAAGACATTGTGCTTTGTGAAGTTCCCTTTGGAGGAGTTCTGTTTATTAACAATCTGGTGCCACATAGAAGGTCTGTGTTTTAGTATGTGTTCTTTTCTTCTTCTTGACTTTTAAAGTGGCTTTGTCACAAAGTATCCGATCCCATCTTTCTAAAAGGCTACAAAAAACGTCTTCGCGTCAATTCAAAAGGAATGGCCCAGTTTTGTTATTTAAGACTTTTTTTGGCACCAAATCTGTTCCCTCTCGTCTTTTGCTACGCATGGTAAAGATGAACATGAATTGAAATTTGAAAAACAGGATCACTATTTGTATATTTGGGCAACGGCACTGAGTGTAAAGACTTCAGCAAAGAATTGATTGACCAGTAAAACATTCATATCCTAAGGTCCGATAAACTAATTTCCCGCATATTATCGGTCAATATGCGCAGATGGAGTCATAGCTGAAGTTGGGTGCATCATGGCAAAATGGTAGGCGAAGAGAAGTTTAAACTTAGTCACAGAGTCCAAATAATAGGTCAACAACAACCGAGGGATTCTGAACAGGTATCTCTATTACGAAGACAGCTGTGTCTTGAATGCTGTCTTTTAAAATGAGATGAAGAAAAAAAAAATGTTGACGACATGAACTGGCTGCACTCTACTGTCACCCCTGTAGCTCTAAGACCAGATCTACTTGATTGTTTTACTTGTTGGAAACACCAGGTGTAGTACACATCTTTATTGAACATTGCCCTCAACTGATTTTCCGATGACTTCTAAACAGTTTAAAACGTCGACTTACATTTTAGTCTGGAGAACGTTTCAGACAAGATTCGATGGAGTCTGGATCTAAGGTGGCAAAGACCTGATAAACCCAATGGTTTTTATGGCCTCAAGGTACGTAGGTTGTCGTACAACCAATGAATCGAAATGCATTTTCAGTCCTTGCCTGGTTCAGCCCAGGCCTCTAGTCTTACACAACAGAACTCAACACAACAACAAAAAACAACAAACAAGTTTATTCAGTATTACCATTTTGTACAGGTGTTACCGATTAAAATAGCAATAAAAAGCTAAATTTAAGGAAATGAAGATATAATGGAATGGTAGAATTAATTATGTTTCTTTCGTCTTTCAAATGCTTGAAAGACGAAATTAGCAGTTAGCTTGCTGATATGTGAATCAGTATTGCTAAAAAGAAAACAGACTTTATCATGGATATTGTAATTTGTGAATAATGTATTTCCGTCGTTGATTTTAATAAAAAGAGTCTTTCTCAAGACATTATACACAAGACTTACAATATCTGTGGAAGAAGTAAGACACCTCCAATCCTTGTTTTTCGGTTTGACGGTAATTTCTCACTACCTAGACCGTAATCTGAGTTTGTACATGAAAGCAGACTTGACTTTTCAGCAAACGGATCGAAAAATACTTAAATCACCGGATGAACTGGCTTCACGGGACTGTGGCATAAGGCCTTAGTTCAGCCCATCGGTTTGTTATTTTGCCAAAATGAAATCGCAGATATCAAAAACACTCAAAACCAGCACTTTACGCCTTCAAACGTGTCTCCTGATAGTAAGTTATAATTCCGAGTTACAAGCAGCGAAGAGTAAAAAGAATAACTAACTTTCATAGTTCACGGTTGCAATCCTTTTCATTCTTTGCTTTGTTTACCTTGATGCTAAAATCCGTACAGGAACCTTCTTTGGGTTGACAAACCTTTCGGGTTTTTTTTAGGAGAATATTTTACTCCGTACATCAAGCGACCCTAACTATTTGGTAGACTGGGCAGAATTTGCCTCACGTGACAGAACAAAATTGCAGCGTGCTCATCCAGGCGTGCAGGCCAAAATGGAGAAGGTAATAGAGAGATTTAGCATCATTTTACGGTAAACCAAACGTCAGTTTGTACTTGTAGTTTATGGCTGTTTCATCAAAGGTAGCCCAAGCTCGAAATATGCGCGTCGGTACAGTTGTGTAATCGCTTGAATACAATTTTTTATGGGAAGAAACGATTGTTTCTGTAACCTACTAACTTCTTTGAGAGAGAATAAACTGGTCATGCATGCTTCTAGCTTTGAGCTCGGGCTACCTGTGGTTTTATCCATAGTCATTTGCTTGGAACGTTTTTATGTGCTAGTTTGCCTAAATTGAGAAATTGTCAACTTGAATCCCACCTTTACCGTTTTTCGTATTAAAACTTGACTCCAGTTCTGTTCTGCGCATCTCTCAACGCCGTGAAAAAAAGCTTCCGCGCAGAAACTTCATTAGATCAGAATAACTTTTTTAAAAGACGATATGATCATCGCAATGTTGATTGCAATTTAAGCAAATGCAAATAAACCCGAAAAAATTTTTCGGGACTTCAACGGGATTCGAACACATGGCCTCTTCGTTAGCGCTGAAGTGCTCTACCATTTGAGCTATGAAGACCCAGTGAAAGGAATGAAGCATGGAGATGATGTGAACTGCAGAAATACAAATTTTAAATGAAGATACGATCTATCGTCGATTGAACGAAAATTAAATGGAAATCTAGAGAATCAACGAACACTTTACATTCAAATAATTGATTCTTGTTTTTCACGTTAGGTATTCCCGCCAATAACATGACTCCAGCCTTATAATATATACTGAAACCACACACGATCCACACTTCCCTCTGATTCGCTCTGACGAACAGCTAGCGCTCGAAACGTTAGTTTCTGTCCGGTCTCCCGAAGGTGGCCAACTACCTTATCAACTCAGTTCATAAAGGTGATGTTACACGGGACGATTCGCAACGACGATTTTTAGCCTAACACATCGTTGCAATGTTGCAACAATGCTGCAGCCTTTCAAAACAATATCACAACAATGCTGCAAAGCTGAATTGTGCTAAAAATCGTCATGCGAATTGTCTCTTGTCACATCAGCTTAAAACTTTGTAGTTCTTTGTATTTCACGCTCCGACTGACGCAACACCACAGTTTCTTTAGAGGCAAGAGAGAATGATGGGAAGGCGGGTGGAAACGCCCAGTCTAGTCCTTGGGATATGTAATTTCACCAAAGTTATTTTTAGACCAGATAATAAATCGGGAGAGGTCCGGAGAGGTCCGCAAAATTTTATTCGGTGTTTTCAAGAGAGAATTCAATTGCTTGCGTAGCTGGCGGGATTAGCGTGGGAGTGCTGTTTTGCCGGCGGAGCCACGATAACATAACCTTATAGATAAGTGATTTTAGCAAAAACGTCTGCTGAACCGCTACAGCAGCCATGTAGGTTCTATCCAATAAAATATCGTCCTAATCGAAATATCTCAATGTCATTTGTGGCGCTTTTATAGATCTTGATTTGAGGAAAGAATCCTTTTGAAAGAAGGTTTGTATCAGGATAGTTTATTTTTCATCATTGTCATAACAGGGGGATATCCAACTAGACAAAGATCCTGAGTTTGACACCACAATTGTCGGTCCTTGGATGGGCAAATGGGAAATAGTTCACCACAACAAGCACACTGTGCAATACAAAGACCCTGGAGATGATACAGAAGCCTGGACCAACTATCAGTCAACGTGGACTAAAGCATGATTAAGTAATTGATTTCCAGTGTAAGAAGATTCAGAAATTTTTTTTTTTTTTGGGAGGGGGGGGGGGGTGGGGGAAAAACAACAAACAAACAGAATACAACAAAAAGAAAGCACAACAAACAAACATAAAAAAAAGAATAAAAAAAAAAAAAAAAATTACATACAAGATAAAAAATTTTTTTTTTTTTTTTTTGGTGGGGGGGGGGGGGGGGGGTTGGGGGTTAGTACTTAGGTTGTTTTAGCTTATAAATATCTCGGAATGACACTGACCCCGTATGGAAATTTTAGTTTAGCTAGAGAAGAGTTAAAAAAGTTGGGCGTAAGGCAGTTTATAAACTAAGAAAAGAGATGGGTGACAACTTTAGAGAAAATATTATGCTGACAATTAAGACGACTGTTTTTGCAGACTACCTTGGTCTGGGGGCCAACAATTCCGGTTAGTGAAACAAAGCCACGGAAATCGAGATTCAAGGACTTCAAGCCAAATACCCTCTGTCCCTTAATCTGCTTAACAGTACTGAATACCCCCCCCCCATTCAATTATGCTGACAATTAAGCTATTCGATGCTCTGATATCCCCCATACTTCTCCACGGAAGTGAAATTTTTGGGTGTTGACTGAAACGACCAAATAGAAAAAGATCCCGCAGAATTAGTTCACACTAAATTCTTGAAATGGTTGCTAGGTGTCAATAAATACTGCAGCAACAATGCATATAGGGCTGAAAGAGGATAATACCCAATAAAAATCGAAGCACAATATAGGAATTTAAGTTTTGGCTAACTCTAACCAAACACCCAAAACACAAATTATCACAGGTGGTTTATAATGATATGAAGTCGAGGATGAATAAGGAATTATGGAGCCAAAAAATCAAACGCGTATTAGACCAAATAGAGCTGGGATACCTCTGGACAAAAGCACATGAAAATGACATAAGAAACTTGAACATTATCAAACAAAGACTGAAAGACATCGAATTACAAAGATGGTTGAGTGACGTAAACAATGACCTAAGGAAAGACGCCAACCAAAAGAACAAACTAAGAACCTTCCGAAAATTTAAAACAATAGAAAATTATAAATGTAAAGATTATCTCCGTCAGGTCACCAACATCCGACACCGGATAACTCTAACTAAACTCCGTCTAAGTAATCAAAAATTGGCGATAGAGACAGGTCGGTATGTAAGACCTTATAAGATACCGGAAGAGAGGATCTGTCCTATCTGTAAAAAAGACGTAGAAGATGAAATATACTTTTTAACTCTGTGCCCTGTGTATCAAGAAAAAAGAAGTACTTTATTTGAATACTTAAACAAAGAATACAGAATATCAGTAAACAGAATGGCACCAGATGATGTTTTTCTGTTGTTAATAAACCCTCCGAGCAAGAACAAACCAGTGCAAAAGTTATTTGCAAAATACGTATTCGACTGCTATGAGGAAAGAAGTTCATTAGTTCTTTAGGTTACATTGATTATAGTTCCACTATTGTGCAATTTGTGTCATGATTTTAAATTATTTGGATAAAGTCGGTGTACATAGGACTGCATAAGACTCTAAATGAAGCATGGTCTTGCCTTGTCTTGTCTTGGGTATGTGCCGCTGGCCTCTCGGGGCCCCTACCCCGTTATAGTCTATTCTGTGGCCAATTATAAACCCCATCTTAGTCACTTTTGGCAAATGTAAATTTTCGAGATCCCAACTTAGTCGTTTGCTATTTATGTGTCAACCTTATCAGTCTTTTAAATTGGTCATCCTAAATGAATTGACCCATTTTCTAAATTGAATGAAGAACACTTTACCTTTCACCTACAGTACAAATATTCTGGTAGTTTGTTAACCTTTTAAGGTTAGCAAACGTACCAGAAATCCGAAAATGTACGACCCCCTTTTAGTAACTCTAATGAAAATGCAACCCCATTATAGTCAGTCCAGTCGTGAAAATGCGACCCCATCCAGAGGCACATCCCCATTAGTTACATTAGCCTCTTATAAGGAAGTAGCCATTCACCTGCCAGAAAGCTTTGCTCGGAGGGTGGGCTTAGGGTAGTGAAAGGTTGGGTTATGTTAGTCCTCACCTTGTCCTAAATTTTCTCCCGCGAACAATGTTTAGTGATAAGCTTCTGTGCCGATGATTTAAAGTTTTTGATCTAAGGAGATCGACCAGCTCTGAAATCAGAGGAGCATGATAGAAATTTAAATTTATGAGGAGAATAATGGATTTCTGAAGACTGATGAAACAATTCATATGATGATGATGATGATGATGATGATGACGACGACGATGATAATGATGATGATGATGGTGACGACGATGATGATTTTCTGATACTATTTTTCTTGTAATTTTGCAATATAACGCCAAATAAAAGCGAGATTTCCCTTTCATTTACGGTATAACAACAAAATCGGACTTTTCTGTTGAAGTTATATAAAGATTATAGAACTTATGAGTCTTATCTCAGGAGATATTTTTCTTGTCAGCTTTTCTATCACACTTTTTTTATGCTGTTGTTAGAACTTCTTTCCAGTCTTAGCTTGCGGCTGCTGGTATACCAGAAACAGGCTTTTTGTCCACCGACAGTCATTACTTTCAAAGAATTTACTCCGCTTGGGAAAACAGTCAAAACAGTTTTTAATTACGACCAATTAAGGACCCACGCATAGCTCGCCACGTCAATTTTCCGTTGTTAGAGATAAAGGACTTATACACCTTGGCGTTGGGGGACCTGGAGGCCAACAATTCGGGTTAGTGAAACAAAGCCACGGAAGTCCAGATTCAAGGACTTCAAGCCAAATACCCTCTGTCCCTTAATCTGCTCAACAGTACTGAATACACCCCCCAAAAAATCAACCACCATTTGTAGGTGTCAGAACACGGCGAGTTCTAAGCTACCCTTCAGATACCCTGTTGCTAGAGCATTTATTTTTTTTTTAAGCAAATTTTCGAATTTCGAAAAAGACAAGAGGAAATTTCTTAGTTAGGGGGTTGTTCTAGGCGCGAGCTCCCACGAGTTAATTTTTGTCGGCCCACCTGTACCAACAAGAAAGTTTTTCCTGCCACCTCTAAATGTCTATGACAAATACCAGACACTTTTTGTTCCAGAAAGCCTGCAGAATTACTAACTATCTTTCATATCAGTGAACTGATATTCCTAGTAGTGCATTACGATCATTGCAATTGCTATTAACTTAAATTAGGCAATTTTGAGTCAAATACTGCATCGTTCATTCAAGGCAATCGCTCATATTGACTTCAAAATTTATGATTACATGACCAACGGAAGGAAAAACTAATGAAGTGCTAGACACGCCCCCCTGGTTTCTACCCCCCTCACAAGATTAAGGCATTAACACCTTGGTAAATTATCCAGGCAGGTAAAAACACTTTTCAATTGATAAAAAGTTGACAGTGCTAATCAGCTAAATGTGTTTAGGAATGAATAAAAAGTCTACATAAAGTACGTGAATCGTTCGGGGCTTTGGAGCGGAATGTTTATATGAACTAACAACGTCCAGCTATTTGTATACAGTGCGTAAGTCTTTGCAGAAATGATTTGCACTTTAAAACAAGTATGTGGTGTTGAACCCGTCCGATCACCATTCGACATGATTCGAATCATGACTTAACTTTCTCTATTTTCTTCATCCTTTCCAGTAACTCAGAATTTTTTTGATTCTTTCGACTCTAAATTTTCCGAAATCCCAGTTTCTGTTTTCTCCGGGAGGTTCGAAAAAAACCACTATTCCACTGCATTTTTCGTAAGTTTTAACACAAGGAATTGATGAAGAAGGGAATTGATAAGATTTACCAGTATCATTAAAACTTCATCTCGCCGATGATGATTTTGGTTCTTTTAATCCTTTGATTTTGTTTCTTTTTGTTTACATTTTTAATTTTTTTTTTCAGTTACTCGATTATTCAAACTTTTGCACAAGTGGTTGCACAACTACAGAAATTACTTGTTAGTCCACCGAAAAGGAAATGAGTGAGATTTCAACCCCAGACTCAGAACTTACACACACAAACTAAATAACACCAAGTGAAAGTGCAACTCAGAGCTTTCATGTGACGGGTTCATACCCTGGACTCAAAGGTTCTTCTTGAAATTTTTCCCCACGTGAGAGAGAGCGAGCAACGACTATGCTAGGACTCGTTTTAGCCGCCTTCCCCCCCTCGCTCTCCCTCTCCCTCATGCTCACGCGTAGGAAAATTTCAAGAAAAACCTCTAGGACCAGTGTATCAGATTCACTGTTTCACATTAAATTTCTTTTAACCCTTTAAACCCTAAGATTAAAAGCATTTGAATTTTTTTAAAATTAGTTTACCCACCCGCGTTCGCTATGTGCAGTGAAACAAAATGCTAAACATTGTCTTCTGGTCTGACGGGCGTATTTGCGGCTGTAGGAGAATCTACGACCCCTGCAATATACAGTGAGAATTTTAAATGATTCATCAATTTTAAAAATATATTTTTAGAGACCTTTTACTGTCCGGGGGGTCAGCAATTACTAACAAATTGGTAATTCCGGTTGCAATTCGTCAGACCGGATATCGTCGCTGCTTGGGAAATAAAACTCATGTAAAATAATGGTGAGATCCAACGATACTCAGAAACTTTAATAAGTAACAATAGAAGTTTCTTCGCTTCTTTCTCTTCACCAGCGCTCTTTATACAGTTTCAAGCGTTCCAGAGAGGTGGGGCATTAAACGTATAAGGCTTCAGCAGATTTATCATGGAGTGTTAGCATTTGCATGCCGTTTTTTTGAGTCTTTGAATGAAATTTATATGGTCCGGTATACTGATCGTTCGGCGTTCAAAAAAACCTAGTTGCCAGCTTTTTAACATGGACATCGGTGATGTTTTTCAGTATTTTGCAAAATGGAAATTTAGATTTTCAATTCATTTTATTTTATGTAATTCAGTCTACCGGTTAAGTGTTAACAGGAACTAATGGAGGACATATGCAAGACATGATTAATAACGTGTTGTAAAAAATAAGGTGAAACTTCGGAAACTTCCATTTAGCGCGGTGGGAAATTTGCTCTGCTGGTTGAGCTTGTCACTTTGAGTACGGATTAGGGGCAAAAATTGACAACTGTGCTTCCTGTTCGGTAAAGGTGAGAAAAAAAAAACGGACATAACTAGCGAGAGAACCAAGGGAGAAAACGCCTTACAGCACCTCATTTTTTAATAGACAAGTGACATTTTGGTGAAATTCTAGCCACAGCATTTACTTAAACAAAATGGAACTTTACAAAAGATAAGTGCAAAAATACGTCTCTCGTTTTCAGGACACTGACAAATCGTACAAAAAAAATAAATGCTCTTTCAATATAACAATAATTTTATTTGTTTTACCAGCGTAGGATCCACATGACTGCTTTAGAATTACAAAGGCGTGCCAATTTAAAACAGCTGGGGTAGTTTTTCTTGCGCTGTCGCTTTGCCGATCCGCACTGAGGCACGGCGGAAGAAAACAATTAAAAAATTAGAGTTCTAAAGAGCTTTAGCGCCCGATAAACCTCACTTTCCCCCTCGCTGCTGCCCCAAGAGTGACCAACATCAGTTTCCTCCTAAAAAAATCAATACGTGATCAAGAGATAAGGTTGTGAAAATTAAGAAAACGATCACCTAAGGGAAAAGGTTAAATCTTGAACGGAGTCAATTTTCCCAACCAATTCTCTTAGAAAATATAAATAGACAGAGGGAGAATGATATAGATCAGTTTAAAGAATTTGTGTTGGATATGAGGGCTCGAAGGCTTAAGTGCTTTTTGCTTGCGCAATCTTTCTTGCAGGATCTGTAACTGGCGTTGGTAGGAGGCGTTCGAGACTGAGAAAGGTCAATGGAATTTCGGGTGCGTATGAAGCGCGGAGGGCACGCGAGTTTCTCCTTCTTTCTTCTTCCTCGTGCGCGCTTGTCCGCCCAAATTCCCTTACCTGGTGCTAGAGTATCTTCTGTGTATCTAAGCTTTTAAGAGGAATGAACGCCCGCGGGAAAGCTATTTTCCCTTTCTCTTCCAATTCAAACAAACCTGCCACGCGGAAGATATTTTTAGATAGGCTCTGATGAAGACTGGAGCCAGTCTCGAGTTGAAAAAATTTGTAGAAAGTCTCGAAATTTCCTTCCTATATGAAGTGTTTGCCTGCTGACCGCAAGCCAATTACCCTTCTCTTGGGGATTAGCTGTATCTCAGTGTTATTTCATGCTATCTAAAGGGTAATCTCCAGTAAAAATATTGTAAAAGGTCTTGCGTTGTTAGAAAAACACCGTCGTTCCACCCCACATCACGAAGTTGATTTAAGTGTCCTTTCCCCAGTCGGCGACAGGACTACCAAACAATAAACTGACGCTTATAAATACTAAATAATTGACTGAAAGTTTTAATTATAAGCACTGTTTTTAGCGTATGTTAGTTTAGTTACTGGGTGGAACAACCTTCATATGATAGCGAGCGGATCACGAGGGCCCAGCAACGAATATCTGATAATTTAAGATCCAGTAGACAACGAGTTAAGTGGACGGCTGAGAGAAGAAAACTAAAAGAGTCGGCCAGGATTTGAAGGCCTAATCAGTCAGCCAGCTAAAATACATTACACGTCGTGTGTTATTGGGTATCAGAGGAAAATCTCAGCATTTTGGCTTGTATATTCCGGTATATTGATAGTTCTCATCGGCTTCGCATAAATGACATAGTTACGTTGCTCTGTTAAATTGGAAAGGCTTCTCCTTATAAAATCGCTTTTTATCGGAAGAGTTGTGCGCGATGTATTGTTGCATACCTTGGATGATCTTATGATCAGCTAAAAACCTAATTACTGTTAGTCTGCCAAAAATGTTTATTGGGCAATGACCTATACGTCACCAGAAGATCCGCGTCAGTTAAATGTCTGCTTTGATGATCAATTTAAACTGAACAGAGTAAAATTGTCATACTTAAGTGATTCAAGCACATTTCATTCTTGTTATTTTGACAAAAATAAAAAATGAGCAAGATTGAGTGTAATTCTCTTGATATTCTTCATAACTGCTACAATGAAGCTCAGTTTTGATAATCATTAGCCTTCGTATCTCTCACAGGCAGTTCATAAGTCACAAAAAAAGAGCTACCCTTTCAGACATGAAAAACAGGAGAGACTAGTCCCTAACATAAAAACTGTATCAAAAGACGTTCTAAGGACTCGTATCCACTTACTAACTATTTATTATGATAAAATATTTAGAATTTGTTGTTCTGTAAATGCCTAGAAACATTTGAAAGTTGGCGTTTAAGATCTGCCATCACGATAAAGGCACTGAGTTGGATCTCTCAGTTTATTTAGCTTTTAAGTTTTACTGATCAATCAATCAGCTACACCCTAGTTTGCATTTAAATTTTTTAAAAAATAATCATTTTGTAAGAAAAATCTAATTCAAAAGAAGTGACTCACTGCACGGCTTACTGAACATAAAAGTAGACCTCGTACTGGGTGACCATTTATTCACTGCTGTGAAAGTCCTACACTTTTCTTATCGTATTTTTTTTCCTTTCACCTCTTCTTCTTCTTCTTCTTTTTTTTTATAAAACAAACCTCCCGCAGGTGTACATCTGCACTTTAATACAGGCTTTTTATCATAATTCATATTCCGTCATAAACGCCTCATCAGCCGTCTTCTCCCAGTCAGACTAGAGACAAAAGCACACTAACTATATCCCAAATGGAAGCTTCTTAATTGATTGGAACTAAATATAAGGTTTTGAAATTTCCATTAATCGCCGCCGCGTAAAAGCCATCTTGTCTATCATTTACACAGTTGTTAAAACGCTGTCCACTAATTACAGCTGATATAACGGTACTTTTTCGAAAAGTAAAGAAACCAAAACCGCTCTGAATCAGGAAAATAACGTTTTTAAAGTAACTGTCAACATGTTCAAAGGCCTTGTTTTCACGCATTACACTGCAGCCAATTAGCAAGCAGATCTCGAGAAGCGTTTTGAAAAGTGCGGCTGGCATAAACGCTTTTAGGAGAACAAAGATGGAAGCATGTATTTTTGTAGAGTGAACATACTTATTGTCGCAAAATTATTATCATTTTTTGCGCCATTTTCAGTTGTCACCCAGTTTGAGTTGGATGGTTTTTTTTCCTCTCTCCTAAGACGAGTATTGAATGCCAGATATGTCCGGCACATAAACTGGCCGCGCATCGCATCGGGGTGCGTGTTCCTTTGGGAAACGTGTCATTGAACAGACAAAAGGCGAAATTAATTAGGAGATGTTAGAGATAATTTTGCTTTGGCAGCATGATAACCCCACAGAATAGCTTTTCTACTCGTGTAACATTATATGCGTTCAGATGGGTGCATATCATTTTGCGTTTTCCAATGGAAAATAACAGAATAAACTTACGGCCTGAAAGCTGTTGACTCAAAAACTCGTGTTTTGCGAGATAATTGTTCCAAGCACTTCATTCACAAATGTGATTTGGCAGCTTCTAAAATGTTTTCTTTGTCCTAACAAGGTTACTTTGATAGCGATGACAGTTTGATTCAATTAATCTTAGGTTTCTAACCTTGACGGCCTGTCATGTTAATTGAATTACCCGGCTGGCGCGCGGATTTTGATTGGCTGACGAGCTGGGCAAATACTTTAATTAATTAGTCATCAATTTCGCACAAGCTGTATAATTTAATTGACGCATCTTAGGGTTGGGTGAAAACTCCGAGGTGGTTTGTGTGATCGGTGAGTTACAAATAAAAGGCATTGCCGCACCGCAGTGATTTTTTCCTTCGGCAACGTGAGCTTACGGTCGTCCAGCTGGGTTGTCTTCAACTCTTCGCTCGCTTTCTAGGAGTGGGACATTTTTCATGGAGAGGCAAGGAGTTAAAAACAATTCAAGTTCTCCGAATTCTGCGAACTTTAATGGGAGAAACTCAAACAACCAACATGATAGAGGCAACAAGTTGTTGCCTTTCTCCATAGAAGCCATATTAAGTGCACCGCATCCAAAGAAAGAACCCGCGACAAGAAAAAGAGTACATTCTTCTTCGCGAGAAACTGGCCACGAGGACTTGAGTTCACCTCTCTCAACTCTAGAGGACTTTACGAGTAGCAGTCTACCTGAGCGTGGTGAAAATCAATTGGAAAATCCCGAAATAGGTAAGCCTACAACCTTGTGTATTTCGACAGTTCCCTGCAACAAAAGCCAGGAAGTTCATAGCGGGAAGTAATGCAGCATTAGGTCTTAAAAGCTTTAGCTCTTTGACCGTTTGTAAACAACCTTAGAAAATTCCACTGTCTCAATGAATTCAGGTCCCTTAGCGCATTATAAATAACACTGACCTGTCCAATTCTCCAAGCAATCGAAAAGCAGTTAAAACGGTATTGTTTGTTCTCGATTTGCATGGCAGTTTAAGCTTTGTTAGTAGGTTTTGCCCTTGCGTTTTATTTATTTATACGTGCTCGCTGACCTGTAACTCAGTGAATTTATCAGTCAGCTTAGCAATATTTCGCTGCCTTTTTTCAGCGGCAAAAACTCTTCAGCACAGACTCGTGGCTTTCCAGGCAAGATTGAACGCCAGGAAACGTCGCAAGGCAAGAACATGTTTCACAAATCAACAAATATTTGAGCTCGAGAGGCGGTTCGTGTATCAGAAGTACCTCTCGCCCGCGGATAGGGACGAAATTGCTCATTCACTGGGAATTTCTGGAGCTCAAGTCATCACATGGTTTCAAAACAGACGGGCTAAATTTCGTCGAGACCTCGAAGAAATGAAAAGCGACGTTCAAGCTGCGAAGATTATGGACAACAAGCAAATAAACAAATTGTGCAAGCGTTTGGAAATTTAACTACTTTGATTCAGTCGCCAGGTTTTGACATCCCACAATTGAAAGTCTTCTTCATACAGATTCTTCTCCACATTCACCCAACACTCGGCAGCATGCTGTTACAGTGTCCATTTCGAACGCGCTGATCCACAAACTCTCAACCCTCAAAGAATGATTCGAGAAACGCAAGGAAACTTGACTGTCGCGAAGTAAATGTTTTGGAGTACTCGCTTTCACCACTCAAACAACTTGTTGTAAGTGAGCCTTTAGGATTTATTGTTAAGGTTGTTGAACAGTGTTTGTGTTTTTACTTGGTTTTTATTGAATTTGTTGAACAAATCTCCCTTTTGCTAAACATGATTTGTCTCAAGGTTAAATGCTCTGTTGAACTGTGCGGAACGCAATCATAAATCACTGAGTTTTTCTTTGACACAAAAGAAGTTCGACGCTAAACGACCCATAAATCAACTTGCTGTCCACTTAGCCAAGGAAGTCTGAAACTATTTTGGGAAAAAGGTCATATTCAAGAACCGGACATTGCATTTATTTAATCGAACTTGGCCACAAAGTCGGAATTGATGTACATTTTTCGTTTTCTTTCGTTGTACATGCAACAAAATTGAAACTTTAATTCGCATAATTCCTTGTTCATATTTATAAACGTCATTCATGGACAAATTTTAACGATGACACACTAAATATCAAGTTCCTCAATGACTGTAAAGGAAAGTTGTATATATAAATTCATGCAGTTCCATTTGCGTTAATAAACACCCGTTAAAAGAAGCGTTTGACTGTGCGTTTCATTCTTTATTTAATAAAACGCATCCGCTTGCAGAGGAAGTTGCTTTCGGTCTTCGTCCTTGGAGTGCGCGGATTCGGTGAGATGAAAGTTCTATAAATTCTCAGGGACTTGTTTTTAGGGTGTTCTATTGGATTGACAAGAAATTTTAAAGAAATCGTTAACCCAGAGTTGTTTAAATAGCAAATAGAGGCAACAAATGATTCTTAGCATATAATATGCCACATCTACCACGTTATCTGCTCTCGACAGATTGTATAGGTCACAGCCGGACCTGCTTCGAGCCGAACAATGCCTTTCAAAAAATGATTTATAAACTCAGGAAATTGTAGGTGCAAAACTATTCGTTAACGTCAAAGAGTTGTGGATTGGTAATCAAGCTTGTATCTCTCTAACCAGTGATGGATTGTTTTGCTGAGTTAACTCGTGAGAACAAGCGAATTTATGAATTACTCTTATATCGTGGGTGGTTCTTTTTGCCACACAACCTTCGATTATAAATGGTGAATGCTTTTGCTTGAACAAGGGCCTCAACAATTCGCTTTTACATGCGGATGTTTCTATTACTTAAGTGAAATAATTCCTTAAAAAAAAAAACTAACCGGCTGGGTTTATAGGTTTTACAGCAGTATAAAGCAAACGATTTTTATACTGGCCACGAAAGAGCGCACGTAGTAATCAAGAGCATTTGTGGGAGCAAACAGTTCGTATTGTCAGAGGCGAATACGTCTCTGACTGAAATACCTTACATTTTCGTTGTTCTACCTACCGCCGTAAAAGTGACTTAATATTGGTTTGTACTATACAATCTCGTGCATGGCATTAAAAATACAAAATCACGAAAATAAACTCAACCTTCTATAGTTTTGGAAAGGATCAAAGCTCTAAATCAAACTTATCACTCATCCAAGAATAGGGCATATCAAAATGGTCAGGAATTCCGGATTAAGCCGTTTATTGGAAGACGATATAGCGTCCTTTTTGAGCCAAAAAAGCGTACGATAGGCTATGCTCAAAAGCGTCAATTTTAATGATTTATGTCGCTTCAAAAGTTATGCGTCAACAAGGCATGTCTCTTAGTAAGCTTAAACCTCCTCAGTACTTTAGTAGAGGTTATAAGGTTGACCCGCTTTTGTCGACAATTACATGTCGTTTCTTCTTTTGCTAACAAGGATTATTTTTTACTGGGATACTCTGTGCACTGCAAGGTTACGGAAGCGGCTGAGTAGGGGTTAAACTGTGTGCATACTTGCCGTCGCCGTGGGTTCTATAAGTGTTTTCTACGGCAGCGCGGTGCCGAATGAAAATGCGCTGATATAGCTAGTAAAGCTTCGTCTACTATGGTTTGAAAATGAAGTTTTCCGGTATTTTCTTTAGTAAAGGACGTTGTTTTATCGCGTCAGATTGACTGAATATCAAAATCTATTTCCCTTTCAAGTTTCAATCCTTTCGAGTCTGCCCGATCTTCTATTCTTTTTAGTAAGATGCCGGGGTACAAAAAGAAAGGTTCTATTAAATTAGCCCGCGAATACAGCGGCGTTTCTCCTTGCTCCTCGCCTCTAGGGACTTTTCGCCAGGAGGAACTGGCGAAACGTCCCTAGCTGCGCGGAGCAAGGAGAAACAGCTGTATTCGCAGACTACTGTTAAATTGGTGTTTGTTAAGAATTCAAACCGCACTCAAATTTACACTAGAAAAGTGCTGCTCCACTCTACTCGATTTCGCATCTCTACTCCCGGATCTTATTATACCGGCGCCAGTATACAGTAAGGCTTTAACTAGGTTTCATTGAGACCATTTAAATCATTGAAGGTAATGCATTATAAAATAGTATACAGTAACTTCAAATAGACAGAGATCCAGAAAAGGGCATCAGTGTGTTTATGTTTCAGGATTTCATTCAGGGGCTCAAAACTGCGAACCATCTAGTACAGCATAGAGGGGACATTCTATTTAGTACAGCAAAATGAGCTGACAATTGACTAGATCTCTTTTACGCCTTCTGAGACAATAGTTAGGACTATCTTCTAGAGCATAATAGATTAGAAGAACTGCAACTAGCATGTAGCCTGCGTTACTGCCGGCCCACGCACTCGTAAATATAGTCCTATATACAGAAGGTTTAGAGCGTTTGCGACGCAGGCAACTAGCATGTGCTGGCATAAGCTTTTATTTAGCATATATAGTTTCACCGTCATTATGGTTTTTAAATTCAATCTGGTAGCCAAAAGGAAAATGGAGAACTGTGAACTCCACATCATCACTTTATTTTCTGTTATTCAAATGTATGAACAATACCATTATGACATAAAGGAGTGTCCCATATTCATGAATAAGAACTAAGCGAAAAGGCCATCACTAGAATTAAACACCAGACTTAAACAAACAAATAAAAATTTCTCATTTCAGTATTTGTTTAGTAAATTAAACTAATGCCACAGAATTAACTGAGTTAACCATAAATAACATAACTTCCTAGACTTCTTTCTGTTGGGAGTTCATCGTAGATGCTAAAATAATCAGCCTAACATCTCTGATTCTCGGGGCAGGGTCTTGTTAATATTGCGTGCTATCATTTGAACGTGGTGTTCAGGGTTTCAGGGACGCCTTCGGGACTGTAACCAAACTATCCTAAATGGCGCCTGTTTCAGAGAGGAAAACAGCGAATGGTCAAGAAAAACAGTCATTAATTTTGATTAACAGGGACAGGGTAGAGAGGATTTGCATAATTTTGCTTTGAACTTCAAGTTCCGACAGGTAAACGGGGAGACTAAAATATTGCTTTCTGGCATAAGCCTATATGTTCAATATAAATGCGTTTTAATTCAAAATACAGGAACTTTTGTCGTGAAAATTTAATATAATATTGATAGTAGGATGTAGCGATGAACAACTCATTACTTCCTTGCTTACTGTCCAATAACAACTTGATCCATAATCCGCAAAATCAATAGAAGATCTCGTAAAGAAGCTTTCAGCGATATCGCATCTCTTGACATATCGACATAGGGTGGATCCATTTTATCAGTTTACTCCCATGAGCTAATCCTACGCTAACTAGCTAGTGAACTAGTCAAGCTAATGAACATTAGTATCTGAACTCTGCTTCCATGCAGTAGTAACTGAAAATTGTTCATTAATGTTCAATTTTGCTTTTTTTTTAATGGAAGCGTACCTCATTCCATTGCTTTACTTAAGGATGTTTATGTCTCAGCTAATACATTTGTTTACTAAAAAGGGAGGAAGCGTAAAAAATGATGGCATGCATTGAAGGCGCGGTGTCGGTTTAGTTCAAGCTGTTTACGCTCTCTCCTTTTTTTTATGTTTTCTTTATCAGTGAGTCATTCAACGCGTTCTAGGTACTACACAGACTGGCGTTCTCAAAAGTAGTTACTTTCTTACTGACAGTGATAATTTGCTAACCAAATTTGTCATTGTTTAACTCGTTGGTCTTATTCATTATTTGTGGTGCGCAATCAGCCATTTTAGAGCGTTGCTCTGGAGTCCAAATGAACAGCGATACATATAATTACTACGTGTACAACCAGTCTGGTGTACAACTGTATTAACCCAACTTAAACATCGTAAATATTCGACAAATACGTTGCTTAGTTATTTAACACGGCTGGAACGCCGTTCCAAGTGAAAGCTTCTTTAGTTCGAAAACGGCCAGTACAGCCCACCTCTTATAACTGTGAGTGAAAAACTAAGGAAGAGTATAAAAATCTGTAACGAAGTGGCATAGGCCACTTGCATGCGATCATTTTGAACTGCTGGCGTACCCGCCATTAATATGAATGTAAGAACGAAACAGCTTGAAATTTGTCCCACACGACATTTTGGAGTCACGTAAATTCTGCTCTAAAAATCCTTGGAGTAAACTTTTATGTGCAAAAGGGTTTCATGGGGGTCATAAGGACAGGTTTGGCCTTTTGGATGATGAGATCTTAGTATCGAACTCGGTAACCACTTGAAGAGAAAATTTCCGATCCGTGTTATCCTTTAAATCCTTGCAAATTAATTTTCCAGTACTGTGACGATTTGAAGGTAAGGATCTCTTCTTTATCTGTGATTCGACAGTGCCTTTTACCTCAGTTTCACACATTCTAGGCAATAACACAAAAAAATCAATTTATCTATCACTTTACAAGTTACTGGAATAAGCTATACCTCTCGCGTGAATGTATAATCGGACACACCCGCGGTGCGATTCTCAAAACATTCATAAGCCGGCGGCCAAAATGCTTCGGGTTGTCTGCAAAAGATCTGATCTGAAGGATAAAGTTATCTCAACATCGGTCACATCAATCTCTGCCGTCGGCATATTGTCTGTTCTCCAAAAAATGACCTCCACCCAACAAATTGAAAGGCGTACGTGTGTATAAACAGATAGTGTTGAGTTTCCATGAGTAAGTAGGCTGCGTGGTAGGCGTTCGAAAGTGAAGGGAAAAGAGTTCAGGCTAATGAGTAAGAAGCAACGCATTCACACGGACAAATTGAGTTGCTCCGTCCAAAGGAGGCAAAGAATTCAGTTGCAATTTTTGAAAGCGCTTGCGATGAGTTTTTTTATGTGTTGCCTAAGTGAATTATAAATTACTTCCAAGAAAAGGGAAAGGGCAGAGAAATGAGACTGGAAGAAGTTAAAATAAAACAGCATTCACTACTCAAGGATGGTGAAAGTCTCAGTGTTCTATCACGATCTTCCTCTTTCACTGGAATGTAAAGTTAAAACAACGAAACCGTGCCTCTAAGGGTTAGTGATATTACCAAGAAGTGTTACAAAAAGATGGGAAACTCGAGGTGATATTTTTAGATCCCTGACTTGCATCGATGGGGTGGGAACCTCCAAAAACACAATCAGCTCAATGCCTGATACTTATTTAAAAAAAAAAAAAAAGGTTTCGGCAAGCACAAAATTAAAGACTTTAACAACAGCTAGACTCTTGCATTATGAACAGATGCACTGCTTCCTTCTACCCGCAAAAACATGAATTTAAGTAATTGTCCAATTTCATGAGAGTTTCTTTTGTTTCAAACGTGTGATTTACCCCCAGAATGATTAGCAATTACATTTCGTAATCAATTATGTCCCAGTGGCTCTTATTGTTAAACTATCAATTGTATGACAAATTACTAACCCACTGAGGTTACTGTCGAAGTTTGACTTCAGCACTTAAGTGTTTACCATATTCACTGTAGGTTGAGACTGTAACAGCAAAACCAGTCTCCAGAAAAACAGTCACCTCAAATAACGCAGTTTTTATATGACGTGAATAACTACTCTACAAATCTTATTGGAAGGTTAATTTTCAGTTTTCGTCTTTTTGGGACATGGCTTTCCGCGCCTATAATCAAAAATATGAATGCTCAGTTAGAACCTTAAATCATACTCCTACATTTAGTATGCATTGCACTTGCCATTTCCGAAGGAACTAACCGACACTGAACCCTTTCTCCTTAAGTGAACTTGCACGTTTATTCACACATCACTCGAATAACTAGATCCTAATTACAGCAGCCCGACTAGAAATTATTAATCTCTCCTGTTGAGGTCTGACTGCAACACATGAAATAATCATTTTGGCGGTGTACATGAGCTGCTCAAAAGGATCAGTAGAAACAAAACAAGACTCATTTCTCAGGTTATCCAATACTGTCTATATAGTTTCTAAATATCACAGTTGCCCAGACACAGGTCTTAACTGCAAGGTACTCGAAGTTGCATTTCAACGCCCACGAATTGCTTGGTAAGAAGATAAATCCTTGGTCGGATTAGCAAGAAAACCTACCCTCACGATTTTGTTTTAATAGTCCCCTGTGCGCGATACGCCTTCAAAGCCTCCTTGACCACGACCTTGCTAATCTCTTGAAATTTAACAGTTGTTAAGAAAGATTGCGTTTTATCACTCGGAGGTATGCTCACCTAATTAATTTTCCTGACGTTCTGACAGTAATTAGATAATTCTTCCGGTGGGAGATATAATCGCATTAAACAGGCATTCTATATCATCTATCTTGGCATTCCATCTGGCGCCTTTGCAGTCTCGCGGTTTGTTTAAGTGGGTCGGCTGTAATCGATATTTGACAACGATGAGCTGTACAGCTATTTATTTGCACAGACCCGATTTTCACTGAAATTAATTACTGTCGTCGGCCTTTTGAGATTTTAGTGTCCAAGTCCGGATGTAACGTCAGTCAATAATGTGGAACTAAGAAGAACCTGAATATCACAACTAATGCGAGATGCAGAAACTGGACTGTTAGAGAAAGTGTTTTTTTTATTGTTTTTTATTGCGTGAGTGAACTTTTAAATAGGAAATCTCGGAAAGTAAGGACAGTTTTAAAATTTATCAAAATTAGCGTGCGTAATATTTCATTCTTTAAATTTTACGCATAACAAATAACCCAGTGCTAAAGAAATGATAGCCTGTTCCGCTGACCCGGCTATAATTATTGATACTTTGACCTCAAACAGACAAAAACTGCGCATGCTCCTTAACATATGATATGAGCACCTGAATCACAAAGGTCCTTAAGTTCTTTTTTTCCATGATTTTTCCATCCATCCATCTATCCATCCTGCCAACCAGATTTGTAAATGGCATAATTTGCAGTACCTCAACGAGAGCGTGTGACATGCCTCCGTTACCATGGTTACAGGAAAAATGGCGCTTACGTTACCTCATATTTTATGCAAATGCTTATAATTGACAGCAAAATATACGCAACATCACCAAATTCAAGAAATCATCAGTTAAGTGTTTTAAAATGATGTTGAAAACTTCAACTAGCTGTTTTGAACAGATTGATCCGAAATGGAGAGTTGTGGGCGAGGAAATTCTTGGTAGTTATTTCTGCGTCATTTCATGGGTTATATACTCCACAAATTATGGTATAACCCTCTTTATATTATGTTGTTTATGAAACACCCATATTTCTCCTGGTTCAATTACGATATTTCTCCTGGTTCAAGTGTGTTGCTTAACACCTCTTATTAGAAAAAAGATACTTAAGTATTGAGACAGGACCTTAGCATTGTCCAATAAAACCTCTGTGACCTTTTTTAGCCGTTATTCTGCGGACTAAGTCTGTGAAAATACTAAAACTCGGAAGCTCAGCTCGCACTAATTGGTCAGAAAAAGTAGTCTGCATAGCCTCACTGTTGCCAAGACAGTCCGAAAATTGACTTCTAGCTAGACTTTATCCTACTCCGTGCACATACAGTAATCCAAAGAGTATTCTTTATTATTATTCAGAAAAAGCCAGGCTTATTACTACAGCATATCGCAAACTGAGGCAACTCTCTAAAAATCTGCTTATTGGAGAAGAAAGATGTGTCCGTTGTCCGCATTAAAGGTTTGAATTTAAAAAGGAAATGGAAAGGGCTTTTTTCAAGGGTAAAGGAAACTGTTGTTCTTAATGCGATGCGTCCGTCAGGGGGTTCTCAGGAAAAGGCAGGCTTATTGCAGCACATGTCACAGTTGACAAGGCAGTGCCCGTCCGTATTCGCAACGACTTACATATGTAAAACATCTGTTCTTTGAACAAGAAAGAAGTGTCCGTTGTCCTCATGAACGGGGATCTGAACCAAGAGGGTTGACTTTAAAAACTGGAAAATAGAAGGTCTCTCCCCCCACGGACAAAGAAAACTGTCTGTAATACGAGGTGTCCGTCAGCGGTTCTATGGTGTTTGTCATACTCTAAAAAAAACTTCGCTTGATTCCCCTAATCAAGAAACAAAAAGGGAAATAAGTACAACCTTTCGGCGCACCGATTTCAAGGATCGTTTGGGCGGACAAGGGTTACTTCTGATTGGTTAATGGTTACCTTGAATCACCATCGACCAATCATAACTAACGCTTATCCACCCAAACGATCCCGGAAACCACTGCGGCCAAGCTTGTACCCATTCACCCTGGAGTTTCAATTTCTATGAAGTGGGCAATAACAAAAGGACCTGAAGGAACTGTACAGAAAAAAACACTTCTACTAATAGCTACAGTTGAACCTGTCCACAACGGCCACCTTGGGAACGGACGAAACTGGTCGTTGTGGAGAGGTGTCTGTTATGAGGAGGTAGCGTTGTTATATGACATTTTTTTGGGTGTAGAACTGTCCGGTTTAGGTTTCTGGGAAACTACGCACCTACCCCTCCCCTAAGCTAACATTAACACTTACTTCTCGCTTAGGGGAGGGGTAGAAGGGCAGTTTCTCAGAAACCTCAATTGATCCATGTTTCTTTTTTGGTGTATGGACTCAGTGTCCGCCGGGACAAAATAAATTGAAGTGGCCGCTGTAGAGAGCTGGGTGGTCGTTATGGAGAGGTGGCCGTTAGTTGAGGTTCGACTGTATGAGCTTGTATTGTAGCAACGTTCTATTAAAAAGGAGCAATTAAGTTTTTTATACTACTACATAAGAAATTTCTGCAATTTGATTGGCTTAGAGCAGTGGTGTTTCAGCGTAATTTGAAATACCTACATGTGAAAATTACAAACTTTTTGCGTGTATAGTAGTATAAACAAATAATAACATGATTTGTACGTGATATTTGGCACAAATACCACTCGTGATATTTTAAAATTGTCTCAAATTTCACTCGCCTAACGGCTTGTGAATTTACGTACAACAATTTCGAATTATCACTCCTGGTATTTATGCCAAATATCACTACAAATCATGCTATTACCTATACAAATCTGATGAGAATTGCGTTATAACTGAAATCCTTGAACATCATCATCCGCCAACAAAAGAATCACTCCTTAGTCAGCAAGTAGTTAATTTTTACTTCATCGAAAATACTCGCAGATATCCTGGACACTCTGGACAAGAACAATAAAACTAAAATCTTAAATCAGTAAATCGGATTTTGAAGTACGTAGACTGGCAAAGACGACGTCTAGGAAGGCCCAGTACAAGCAAAAATAAGCCGGTCAGTATCGCTTATCTTGATAATATAATGTAATCCACTTAGTAAAAGAGCATTGACTAGTTATAAAATGTTAATACAATCAAGAATGAAAATAATCATGTACTCCTGTTCAGGATAACATACTCTATTCCTATCCCAAAAGTGGAAAGTAGTTAAAAAATGCCAAAAGACAAACAAACAACAATGTAATCCTGTTTCAGTATAATGTACAATGAATCCTACTCATTTGTTATTTCGACATATATTGGACATATCGTGGGAAGGAGTGTGATGGGGATTATTTCGTTTAGTAAAAGATATGCTTATCAATATAAACCTTTCTTCATGAGTAATTAGTCTTTTGTGGACCGTGTTAGTTTATTTTTTGACATGGTTCGCCATTAGCAGCAGTTTTTGCACCACAATTTTGTGGGGAAAAGTTCTGCTTGCATAATTTTCATTTTGCCTTAAATGACATAGAGTAAGATAGATAAAGTTTAATTTCACGCAAAGGCGTAATTGACCCACATCTGCGTGCGATACTGCTTACCGCTTTATTGCTGCGCGATATTGTTTGTTCAAACTCGTTAACTGGAACTGTCGCTGACCAAAAGGATCGGGTCCTTTGGTAACGATTTCAAGGACGAACCTCCCCGCGGTCCAACCCTGACCCTTTCATTCGTATACCGTCCTTTAAAAAATGGTAAACCTTGCACATACCTAATAAAGAAAACTGCTTGAAGTTAATTTGAACAATATAATAAGAAAATATAACAAATTACAGTGTACAGTCTTGTAAGGTGCGTTTGTTCAAAGAATTTCTTTTTATTTTTCTTTATATATTTTTATTTCGCACACGCAAACAATTACAATACATTACATTTACAATTCATTACAATAAATTCTAATTTTACCTTACATTGAAACAGGTAACTGTTATCATTTACAGAAAAGAAAAAAAGAAAGAATTAAAAAGAAAAAGAAAGACAAAGTCCACAAAAATACTATAATTTATATGTTAACAATTAAGAGAAGGCTGCCTGTGTTCAAAGTATTTCTAATCAATTTAAGGCCAGGAGTTTTGATATCCTCATTTGTACATTTCCCATTATACACCCTGTTTATCCACCCCCCGCCCCTTCTTATATGCAATGTGCAAAGGACGTTTCGTATTTGCCTGTCCGGTTACACTGACCGTGAGGAGTCTGAAGACGAGAAAAGGAGAAACGAGTGGTGGACTCCTCGTTCTCTCCCAATTCTCCCACTCGTTCTCTAAAACAGGATATTGAAGCCTGCGGAGAAGGATAGTTTCGTATCATGTTTTAAACACTAGTTTATCACAGAGTTATGGTGTTTATGATGAGTGTTTACCTAAAATACAATATTACCACCTGCGAATGTATATATCAATGTTCTCATCTCCAAAATGTTTCATTCGCGAGAAATAACACCCGCCGGCGTGAGACAGTTATTTTCTTCCAAGATAATAGCTTTTGTTGCTGTTTACTAAAAGCGACTTTTTATGACTCAGTCACAATATTGTAAAGAAGATCGGGGTGGGTGAATGGAAGTTTAGAAATAAAAGTTCAAAGTCAAGTGTCGTCATAACGTTCGGAGTGCTACTCAGCTCACGTAAACTGAAAGTGGGTGCTTTCTAAGTGAATAAACCATTAAACTGTACCTGAAAGCTGGTTATTTAAAACCAGCTTTCACGTACAGTTTAATGGTTAATTTAGTCAAAAAAAGAAAATAAAGGGAGCAGAAGCTATTCTATATTCTGCTCACATGAAAACTAAAGCCCTCTGCAAACGGACGCAACAATGTTGGTAAACAGCTCCCAACATTGTTGGGAGTTGGTGCGTCCGTTTGCAAGTAGCTTTATAAAGTATTGTGCCGTGCTTTCACGGCTGTAATGCGCCTCGTCGTTTTTTAATTAAAGACAGGTGTTAAAAGACCTCCTCCGTCCTACAGTTTGTCTCATGCAAAGCATACTGACGTATCTAAACGCACTTTTTGTAAGACGCATTACTCTAAAGTCTTACAATATTCGCCCAGTATCTACCACGAATAAATCTCTAGTAGTATTAGTGAGAGTCTCTGTTCATTACCAGCAGGCTGAATATCCTCTTTAAGATCTATAGTAAAAAAGTAAAAAAATTATTGTCTTGCACATAACGCTCATGAATATGCGTTAGTATGGTAGATGGGAAATTAGTGGATCAATTTTTTTTCTAGGCCTCAGGGAATTTAAGATAAAATAACAGGGCCCAGAAAAATTGCTGGAACGTTTCAAACTTTTTACAGAAGAATATATTTATCTAAATAATTAGTAAATCGCGAAAACCGAGAAAAAGCCTTCGTGAAAATCACGTTTAATTTATACGACAGGAAAATATATCACGTCTGCTCACAGGGTACACTTAAGAGTAGAACCTTTTAAGAAAACAATTAAAATATAAGTACAAATAATAATTTTTATCGCCAGCCAAGTTGACTTTCATTTGTAAACTGGCTGCATGCATGCTCAATAAACTAAGAAGACACATTCAGGTTTCAGGCGCGGATGCACACCGGTTTCCACGGTTTTACAGAAATCGGTCAGATTTTTTCACGAGATATATTTTTAGTTAAAAAAAAGCTATGCAACTAGAAATCTTGTTCCATCACTACAACATGGAAATTGACCATGATAAAATCCTCCGATTTGCAAGGCTTCATTAGAATAGAATGGAACTGGCCAACATCCTCTCTGAATGACTCAGAAACCCAGGAAAGGGGCCTTTAGGTAGTGAAAATCCAAAAAATTTCCTGTGATAGCCCATGCTCCCTGATCCCCCAGAAGCTTGCGCCCTCGGCGTTACGTTTCGTTAGGAAATCGGTCAAAATTTATCCTAGATCCGCCCTTGGGTTTTATCGAAATTGTATATTGAGCAAAAAAAATTATGTACCGTCCTTGAACAACCGTCGTTGTCCCATCTATATTTTTTTTAACCTTTATTTTATAAACTCAAGAAAACTTCGGAATGTTTATTTACTTATTTAAATGGCAAACTTGAAAGGTAATCGTGTTAATCATGGTGGTAAAACCGAGGGGAAAAATAGCTCACCGAAAACCTGTTATCGTGAACACCTGTATTTTTGATAACACCGGCGCAAAGTGCTATTTAGCCGAAGGTACTCTTTAATATTCAATTTGCAGATAAATATTTGAAAACATTTTTAGGCATCATAAGCCAACTTTGAACTATTTTTCATCAGAGCAAGATCTTTTGGTATATTGTCAATTTTTGCACAGGAGAAAAACAGAAAAAAGACAAAAGACAAACGCGACGATAAAATCTCACAAAGGGACCATGGTGTATAAAGCCACACAATGTATTGATGGACTTTAATTGATTGTTTCGTATGTAATTACTTGACTGAGAAAAAAAAAATTCTGAGGTGATGTTATTGAAGCCAATGTTCGCGTTTAAATTAACAAGACACTATTATTCTTCTAGAAGTAACTAACGAAATTGTTCTTTTAGTAAGAATTGCCCTAAGACCATCAAGACGTTAATTTTCTGAGCTGTCTTCTATTTTTTTTAGCGCACGTTGGGCCAAAATTGATACCTTTTTCTCCTTGAGATTTCTGTTTCTATTTCAACCTTTGTACCTTCCTGATCGATCCACGGGTAAAACAGCGGGCCAGGATAAATATCGAGATAATAGCTGATTTGGTTTTTGCCAACCTGGCAACAGAGGCAAATCACGTGTCAAAAATATGAATAAGTCAGGGAAAAATCAAGGAAATATGATACTTGCATTATATTATATACTCGCATGCGCTTTTGTCAAGAACCGCCCTTTCAAATGTTGTATAAAGATAGAATTCCCGGATGCCAGAAGAAACCTTTTTAGTTTCTTTCTGCGTATTTTCCGCAACGCGCCAACAAAGGTTATTAGCCGGAACAAAAGGAAACTGATTGCAAGTAGTCTTTGAAGTATCAGCAAGTTTTAAGGTCACGCAATAACTGAGAAGAAAAACACAATGTGGATAAAAACACGGTTGGTACTTTACCTGTTATTGCCATCCATTGGCTTTTCGGCTGCGTTCCAGATAGACTTCCTTGGTGTGACTCCTTTGAATGAACTGCAAGCTAACAGTACTCCACCAATCCCACCCTATCCTGGTTTACGTGGAGAGTTCAGTTTACCACCACCAGACTCAGTAGTTATCTCTTCGATGGAAAACCCGCCTTATGTCCTGTTTGACGAAGAACCATTAGAAAAGAGCGAAAACATAACTAGCTATAACTCGTCACAGCCAGGAGAAGCGATGAACGCAACGAACGATAACAGTGGTATTAACCAAGAAAGTAAACAGGAAAACAAAGACGACGATGGCAATCCGACTGGCTTCAGAGTGACAGGCATCTTTCAGGAAATTGTGTCGAAGGGACTTCAGATTTGCGTTGGAATACCCCTTACTAAAATCAACTTCACGAAAAAAGCTGGTAATCTCCAACAGCTTGATAAAACCATTGTGAAAAACGAAGCTGATCTGGCGCTACCTGTGCAAGGAAGCTGAGATGGTTCTTACGGAGGGCACACGTACGTGGAGGTCTTGAAATCGCCAGGTGTTGTTTTCATAGTGGATAAACAGCAAACACTAAAACATTTACGAAAGCGCTTCTTACAAGCCATGAAAGATACCTGGCCTGTTATTATTTTAACCTTACTTTTGGCAGGATTTGCTGGGATTTTAATCTGGGGACTGGTAAGTGTGCATAATTTTGATAACTGAAAAAATGATCCAGAGAGATTTTATTTACTTCGGTAAACGGAAGGTAAATATGTTAATTTATGGTGGTAATATGGAGAGAAAAGCCCCTTTGGAGTCTTTTATCTTGTATTGTAATAGTGGATGGAGGACTTGTCAAAATCGGTTATTCTATAGATTAGGTATTAAATTTGCAAATCATGGATTGTTGGGGAAACAAATTTGACGAGACACGTGAGGTAGATCTCTTTAGTTCCTTAGCCGATTGTAAAACTGTTTTTCACAACAGGATCTTTGGTTATAATCATGGTTTATGTTGCAGAGACGAAAATCTAAAGCGACAGAAATTAAAAAGAAGTCATTTTAACAGATGAAACCAATTATTCTGGATTTAGCCGAAGCTTTCAGTTCGCCGACTTCCGCATCTAAGGATTATGAATTTAAATCGATTATCGTGGCCCTTAAAGAGGTACCTTTAAAATTTAAATTGACAAGTATTACCGGTTAAAGAAGTTAGACTGGTTTCCTAGAGTAAGCTTTAGATTTAGCCACCAATATCGGGGCATCCTTAAAAGGCTAATTTGAAAAAAGAAACCAATAAAACGCGTTGTTTACAGTGAGCTAACTGAGCCAAGGGGTGAACGGCTTCAACCAAGAGTTCCTTTTTTAAGCCTTTTCGTATTGACATCTTGAGAGAAATGCGCAGAAACTGAGAATCGTGATTCTAAGTTAAGCTAAAATATTGCTTTTTTCACCGAACTGAATACTGATACGAAGCCAGTATCGTTCTCCGCTATTTATACTTAACGACTGGGTCACAAACGGTTTTCAAGCGTATGGAAACGAACACTGTCGACTAGTCGGCGCCGCTTGGTTCGTTTAAGTTTAGGTGCGTTTAAAAACGCATATTTTCCATTACACCTGTTAAATCAATACTAGAATAAAACCTGAAAACTTATATGCGCTGAAAAAAAACGATTATATTGTTTCCTTAATTTCAGCTAGTACTTAAGAGCACCTTTTGTTCATCTGGGAATCGTAATGTTTAAACTTATCGAACGACCTTTTTAAATAACAATTTTGCCATGGTACTTCCTCCCTCTCTCTCTCTCTCTCTCTTTTTTATTTACAATATTTCTTTTTATTCTCTTCCCCCAATCTTCAATATTTCCCAAATGCATCGCCTTCAGACTGATATTGCTCCTACCCAAAACAAAACTCGTTCATCTGAAAAAAAAAAAAAAAAAAATCGACTAAATTGGTATTAGACAGGCTTTTGCAAGAACTTATAGATTATATGTTTTCCAAACAGACTTCTTTCGTTACTAATATAAATACTGTCCGATGCCCGAGGAACGCATGTTAGCTCCAAAGCCAAAACAAGCAAACTGCTACAATCTTTAAAAAACAAGGGAACCGGAACAGCGTGTCAACAGCGTGTCCTTGACGTGAAAATGGGGAATTTTACTTCTCTGGTTTTTGGTACGAATCGCGGAATGGGAGCTGAATGTTAGTTATTTCGGTTCTGAAAAACCTAGCTGACAAGCTATCACGAAAGGATGGGGAGCCTTACGTTTCAGTAATGACATGGTTAAGAACACTCTTGTCTTTACCAAGTTCCTTTTACTGTTTTTCGCGTAAATTAAGAACTCTTTAAAGATGAAGTTGTATTTTGATGCAATACAGTAGAACCCCGGTAACGCGAACTCTGAAGGGACACGAAAAACAGATTGAATCTTCAATTTACCATGTTTTATAGTTAACTTGTATTTCAGCTCATCAATATACAGCAGAGTGCAAATTAAGTGACTCATTAGAAATTGCAACACGTTTAGGCATTTTTATGATAATACAGCGAAATGAATGACTGCAAATGCGTGATCTGTTCGTTGCACTGATTAATCTCGCTTGCGTAAGCAGCGAGACTCATAATCTGCAATGCATTTTTCGCCCCGGGGGGTACCTCCCTTATATAGCTATATAGGTATGTGCGGCGCCAAAGGGTATGTTTTTTTTTTGCCGTTTTGGTCTGAAATAAAGTATCAATTAATTTCGACCATTTTGGTCTGAAATAGGATATGGTTTTTGCACTCTAGTCTTGAATTGGCTATGTTTTTTAGAAGAAGCTACTTCTTCATCATTTAGTTTTGATAAGACATTTCATTTCTTCATCATCGTTTTCGTCGTATTTTATCCACAAAGAGGGGGTAATTGTGTCAGGCGTTCCGTGCGGAGACCTTGGAGGCTGGGACTCAGACTCGTTGCGTGATCGAAGCCACGCATGTTTAGGAAAGATTAAATTTAGAGCTTTTCCGAAACGTGCCGGTCCACGAATTCTATCGCTTGAAAGCGTTGATTACTTTGGAACAAGTGAACACTACTGAGTAGTCGGAAAAAAATTCTTAATTAGCAAAACTGCGATGATCGGGTGTTGTAAACTTTCATTGTATGCAAATGGCCTTGTGATGAGCATACGGTTTATTTTCGGCGATGATTGAAATGACGTTCCATGTAAACTAGAAATACGTGTATCGCAGAAACCTCGCGAAGCTCGGGGGTAGCCCATAAGGGGTGGGAGACAGAGGTCATACAGCGACCACGAATATGTCACACACTAATATTCTGAGGATATCCGAAATACTATGTTAGTTTCGAATAATATAGGAACAAAAATACAGGGGGCCAGCAATAAAAATTTTTTTGTCATGTTTGACTCAAAAGACACAGCTGCGTTTATGTATACAAGGCTGCTATACGTATATTTATTTTACTTGTGAAGGAAATTGAATGAAAATTGTAAGCTTTTAATAAACGAAAAATTTTGCCCATTAAGGATTTTGTTTACAAAATGTAACGCTTCCCTACATGTCACACATTATCGGTGTTGTAAACTGTTCATTGTATTTAATAAAGCTTACTGTAAAACGGTGAAAAGGCTGATCGACTGTCCTCAGTCCGTTGCAAAGATACTCCTCCTGTCGATTTTACAGATGGTGTAATTCTTGCTTCCTATCGTTGCATCGAAGAAGATAATTTTGCCTGTAAACTTGCCTCTCCTTGTGCATTCTATTGACCGAATACTGAAACGTCGGCAGTCGGTGTTCCCTCTCTTCGTCGGCTTCTTTTGCAGTGTAACTGTAGTATTTTGTTGTCAACTCTTTACATATTCGTGGTCGCTGTATAACCTCTGTCTCTAGTTGACAGTGTTTGGCTTCGATGTGCCGTTACTCGCGCTGAATTTAAAGTCGACGTCCTCGCTCTTGCGGAGTTTTGTTTTTAAATCTTTCCCAGCGAGGATTTCCAGCCACTTGTTGAATCCACCGTCGTTGAGTTTGCTGTTCTGTTTTATTTACCTGAGATATTGGGTGGTGACTCACCGATTGAAACATTGTTATAATTCACAGATGAAAAAACCCGTCTTCAAGAAGAAAACCCAGAGCTTTGTCGTCGATGGCAATCGGTTGTCTGGAAACCCATAGTGCACTTTGACGTCACTACTGGATGACGTCAAGGCGGACACCAACCAAACTCGATAGATTTATAGCCAAGAGGAAATCACACTGGCCTTGCGATGCTTGAGTGATACACGAGCGCTTCGCGCGCGACGAGATTATATACCTCGCTTCGCAAGGAATTACTTTTTTGGTCCCTGGCAATGATGTAATTTCTCTGGAATCGAGGCCCTTGAATTTTCGTGTATTTATACAGGCGTATAGCCTGCGACCGCAGACGTATTTCCGGTCGTCGCTAACACGCGTATTAAATCAATTCTGAGACAAGTAAAAAGTATCGACGTCGATGAAGTAGGAAGTCTTTAGCGAGTAAATCCTGTTTCGTGTAGAATTGATCGCCTCCTCATTTCTCGATCTAATCTCGAAGCAAGTGAGACCGAATGCCGCTGTTAGCGCGTTCTTGTTTAAAACAAATTGTGTAGGGTTAGTTTTGGGTGTTTTATGATTGCATGGCAAGAAGCGCTGTAGAGATGGCAATCGTGCTGAGTTGCAAGAACCAGAATTCGAGTTATCGGGGTAAATTTCAGTGAAATTTTGATGAAGGGAAACGAAATTTAGTTCGATTTAGTGAGGAATTCGAGTTATCCGAGTAGAAGTGACTGAAAGGTAGGTAGTTCGATTTAGCGGGGAGTTCGAATTATCCGAATTCGAGTTACCGGGGTCCTACTGTAGTTAGGAAGCAAACTGAAAAATTTTAATTTTCTTCCAAATTGTACATTGTGAAAAGCTTGATTCATTGGAAAAATGTTTCATTTGACATTTTCTGTAAATAAAGGGTTCTTTAAATTTTATTCATATTATTTACTTTAACTTCCAGGATACATCTAAAAATCCTGATCACTTTCCAGGCTCTTTCACACGAGGCGTGATGGAAGGAATTTGGTGGTCTTTCGTGAGCATGACAACAGTTGGGTGAGAATAGTTAAGCACGATGCCTGGCTTCATTTAAGTCGTGTAATTTCTCGACTATCGCTATGACCAACTGCTTATGTGTTATATAAATCCAGATCCGACTTACTGGTCCGTAATTGCACCTTTAGGCAGGCCCAAACTCAACATGCTTAAAATTGGTTTATTGAAAGAACTACCACGGATAGTCCGTTGTTTACTTCCGATAGTCAGAAATAATAACTGAACGTAAGCGGAACGAAATACGAAAGGGTAAGGGGAAAATCGCAACCAAAAATAAAAAGCTACAATAAAAGTAATGGTTTAAACTGTTTTTTGAAGTGTGTTTTTGTAGGAATTTAGACAGTCCAGGAACAGTCCATTTTACCGATAATGTTATGTTTTTGAGTTTATATTGCGTTATAGATCCAATTTTCATGAGGCGTTTGGAAATTTTTATCAAAACCAGTATCGTGTAAGCAATACTTAACGTTTGATCTAAGGTGTATTTCCAATGGTACGTAGTTTTGAAGTACGCTGTACGCGCTTAGAATTTACGTGCGAAAATATAAGAGAGGCGATCTTTGAAAGGGCGCACGTAAGCGTGAAAAATAAGCAACGTTCAACTCTTACGTTTACGCGCGACCTTCCATACATGACCTCTGTTTCACGTACCCAGTAATATTAACGAGCGTACTCGTGTAAAAATTTCGCGACAGTGTAATTCCACCTTAAGAGAGTTCCTTTCTGGATACAGGTATGGTGATAGGACTCCAAAGTCACCGCCTGCACGTTTGTTTGGCATCCTGTGGATTCTTACCGGCCTTGTTCTTTGCTCGTTTTTCACCGCCACTTTCACAAGTGCTTTGACGTCATCATCCATGCTACATCGTAATTCTCTGCTGGGAGTGAAGGTCAGCATCATCATCACTAGCCTGTGTAGCTGGCAGGATTAGAAACCTTTTGACTCTAAGACAAGGACGACTACGAGTACGAGATTTTCTCAATATACTGTACTAATTGGTGCTTGAGCGTAAACCAGCGTCATTTTGGCGGGAAAATGTGATACAGGCGTCGTCATTCCACTACGAGTCTTAGCGAGAATGTTGTAGTGGCGGAAACAAGTCAACAAATTAGAAGTCTTATCATTTTGCAATCAGAAGAGAGCTTAACCTCCTTAATAAAAAGATAACACTGCTAACTTTTCTGCTGAAAAAAAGTGCAATAAAGCTTTCTAGCGTGTCTGTTTTTTGACAATGCGCGAAAAAAAACTTTAAATCAAATCTCGTACTCGTAGTCGTTTTTGTCCTCGAATCTGAAGGTCTCTGTTGTTATGCGCGGGCTCAAAATTTGATTGGCTCCCAATCCTCTAGGGGCTCTACCACCGAATAAACTAACAACACTTGCCTGCTAAAACCGCGAGCTATGCTGGCTACATCATCGCCATCATCACAAGAAAGCGCGCGCACTCCAAAGGCCTTTAGGTTAATGTTTGGCAGAGCAGCAGTAGTTAAATTAAATATGAAAATAATATCTGCAGTCATGAAATGTAATTAGGCAAATTTCGAAAAGGCTAAATCTTGACACCTCAAAGTATTTAACAGGATTCGATTCGAACGATGCATTAACCTACATACAATTCTAGGCAATTAAATTTTTCTTTCTTTTTTTTAAATTCATGTATAACAATGAATTTTTCAGAATGTATTTTCATCCTTGTTATTTACATCTAACCCTATTCAGACCGTGCTTTTTTTCGCTTCCCGCGACCCAAGGGTGGGGGGGGGGGGGGGAAAATACCCAAAACCCCCTTGCTTCAAACCCCCACAAAAAAAAAAAAAAAACACAAATAATAAAAAAATTTTGTGGAAAAATTGATCAAAAAAAAAACAAAAAAATAACAACAAAAAAAAAATAATGTATAATAAATAAAAAAAAAACACAAAATCACCCACAATACAAACAAGACACAAAAAAATAAACTACCTTATTTATTACTCTTTTTTTTTTTTTTTTTTTTTTTTTTTTTTAATCTTTTATTATAAATATTTTTTTTATTTTTTTTTTTTTTTTTGTTTTTATACCTCCCCACCTTTCTCGGGGTTTGTTTTTCCGCGCCCGGGGGGGGGGGGAGGGGGGGGGGGGGGGGGCAGAATCTCAAAACCGCTCGTGCTATACCCACCAAAATTACACAGAACAACGTACTCATCATTGCAACGTTTGGGGATAACTTGGTCAACACAATAGTGTAATCTGACGTCATTATGACGTCATATTGTTGAATTTATAGGCAGAATCCAAATTTCCCTCGAAGTACACATAAGGTCAGAAAAATACTTAAAGAGTAAGGTCTTAAATAAAGTCAAGAAGTTGGCTAAAATATAAATAACCTTTAACAAAAGCAGTTATGTCATGATGACGTCATTTATACCAAAAAAAAAAAAGGAACTGGAAGCATCCGCCATCTTGGATCCGCCATTTCGACTTACGATTTAAATGTATTCCATTTTGCTTAAAACCCATACAAATCGAGGAATGTTTAAGAGAAAACTTGATCTGAGTATAAAAGTATGCCTAGGAAGCAAAAAAAACTGCAAAATGTGCAATTTCGAGTTAACTAAGCACTGTTGAAAATTAAACTTACCATCTCTGGCATTTGGTCGTATTAACTCATGTTTTTTCTCAAACTAGTCACAAAAACCTTGGATTTCCTCAACAGTGACAATAACTTTGATAAAATAACGCTAATTTAAGTGTAATATAATAATTGCATCGGTAAAGTTAGATTTACAACCCATTTTAAAGAAAAAAAATCTGCAAATTTTGAAAAAACGTGGATGCCAAAACTTGCTTGCTATTGTGACGTCACAACTACTTTAAAATGTTCCAAAGGTAATTTTTAGAAAAATTCGATAAGTTTTGTGGTCACTGGTTGAACGATTTTTGAAGTTATTCAACTTTTTTCGCGAACCCCCCTGGTCTGAATAGGGTTAACTGTTGCCTCCAAAGAAAATAACGGAAAGGTTCTTAACGTTATAAATGCCAACAAAGCAGCAAATAAATTTATTGGCGTGGCGTGCGTAAATCCTTAATAGAAACCTCTCACAGGAAGTAAATTGTCCTATCATGTCTTTGAAACCTCTTTTAAAATATCCCTCAACATCAAGAACTGTTAATCATCGGTAATCATTCTCTCTTGTCATCTTGGAAACTATCTAATGCACATCCACTATTGTGCTCTATATCTCACAAGGCTTCCTTGAGTTCAGTAATGTTAAGATACTAAGCTAACTTTTGAAGCTCACCCAGGTTGCAGTATTGGAAGACAGTCATGCATACGAGGAGGCTTTAAAGCAGGCTGCCAACGTCAAAGGTAAAAGTCATTAACCCTTGTCTTTTGGGTCTTTTGAGTCCCCTTCTCCCCCCTACTAAAATGTTGAATAGTTTTCAAAACCGTGCAAGCTATGACCGCCAAACTTATCGACTTTATCCAAAATTTATCTGGGAATATTGTGACGTGTACGCCATCATTGACATTACCATGGAATCGAGTTTTGACAGCCATATCTTTCAAAATTGTGCTTTTGTTCTGCAATTAAAAGTTTGACTTCAGTCTATTTATTGTATTACACTTAGCTTTGCGTCATTTTAACAAATTTATTATAACTATTAATAAATGTAATCCAGGATTTTTAATGAACTGATTTGAAAAAAAAAAAGGGAATTCAAAAAGACCAAATTGCAGATGTTCGCAGATGCTAGGTTCACCGAATTTTCAACAGTGTTCTAGAAATTTCATGACTTACAGATTTTTTGCTTCCTAAGCATCTTTTTATACACAGGTCAGAGTTTCTTTTACGGCTATCTCGATTCTTTTAGGAGTTTTAAGTAAAACTTGAATAAATTTAATTAATTCAAAATGGCGGGAATCCACGAGATGGTGGGTGGTTGTGGATGGTTCCAGTTCCTTTTTTTTAATTTTTCACTTTACCGCTACTTTGAGGGAAAATTGAATCCTGGCAATAAATTCAACAATATGACAACATAATGACGACAAATTTAGTCATTGCGTCAATCAAACTTTGCCCAGACGTTGGAAATAATGAGTAAGTTATTCAGTGTAATTTTGGTGGCCGTAGAATGAGCGGTTTGAAGTTATAGGCGGGGGACATCAGAAGCTCCCCCCGGGGTCGCAGGTGGCAAAAAACGCCCAGTCTGAATAGGTTCGGTAGAGACGTTGTTATACGTATCGGTGCATTGATAAAAAAAAATTACTCTAAAGTGAGAAATAAACAACACTTGTAGATTATTACGTTTATCGTCAGATGATCAAATCGTACCCTTTAAAAATGGCCAGTTAAGAATATTTGAAAAAAAAATTCTAAAAACCTTTTTGCAAGATCCTAAGACATCTATAATTCTACGCAAAAGTTCTGCCCCTCGCAGGTTTCATTAGATGGTAGAACCCAAGGATTTTGTCGCCGAAATTGGGATAAAAACATCTACCATCTCAGACTAGATGCAAATTAAAGGGGGTAATCTACAGGGCTACCAGACAAAAGTCCTCAAGGTTGCTTAAATCGCCTGACCAAGTAAACGGAACTTAAATTAAATTCAAGAAGAGCGTCAACTACCAATACACCCTTTGCAGCTAGCCATTCACGTGGTGCAAAACCGTCATGCTGGAAAGCAAAAGCCTTCCTTACTGGGACAAGAAAAGCAAAGGAAATTACCAATTAAAATTATGTATGCTTTTTGTTTGTCTTGTCCCAGTGCGACTTTTGCTCTCCGGCCAACACGGCGGTTTGTACCACGTAAATGGCTACCTGCAAAGGGCCTATTGTTGATCTTCTGCCGGGCGCCATCTTCGCTTCGCTACACTCGCACCGCATTCCAGCGTAGAGGGATTAACAGCACATTTCTGGTATTTAATTTAATTGGAATGCAACCTGACTCATGAACGCTTAGTTATTTCCTATGCTGCAGATTATACCAGCTTTTTACGAAATGTACGATGCACTCGTGGTAAAAGAAGAGGGAGAGGGAATCTTGGCGGACATCTACACAGCTTCTTACTATATGGACAAAGTGGGAGACTCTCGGTTAGCAGTCACCATGTTTTTTACTTCTCAGCGCTCAATCGGATTTGCATTTGGAAGACCAGATTTTGAGTTCCTTTCTGATTGTCTCAGGGATTTGTTTAAATATCGACAGCGAGACATCAAAAAAATTATCTTTCGACACACGCAAGCATTACATGTAAGTCATGTGTAATTAACATCGACTCAAATCAGTGGGCTAATATATATGGTATTTAAAAGCGAGGAGGAGTTATTTCGTCAACTATGCTACTTAACAGAGCTTTAAAAGCTAGAACAAACAGCAAATTTCCCGCCTTTGGTGATTCGTGATTTGAAATGTCATGGAAAAATTTGTCGACTAAAATCTTGATAAGATCAAAGAGTTTAGGCATTCACATATTCAGGTTCAGTCTTTGCGTCTGAAGTCAGATAAGGCTTTCGAAATCAATGGATATCAATCTGCGCGTGTTTTGATTGGCTCCCGCAACGTTAGTACGAAAAATATGTTATACAAGCGATGATTTGATTTGGATGGCTTGACGTCATGCCACCTATTATGTCATATCTCGTAGCCATAGAAACAGGCTGTTGGGTTCCTGTACTCTGAGAATAAAATTTGCCAAAATGCGTTTAAGGAAGTAATAATAATAATAATAATAATAATAATAATAATAATAATAATAATAATAATAATAATAATAATAATAATAATATGTAGCAGGGGTAACCATCTCCTGTATGATCCCACTAGTGCATGGCTTGAGGTGGTTTTGAAAAATGTGAGGGGAACCTTTTGGACCGCCGGACTGGGTGGTATTCACTCCCCTTATCTGCTAAACTAGCATATTTTTGTGTTGGTCAAGTTCAAGGCAAATAGTGGCAAAATAGAACGGCTGGAGTGAGCCTGAGTGAAAAGAAAAGACTGAGGAGACACACTAACATACTGCATTCACGGATTTGTTCAAAATACGCGGTTTCGAAGCCTTAAGACTTACGAGCATTGATTAGGTTTAAGGGAAAGATATTAAACATAGGTTTTGTTTTCATCTCAACCTCCCCTTTAGACCGAAACCAAGAGCCGTCAAATATCAGATGAAGACGAAGACAGTGTTGTGAATTTACTGGATGGAAACTCGCCTGGATTTTGGACTGCATTTCACGCAATGTTGACAACCTTTGTCACGCTGTTAATAGCGGGTTTCCTTTACGAGTCGTGTGCTGCAAAGTGTAGGAAAAAGAGGCTAACAGGTAAGTGTAGTGGGTTTCATCAAACCACCTCCCATGCCTATCTCCTCTTTATAAAGAGATCCTCAGAGGCAGATATTCAGTCACGTGACAACTTATGAAATACCTCTGTTACATCAATAACGAGTGCATAGAAGAGATTTTTCTTCTCCCTTCTCCCTTCTCGACGTTCCCTTCGCGCTATCTTTTCAAGGGGACCTTTGTGGAGAGAGGTTTAGGGGCGGGTTCGTACTCGGATTCCAATCAATAAGGAACTTAAGCAGCTGCAACGAAGACGCGGGCAGCCAGAACGTCAAAAAAGAAATGGTTTTATGTGTGAAAAAGCAACAACTCTGCACGTGCATCACACTTGTTGGCACTTTTTTTAACTTCTTAAAGAGACGTTTTACGGAGGACGTGAACGAGCGGCGACGAATTTTTTTCTTTCTCGGTCTTTATTTCTGAAGATAGCAGCTTTTTTTACCAGACGCTAAATAAAGAAGATAAAATTTGAGAGGACACAAATTCGGCATACTTAGTTACGTTTTTACTTCCATCGTGGTCGTGATTGCTTTAAGCTCCCTACTAAAACTTCATCAAATGCACTCTTAATCCTTTCCCATTAAATTACGAATAGGCAATCTAGCAAGATGGTTAAATTTTGATTGACATTTAGTTCTTTCATGATATCAACGAACTTTTTTAGATATAGAATTTTGCTTTTCCGCCCGCAGTAGAGCAGGTTTGACTCCGATGTGACATTTTATTCACTTCACCATTGCGGAGTACATAAATCTAATTTAGTGGTTACATATATTTGTAACATATCACAGTATTCTGTAGATTTATTTATTTATTTATTTATTTATTATTACTATTATTATTATTATTGTTGTTGTTGTCACTATTATTATTATTCATCTGGTTAAGAGTAGGTCAGGTCGATATGCCATCTTAGTCATCTCACTGTTGCTGAGTACAAAAGTCTAATTTAGTAGTTTGGCGACATTTTTTGTCTGCAAAAAAGCAGTTTGATATGGCACATCACACACCGCTTTACCATCGCGAAGTAGTATACAAAAGTCTAAGAATAAATGTTCTTTTTAATTCCACGGCTCCCAAGAGAAGTATCATTGATTCAGGCAAAGCGGAAATGGCGTTCTCTACCTTGAAGTCAAAGCACTAACGCAACACTAAGTCCATCTGGGAGAACTCTTTTTAGCTTTTTAAACAGAAGTCCCGCAATTGACTACGTATTAAAATAGCACTTGGTCCTTAGATTGAATACGCTTAGAATTCTTAAGAGCAAATACACCGATTAAAGCCTAAACTACCAATAGCACATAAATAGCCATCACGTAATGGCATTTTTTCGATCAGAATTGTAGTCAGCAACCTAGGAACTATACAAAACGGGTAGTGTTAATAGGTATATGGCGTTTCAACATAAAAACTGAAATGTCAATAAAATGATCATCTTGCCTTAGTTTACTTTTCCTAAACAATATAATTTGGATTTTCTCGGTTTGTATTGAGGATATCCCATGGCCGCGAGGAGAAAGGAAATTTCACTTCGAGTGTTGAAATATTTAACCAATGATCCATGAGTAGATTAAGGGTTCGGCTTGGTGGACCGCCGCCGCCCTTTTTCCGTAAAATTTTGTATTACCTTTTTAAAGAATTTTCAGTACGTATAGTACTCTCTATAGCTGCAAGTGTGCCGGCCGCCACTTCCTGAATTTTCTAGATCCGCCCCTGTGAGCGTAGCGTTTTAGTTCGTGGTTGATTTACCTGAATTTATTTTGTTGAACTTTACCTTTTCTCTACCAACTTGTAGGCCTGTAGAGAGAACAGCTAAAAGAACAGGAGAATCTTACCTGAGCAAGAACTAACAAAACAGTTTTGAGACGTCATTTTTTATTTTGCCAATATTAGCGTTTTCGTGGTTTAGCGTGCAGTTAAAAAACAGGTAACAAATTTACCAAATTTACTCCTTTTGAATGCCTAAATGTACATTCATTAAGCTTTTGTCGTTTTCTAAGATCCAACCCACAACACATTTAAAGTCTGTAAAGAAAAATATTAATATAACGGATACGAAAGCAGTTATTAATACCTTTTAGTAAATGAAAATTACTCCTTGAAAACAACACGTGATTGATATCTTTTTTTCTACCAGAATGCTATTTCATGCCCATGATTCTACAATAACTTGAACATCTCTTTTAAAACGCTTTAGGTAATAATCGTCTTTTACACCTGTCAATAGTGGTACTATATGTATATTCAGGTTTTCCCACAACTCGTTATATCCCAAAATACTGTCCCCAGTAATAGCTATAAACATCATTTTTCTTTTTATTTAACATAAATTCGCTTACTGCCTCTATCGAAAATATGATTGTGGTACAGACTATACAAGCAAAGGACAGCACATGACTCACATATACCAGCCATTGTCATTGGCTGACAACGTATCAGGTGACCTCAGCTGAATATACTCTGAGAGGGAAGATGGTTGACTGCGCGGGATTCAACCTCGTCCCCGGACCTGGTCCTCGGGTCTACTCTCTTTCATGATGGAGGCGGTGGAGAACAAGTCTTCTCTGGACTCTCTAGAGACGAGACAATTTTCTCCTTCCTAAACAGACGTTACCATTCATAGGACACTCTAGCAATTAACATCGCGGTTTAAAATGGTGCACTTTCTACTTGTTACATTTCGTTCTGTATTGTAAGAGGTACTCTATACAGACTCAGTTTTTAAAATCCCAGAAAACCGTTTCTCATCTGGCGATTTCCCATTGATAGTTTCACCTGAAAAATAATGCGCATTAATTTAGTCAGGAAAAACAAATTTTCGTCCACTTCGAGATCAAATGCAGGGAAGGATTTTCACGAAGCTATAAAAAATTCAAAAAGATTGGCAAAGATGTGATGATAACGTAATACTAGTAGGATTTTCAACCAGTTTAATCTAGGATACACATAGGGTAATGAATTCGGAGGATTTTAGTTTAGAATAGAATATTTTTTAACAGAAATTGATGATTGGTTTAAACAATTCGACGTTCAATGCTGTTATTACGATAATGATATTTCATGCACTTACCCCAAAATTCTCCGGTTTCACCAACATGGCCTTTATTTTCGGCCGTGTTCACTCGTCTGCGTTTGCAATACTTATGCCAAATATAAGCACTAACGAACACCAGGAAGACTGCACCCAGGCCAACGACAGCTATAATAAACATTGGTGACTTCAGATCACCTAAGATGTTGTTGACCTCTAGTCCCTGCTGCTCTTGTTTTGCCCCAGAATCAATGCTGGAATTCTGAAGATGGAGCAATTAATCAAAAAAGTTATATTAGCGCCTCGGATTAACGGGAAATTTATACTAGAGACGGATTATCCGTCTAAGACGTATTATGGAGCAAAGTTCGTCTGAGGCTGATTCGTCTGTTAGCACGTCTTGTAGACGTGCTAGCGGATGGATAATTCGTCTTAGACGGATTATCCGTCTCTAAATTTATATCTAGACGGAACGTAGACGGTTTTTTGACGAAGTTTCCACATTAAGGGGACTGGTTTCTATATTTTCGCAATGTTTCCTGTTTCCCGCTTAAAACATATAGATAAATTATGGAGCAAAATTCGTCTTCGGATTTATACTTAGACGAATTATCTGTCTGACGGATAATCCGTCCAGACGGATAACTCGACTCTAGTATAAATTCGGCCATTTGTGTCGACAGGTTCAGCTAGCCATTTTTTCACCTAGACGAAAATGACTAGCATGCGTTGCCGTCGGACTCAGAGTGGGTTAATATGTTTTGGAACAAAAGTGGCCCTTTAATTGAGCCCCGGGGAACTCCACAAGTAATTCTCTCCTTAGATGATTCTTGGCCATTGATGGCAATGCATCATCAATGGTCAGTAACCAGCAATCAATAAACAGTTGAGCCTTGCCATCGCGATTTTTTCCCCGTGAAGTTTCCTTCACATTCTTTCTCTTCTTCCTGATGTATAAATGAGCAATTACAGCTCCTGGTAACGACTACATGTTTATCAGCTTTGCCTTAATTGTTTTATGACTTGTTCCCCGGAGGGGGAATACTCACTTACTCTAAGTTATTCAGTGTATATAGGTACTTTATGCCACAAAATAAACAAATAAAAGGGGTTTAGTTTTTATACTCCTTTTGGTCTGAACTTGGTATACATATTAACCGTAACGCTTTTGCCTGTGAAAGGGGTAAAGCTTAGTGCTCTCTGGAGACTGGAACAAGGGCTTAGAATTGTGTGTGTCTATTATCATTTCTTATCTGAATAAGGGTGGCCAGAAATATTATGAATACGGAAAGATTTCTAAGGAGCATTCCACAAACCTTAGAAACATTTATTTCTCTGGATTATTCATTAAGCACGTTGGTTATTCGCCCCCCGCCCACCATCCCCCCTTCCCGTGGAGGCTACTCAACAAAATTTTATACGGAGAGGCTCCGCTCATAGAGAATAATGAGAATAGTCCTTTATTCAAACAAGGTAAGATCTGTCAGAGTATAAAATTATAGATAACCTAACTATACTCTAAACAAAAGCGAACTACAACTAACCTAACTAAGACCTGTTTTTCATGAATGCCGGGGTTTGATCAATTGAGTGCCACCAGTGTTGGGTTTTGTATCGTATAATTGAAATGACTGAACTAGAAATAATACCTCGATGTTACCAACGAACTTGGTAATAACAGCATATTCATCATCGTTGACTACAAATTGGACAACATCCCTGATGCAGTTGTCCAGTATAATGTTTCCCCCAAAAGGATTGTTTTTGAATGCCACACCATAGCCATGCTTCTCTTCAAAGAAATGGACAACAGAAAACAATGGATTGTTCTTTTTCTTGATATATTCCATGGCTGTGAACACCTCCTCCATCACTCCTTCGATCGACTTTTCATTGATCAAAGCATTGTAGGCCTCATCAAGGTCCTCAAAATCTGAGTAGACATAAAAAAAAAAAAAAAATCGGCTAGTGTACCTAACTTAGATCTTTCACTGTGAGTCTCTTTGAATTAAAGAAGTATCCTGGAATAGTTTGGTAGCAAAAGGGCAATCACCTCTTACGTTCGCACCAAGATTCACTGCTTTCTGCAAACCAATGCTATCTCTTGTGGCACCAACCTATAGAACAAGAAGGATTGTCATTGCTCTCTATTGTTTACCCACGAAGCATGCAGTTAAAAGTTCTTACGAACTCGTTGAAACGTGTCCGTGCGTTCCAGATTGAAATTCCAGATTGAAAATCCAGATTTGGAAGTGTTGGTTTTTAAGGAGAGGGGGAAAATGAACGACCCGGAGAAAAACCTCTGGGAACTAAGAAAAGAAGCAGCGACAAACTCAGCCCATATATGGTGTCGACGCCGGGGTTTGACCTCGGGCCACATTGGCGGGTGGCGTGTAATGTGCTGTCACCACCGCGCCATCCTTGTTCCCCCGTAAGGACGTCGCTAACATCAAGACGACAGGAAATGAAATTCTCATTGCATTTTGTACGAACCTTTATTCGTGCGACCACACCAAATCTCTCCACAGTAACGCTTGTCAAAGCTCTAGACAATGTGGCTACCAAAAGCGAGCAGAGGGTGACACCAATCATTATCCAACCCACAGCGAACAGTCGGGCAATTACAGACTTGGGCGTCTTGTCGCCGTATCTTCAAGAAAAAATGCATTCAAAATTTAAAACGTTTGAGCTATCTACTGAGAAAATGGTTCTACTTCCGTTTCTTGTTATTCTTAACATCGTCATCAGAGTCACCAAAAACCGACTGAAGAAAGAAGATTCGTTATCTTTTTTTTCGAAATTACCTTGATTTATTATTACTTGTGTACTACAGATCAGTCATATATTATTTCAATATTTCAGTGGGAACATAATGGCTTAAATCGCAGATCACACAAGATACCGGCTTAACCATCGGATGAATGCATGCACGGATAGGATAAGTTGTGGTTCCATTTTATCCTTGGTTTAAATTTTATTTCCCCATATTATTTCAAGCTCATTATCAAACATTGAAATACCAATCACCCTGGGCATCCCATGATAGCTTCTCGAACTAATTTATTCAACATCACTCCCGTATCTATATAAAGGTGTACCTTTGCCTAGTTTCAAACAGGGAAGTTTAGAGCAGGGCTGGGTACGAGTACGTTTATTATAGGATAAACAACATGAGAGCCTCATGGTCAAAAAGAGCACTTTGAGGTTAGGAACGCTCTCAAGTTTGGTGTCAATCGGGTCAATATTGAACAAGATATAGCTATTTAAAAAGGTGAAATATATAGATATATGGCTTACCAGACACACACCGTCCGGAAGTCCAGTTAGGGAGCTAAGCAACGATGACGGCAACGATAACGGCAAAAAAGCAATAGGTTTAGACAAGAGAGGATAAAGCTCTTTATCCATTTTTGGTTTAGACTGGCAAAACAGCAACCTTTGCACTTGCATCACGCTTTCTTGAACGAGATGGAATAAGCGCGAAAAATATTGAAGTAGTACGAGTTCTTTTTTCAAGGTGGCCCGAACCTATTATATGCGCGTTGGTTATGTTTTAAAATCGCGTTTTTCGGCAGGAAGGACTTAATAACCGTTTTTTATGATTTTTGGCATCCTTAATAAGGAATGGTCGACCTTTAAGAAACTGTTATTATTTTCTTGTAGGTATAAAAACGTTTGAGATATCAGCATATGTTTAAAACCGCATTTTTACAAAAAATGTCGATAACTTCGAAACCCTAAGACAGATTTTTCTCTAACTTCAGCAAATAATCCTCAGAGCTCTCTAGTTTTATAACTGCGAGTTTGAAGTCAGTCGTGACCGTAGAACTCGCTGCATAAATAGCCTGTCAAATTAAACCTTAAAATGCAACGCTAACACATTTGTGAAAGTTGACGCGCAAATAGAGGAAAACTGCCGACGGACTATCTCCTAACTCCAAGGGTATTCTTGCCCAAAGCTTTAGTTGCAAGAAACTGGCTAATCAGAAACCTACGGCGAATACAGTTCGCAATGCAAGTAGAACAACTTTATGCCGAACGCGGGCAAGATGAACGAACATCTATTTATATCAAAGTTACTGTGTATTTGCCCTTCTCTTTTCGAAAAAAATCTTAACAAAGCAAGATATAGCATCTACGGAAATCTCCTACCAGTTTCTAGCACCGAAGGTTCCCGTCTTGAGGAGAAATAAAGCCACCAACTCCAGTTCTACAACCGATCCAATTTCAGCTGCAACAAAAACCCTTGTATTAGGTAATTTATTCAAGCTTGAAAGATTTGCCATCACATTCGCACGGCCAGTTTGCCACCGGGGATAATAAAAAGAATAAGACGATTGTCATATTTTTTTCATCTTTATTCCCAAGCGGCAAACTTGCCGTGCGAATGCGATGTCAAGTCTTGAATAAATTACCAATTACAAGTGCTTTCCGGCAGTGCAGCTGAAAAATTGACGGTTAGAAGTACTGGAGTTGGTGGCTTTATTTCTCCTCAAAACGGAAACCTGCGACGCTAAAAACTCTTGAGAGTTTTTCGTAGATGCTATATTTTGCCTTGTTAAGACAGGTTTCGAAAAGAGAGGGACAAATACAAAGTAAGTTTGATGAATAGAAGTTTTTTAATCTTGCCCTGCATTCAGCTTAAAGTTGTCCTTCTTGTATTGCGAACTGTATTCGCTGTAGGTCTCTGATTAGCCAGTTTCTTGTAACTGAAGCTTTGGGCAAGAATGCCCTATATTGCGGGAGATAGTCCGTCGGCAGTTTTCCTCTACTTGTGCGTCAACTTTGACAAATGTGTTAGCGTTACATTTTAAGGTTAAAATTGACCAGCTATTTGTGCAGCGAGTTCTACGGTCACGATTGACTTCAAACTTGCAGAAATAAAACTAGAGAGCTCTGAGGCTTGTTTGCTTGTTTGAGAAAAATCTGTCCTAGGATTTCGAAATTATTGACATTTTTTTGTAAAAATACGGTTTTAAACATATCCCGATATCTCAAACGTTTTAATGCCTACAAGAAATCTTAAAGTTCGACCATTCTTTATTAAGGATGACAAGAATCACAGAAATCGGTTAAATCTTTCCTGGCAAAAAAACGCGTTTCAAAAACATAACCAACGCGCACATAAATAGGTTAGGGCCACCTTAAGTAACGTTTTCCTAAACGTCGCCGTCGTCGGTTGCTTAGGGTCCCTAATATTTGTTATTTAATGCTAGAGTTTTCGAATGGCTGTATCTCGTTCAATATGGACCCGATAAACACCAAACATGTAACTTGAGAATGACTTTATATATGGGTCTTAAATTATTTATTCCATAATAAACGGACTCGACCCAGCCACTCTCGGTTTGAAATTAGGCAATAACCTAAAATTGTCTAATAGGCAAATCTTTCGTTACATTTTTTTGCCTCAGTTAGCATATGCCTCTCATTCTATGATTAAGCTATTGAAATAAACCCTCTGAATATGGAAAGAGCATCACAATTTCAGTTATCTATGACAAAAAAAAGAGCGTAGACTGCAAAACAGTCCGTATTTTTGCGTATTCAAGTACGCGCGAGCAGTCAAACAAAGGTGTGGAACGAGGCTGAAAACAGAGAGCAAGACTGGGGAGAGACGCTAAAAAATACGGACTGTCCGTTTTGCATACGTTATATTCGTTCGAATTACCCGCTTCTCCCAGCCACGGGCAATTCCCATTGGCTAAATTTCGATGCAAGCTGTCACCAAACTGTCAAGTAATGTTTTCAACAAGTCATTCGCGATATTCCTACCGAAATGAATTGCTAAAGCTTTCGCCGTAAAATGATGGATAGGCCGGATATGCTCGCAAGAATTGGGATTTGTTTGAAAATCGGAGCAGAGGGAAGCTTTGGAGTTACTGCTCAGGGGAAAGGATGTTTTCTGTGTTCTACCAACAGGATTTGACAAAAGCCTCATTTATCAGATGTGGTTCATGCAAAGAGTTCGTCAAGTTCTGTTCAACGGCCGACCGTCATTGTTATCTTGCTTGGCTAAAAAAAGGGGGATCGGTAGGGAACACACGACTTTCACCTCATGCAAAAATGCTGCCTGTTCCAATAAATTGCTTTCTCTGTCGAGTAGATTATGCTTTGGAGGAAAACGTTTTGACTGAGCAATCGTGAATTTTGGCCGCTTATTAAATATATTTCATACTGACAGGTTGTGACACGCATATTGATTTTAATGCTAGAGTTTTCGAATGGCTGTATCTCGTTCAATATGGACCCGATAAACACTAAACATGAAACTTGAGAATGACTTTATATATGGGTCTTAAATTATGATTTGCCGTCTGATGCAAGAGCATTTTCTTTCTTGGCCCCTTTAGAAATGTAAAGCTCTTCATTGCGGCTGATTAAGGGTTTTAGGTTGTTTTATTTCTCCAAAGTGCCTCCTGGATTTGAATAATTTTAAGCGATTTTCTTTATGTCCGTGAATGTGACTATTTCCTGCAATGTTTTGTCACGCCGGAGCCAGCTCGTTAGGGTTTTTAGCAGTATTTTAAATTCTCACAGATAGTGATTTACAGAGCTAAATCACCAAGACGTGGATTGGAATGAGGGTATTTACTCATTCTTTTCAATCGCAATAATTGTTCATTGTCAGTTGACGTGTTCAGTTCTTCTCTAATTTGCGAAAGCATCACCGTGCAGTTTCCCGGGGTAGTTTCTAACCTTTGTTCCGCACGAGGAGAAAACTCTTGTGGAGAAAGATTCTCCTTCCTTGGGGACAACGAACTTTTCGTTTTTTTGTAGGTCGGCCCACTTTGGTAACGTTTCTCCTTTTCTGGTAGGCGCAACAAACACATTTTCTGAGCTTATCCATCCACTCGTAAAATTGCCGAACTGTGTTTTAAAACAACAGCCGCACATTCTACAATTTATCCGAAGCGCTTGGCACTTTCGGCTTTTTCCCTCTTCGAGGAGCAGGCAGGCTTTGTTGTTGTACTGCCACTTCCACTCATTTTTGATCCTCCACTATATATACTACATTTCACAGAGAAGCAACGCCAAAAAATGCTTTAGAATTACAGGATTACAGCGTCAAGATTCGAAGCCAAGTGCAGACAATAACAAGCGGTATTCTCCCGCGAAATCAGTCACCGAGGTTATCAATTTCATAAAGAGGGCGGGATTGTGAACAGATTTTTGACAGCTCGACGGCATTTTTGAACCCCCTGGTCGGAACGAACTCATTGTATGGAAAACGGACAGTCGGTTTTTTCTCGCTCGTAGGGCGTGTGAGGCGAGCGCGGTTCGCGCGCATAAGACTCTTACGCCACGCGTTATCGATTTACTCGATTTCTTTACTGATTTTGAGGAAAAAACCGACTGTTTTGCAGTCTAAAAAGAGCCAGATATACTGAATAGTTTCGGAGAAATTATCTTTGAAAACGTCGAAACCTTACAAAGAATATATGGGCTCATTAAGGTTTTGTCACCCAGCAATTTCGTAGTTATTCCTTTGTTATTGCTTGCAAAGAGCGGGATATTGCTCAAATTAACCAACTTTCTCAACGTTTGGATTTAATTTGTGCATGCCGTGACGCCTTCTATGGGTTACTTTGTATGCTAATGAGCAAAACTGTATACTATGACTTCAGCAAAGATTCCTATAGTGTAGATGTGCTTACCCAACTGTTGACATGGTAACAAAAGCCCACCAGAAGCCGTCAAATATCCCGCGATAAAACGGCCTGCCAAACTCCTCGTTATTGGTCTTCGTTTCCTGTTTGAATTTAACAAGACAAGTCCTCCTCGATCAGTCGGCTAAGATTAACTTGCATAAACTGAGTAATGTTATGGTGGTGAACGGTATTAAAGCTTGTTCATTTGGGACTTTTTTTGCTATACACCAGGAGCCTCGTTATGGACGTATTTTGCATATTTCCCCCGGATGAGTGTATTATTATGAAACGTAAGAATTAACTAACAGCGTTCAAGTTACTATTTTCCCTAAGCTAAATTCAAAAAAATTGCCTAGAATTTTCTATAGCTTGGGGAAAGCTAAAACTTTTTAGATGACCGTTTCATTCATGTACAATTTTCGACGCTTATCTAATAAATTCCCTATGATTTTCTGAAGTTAAATTTTTCCCATTTTACTCCCCAGGTTAAGCTATTTTTCGTAGGGAAAGGAAACCTTAAATTTTCGGAATCGAAAATGCGATGCAGAGAGGAATTAGAAGAATTTTCAATTTCGTAAAACTTTAAATTGCAACTAAAATGTTGAGGAAAATAATACTGAAGCCCTTGCAATTTCGATAAGACTCAAGTTGCCCTAGGATAACCGAACGGATATAAATTTTTTAGAGTCACTTAGAATGCATTTTTAGCGATCTAAAAGTACTCTGGATAGCCTAAAAAGTGTTTTCAATGCATTTAAGAGGAAACCGTCGTTGGGTGTCCATGGTTTTTGGTGCCCACGTATTTCTATATATTTTTTAGTAAGATCTACGCATTTCCGTTTGTTTTTCCACTTATCATTTTCTTTTAGGGCGGGAGGGGGGCTGTTCTAAGGGGGAGGGGGCTAGCCATCCAGTTCCCCCTTCCCTCTAGATCCGGCACTGGGTGTTACAATTCTCCTTCTTCCAAATTATGTTTTGTGCTTACCATCATCCAGACAAATATCCCTGCTACAAACGACAGCAGAATTGTCAAGGCAACGATGGGGAGACAGCTGCTAATGGCATTCCAAATTTCCCTATTCGTCATCATCCATGATGAGTGCTGTGTTAGATTAGATCTTTGGATTAGGACGACTCAAGGAGAATCCAAAATTTTGATGAAAGGTAGGGTTTTTTTGTAGATTTTGTCCTCATCGCTTTGCACAGGAAGAATAAGATGAACGCTATCATTAAGGAGAAGGTTGTGAAGTTGAGATCTGTTTAGTGCTCGTGTTTTGAAATTTATTATTGTTTTGGTTCCTGCATTAAGTATTGCGCAACACTTCTTCAAAGCCAGATCAAAAACGTAGTGAAACATCCCTCGTACTTCACTTGCATTTTCACCAGAATTTGTCGTGAACGGTGGTCTTAACAGCCATGATGCGTTAAGCTCTCTTGGGCATTGAATTTTTCTCAAAGCCCTTGGGCCGGGCTTTGAGCCATAGGACTTTTCTAGCATTCGATCTACAAAACTGATCGAGTCTTGCGACAAAATGGAACAGGCCATAGTTGTCATAAACAACAAAACAAGTGGAAGCATCATCCAGCAGAACCAAAACTGGATGGAACAATGAACGTTAATGTACAATGATCTGCCAAAGAGAAGCTAATTTGCTTTTTAAACAGCTTGGTTAATTTATTTCATCAGATATTTTCTTTTCTTGCTGCTGACATAATGACAGCATACCTACTCACCTGGGTCTTTTAGATGCAAATACATAGTCACTTATGTCATACCGAGTACAAATTAAATTGACTTATTTTGCAAATTGTTTTCACGCGACTGGTTCATGATTTGTCGTAATATTAGGCATAAATTCCACTAGTAATATTTCGAACTTGTAATACATATAATTTGAGACAATTTTGAAATATCACGAGTGGTATTTATGCCAAATATTAAGTACGGATCATGCTATTATTTGTTTATATTGCTACCTGCGAAGGTTTTGTAATTTTCACATGTGGGTATTTCAAATTAAGTTGACGAATACCACTGCTCTAAGCCAATCAAATTGCAGAAATTTCTCATTTAGTAGTATAATGGGATTGATTTGAGCCAGGTGCTTTAATGAAGCTTTAATCTATGGTCTCAAGGAAGAAGGCTACTATACGTTTACAGCTATTCTTGTCATTCTTAGAGTCACTAAAGGAGACAGCTGGATGCAAGTTTGTTTAATTCACCTAACTTATACTCCATGCAGTCTCGTCAAATGTTCGAACATTTATACAGGAGCTCCCTTATTTTTTTATAAGTACTTCCTTTCCTGAAATGTGCCTTTATTAACAGGAAATTTTATCTATTAAAGCAGACCTATTGCAGCTGAAATACATCTCACGGAGATGTTGATTTTCTGACGGATAAAAAGAGTCTAGTCCCTTCCTCAGTCGTCTTCACTTGAGGCAATAGAAAGAAAAAAAGGCAACGACTTTAAGGGGGCTTGGGCCTGTTTCTCGAAAGTCCCGATGATTAACGGGCCAGTAAAGCTGTTGTTGTTTACATGAAAGATAGACGTTTCAATCATTTTGCATCTTACATGATAAAACTATCAGTTAATGAAACGAAATGGACTATTTTGCTAGCCAGGACCCGCGCTCTTATTCTTTTTATTTCGATTTGAATATTTGATTCCTTGCCCGAAAAGTTATCGGGACTTTGGAGAAGCGGGCCCCAGCTGGTCCTTATTTAGAAAAAGCGAGGGCATGTTCAAATTCCCTTAACACTCCTCCCCTTTTGTGAGGTAGAAAAGTAATCAATGTCAGACCAGAACTCTTCGCAATTTGAATTTGCAATAACGTTGTCCTACTTGAGAAGTGAAAAAAGAAAAAAGCCAGATAGGACCGAATTTTTAAATTAGGCTTACTAATAAACCACTATAGGCTGCATTTGTTCACAGCATAGGCGTCGTTGAGGAGTAAAAAACAAAAGTAAATGAGACGGCTGTACGTTTATGTTGCAAATGGATTCACCTTGAAGTGGTTTATTAGTAAAATTTATTCCTATTTAGCCTTGTACATTTACATCTTTTTTCTTTTTACATTTTTCTCTGACGTTTTTGAAATTAGGTGAATTTAACCATCATAAAGAAGCAAAGCAAGTACCCGTGTCACTGAACTTGTTGACCCTAAGAAGACTAAAAATCACTGAGCAAGAATCTGAATAAGACTCGGTATTAGACGAAGATTACCAGCTGCCGAGTAGAAAAACAGCTCAGGGGAGAGAGGCAGAAGTGAATGAGATTCCAGAACCAACCGTTTACGCGTGGGCAATAATCTTGTGAAAAAGAGTAGTGACTCACCCCACTCTGAATAAAGGAAATGTAAACTAGAGTCTACACCACTCACTCATGCCTACCAGCTATTAGCTACTGAGACATTGTACCTCGCCAGCGTTTCTCCAACGCGGAGCCTTCTGACAAATTTTCTGTGAAGAAAGGGTTCTCTTGCTTGCGCTTGAGAACCTTTCGCTACGCACTTAGGCTATTTATGTCGCGGATTTTCAGTTAAAATGCAGATTGAAGGTAACATACTCACATGGAAGCATGAAACAGGGGGTCTTAATATTACATGTATCTCCCTGGGTGGGTAGAGAGTCAATCACAGGGTTTCTCCTTTACAACGAGCATCGTAAGACAGTTTTTAGTCTATCAGAACGATGGCCAATCAAAGAAAGAGTGGATTCCTTACGACGTAGGAACTAACCACCAAGTTACGGATTGTTTCGTGGAGGTTTAGGACATTGGTTCATATGCGACACTAAGATGGCAAATATCACTCACTCACTCACTCACTTGGTCGCCCGAAGGCGGGCAACCACTAGATCTTTCCACAGCCTCTTATCAGCCATCAGTGTAGCAATCTCACTTGCTTCAAATGCACCAGTATCCCTCTTAAGAGTGTCAATATAAGTAGTATTCGGTCTTCCTCTCCCGCGATGGCCATGTGTGGGCTCCCATAGGACTAATTTCTGGGTACTTAGCTCTGGATGGCGATAACAGTGTCCCGCAAGTTGTAGCCTACGAGAGGCGATTTTGTTGCTGACTGCTGGTAGATCTCCGTACAGTTGTTGGTTTGGTATGTGGCTGCTCCAGTGGATGTTTAAAGCTTTTCGCAGCATCCTAGTGTATGTTCCATCCAACGACTTTTCTTGTGCTTTTGACAGAGCCCAGCTCTCGCACCCATAAAGTAAGATTGATTCGATGGTGGCTATGAAGAATCTGATTTTCAAATCTTTACTCATATTGGACTTCCATATTTTCGTCATACCATTCAAAGCTCTCCAAGCCTGCGCTTTCCTTATGCTGATGTCTTTTTCTGAGTTATCAACCCATGACCCTAAATATTTGAAGTCATCCTTCCATTCCAGATAAGTACCATCAAATGTATGTAATGGTGTTCGATCATCAATGTTATAAGCAACTGATTTTGTTTTCTTAGCATTCAGTACCAGGCCAACTTTCTTGCACTCTTTTTCAACTGTTAGCAGTAATTCCTGAGCTTGAGCTATTTCATCCGACAGTAGTGCTATGTCGTCTGCGAAGTCTAAGTCAGCAAGAACTACTTTGGGGTGTCTTCTTGATCTTCGAGGGGTGATGGTAAATCCCAACTCTTCTTCTTTCCCAGCCATAGCTTTACTCATAGCATAGTCAAGCACGATTATAAACAGGAAAGGAGCTAATGTGTCGCCCTGCAGTACACCGGTTGTGATGTCGAACATCTCTGTTTCTCCATCTGGAGAAACCACTTTGGCCTTTGTATTCGTATACATCATCTCTATAGCTTGCAACAGGTTAGGTGGAATCCCATAGGCTTTAAGAATACGCATCATTTTACCCCGATGAATTGAGTCGAATGCCTTCTTGAAGTCAATAAAAGTCATGACAGCTTCAATGTTATTTGCTTTAACTCCCTCGATTATTCTTCTGAGTGTTAATATTTGGGCCACTGTAGATCTTTTGGGCCGGAAACCGTTCTGGTTCACTCTGAGTCGGATGTCAATTACACTCCTGATTCGGTTTAAAATCAGGCGATTATACTTCTTGGCTATGATGCAAATCAGGCTGATACCCCTGTAATTATCGGTCTTTGACAAGTCCCCAGATTTAGGTACAGGGATGATGTTCATATAGGACCACAGATCAGGTTTGTCATTTTTTATCGGAGCTTGATTGCAGAAGTCTAGACATATGTTGTCAAAGTCACATAACTTGAATACTTCAGGTGGTATTGCATCCGGGCCAGCTGCTTTCCCGATTTTTAATGAAGATTTCACTTTCTTGAGCTCTTCTATAGTGAACAGGCCGTCATTGATATCAAGGTCCTCAAAGATGTTTGGAATTTCTTCGTCCAGATCTTCTACCTCTGGGGGATTACCCAGGAGTTTCTTAAAGTGGGTGAACCATGTGATCACTCGTTCCTCAGGGCTTGATCCCTCTACTTGACCTTCTTTAGCTCTTTTCCTTCTAGTAATCTCATTAACTGCCTTCCATGCCTCATCATATTTCTGGGCTTCATGAGAGGCTTCGATGGTTCGTATTTGTCCCTCTAATTCCACTTCCCTTACTTGATCATATACTTTATACAGATTACTCAGGGCTTGAGACCAAGCTTCTTTATCTTCCTCGGTGTTGGTGCATTCGTACAGACTCTGCGCCGCCTGTGCTTCCTGGCGGGCTGATACCACTTGGGCGTTTGATGATCGGAGGGATTTCCTAGCTTTTGTTTTCTTAGGCAGGCATTCTTCCATAGCTTGTCTGTTGGCTTTAACAAACTTTTCATACTTAACCCCATTACCTTTAACTCAATACGTGGTATCTATTCTTGACAGCGACTGTGTATTTCCACTGTAGGTCTGGGTCAGTGGAAAACTGCTTCCAGTCATATTTCATCTTCTTGGCTGCTTTAGATATTCTAAGACTAAGCTTGATTTTAGCACAAACTACCCGATGGGCAGATCCCACTGTGCTGAAGGTGTTGTAAGCTTCAGCATTCTGGACGCTGTTCCTCCACTTTCGGCGCACTAATATGTAATCGAGTTGCCGCAACGATCCTGTGCTACCCATGAAGGTCCACAATTTTCCTGGTCGTTTCCTAAACTGAGTGTTAGCTGCTATTAGACTGTACTCAGATAATAATTCTACGAGGTACTTTCCATTTCTGTTAGTTAAATCATGATATGTGAATGGAACTTCATCCGGCCCTAGTCTTGCATTGAAATCTCCAATACAAGCAAGAAAATTATGTGCTGGGACATCTCTCAGGTCGTTATAAAATTCCTCGACTTCAACTTCATCCGCACAGTTAGTAGGTGCGTAAACAACAATCACAGTAGTCTTAGGATTGCCATCAAATTCAGCCGTCATGATTCTTTTGCTGATTCGCTTGGCTTTCAGCAGAGATTTTCTTGCTTTCTGACTTAGCAGAAGTCCAACTCCACCTTGGGATGCTTGTACCTCATTTCTCCAGCCTGAAGAGGTAACTAAATAGCTAAAACCGACCTTTCTAAACTCAATGGGGTCATCATGGATGATGCGATGTTCTTGCATACCAAGAATTTCTGTCTTGGTGTTGAGTGCATTGTTCAAGTTCCAAAACTCTGTCTTCATCTCTTAAGGTGTTTGCGTTGTATGTTGCAATAAATAGAGATTTCTTACAACGCAGAAGGGCCTGCAAACATCTGCTGTTCTCAGACGTTTCCCCCCATGAGACATAGTTTACGGATACGTCGTCATTCTGATGATCTGAAGATCGCCTAGCTTCAGTATTGCTGGCAGAGTTCCTGCTCACTCCCGGAGCTGGAAGTATAGGATTTGCCGAGTCTAAATTCATAGTGGTTGTCTAACAAAGCTATATAATTCGCATGGGTCGCCACGCCTCAAGTGAATACTGTGGGCCGAACTGGGATGGGATCCTCCCTACGCCCCCATTAGCCCCTTCCTCTAACAAGAGAATAATGCAGGAAGCACCACCAATGGGTATTGATGGGCATGCACGCCGTAACCCCAGCATTGGAGGCTCAGGGTGTACTGTCACTTGCCCAAGGTGAGCACCCAGACTATTGGAGGGAAGGAGGCGTCTTACTTCTCCATTCTAGACCGGCTCCAAGCTGGGCCTAGCCACTGCCCTTAAAAAGTACGTCGGCAGGCAGCGTAGTCGAGCGGTAAGAGCGTTAAGTGGAGGTACCGAGTTCACGCCCTGTTTTTATTACCTGGATTTGTTCTCGGTAGTCCAGAGTTCAACTCACCTGTCACGCTTATAATTTGCGTCCGGCCAGTCGGTATTATTGACCTTATGGGCCACAGTGAAAACCACTGGTTTATCAGTAATTGTGTTACCCCTTCAAAGTCAGTTTTTTCCTTTTTTATTTACTGGTGGGCTACGATGTAGAGTAATTATGTTACCCTATCCCGATGGGATTTGAACAAGAAACTACTAGAAGTCTACAACGACCGCGCCTTAAACGCTAAATATTTTTGGCATAAGTAGTTCATTAAAATTTATTTTTCCAACCCTACCTACTTTAATATCTCTCCAACTTCAAAATGCGCACTATTATGGTTATTCTCTTGCGCGGCATTTCGTCAAGGATAAATTGATTCTAGGCTTGGTTGCCAATCAATCTACTCAAAGCAAATTCACCCAACTCGAACTCGGTCCTTAGATTGTGTAGGCTTAGAATTCTTGAAAGCAAATAGACCGATTAAAGCGTAAAATACATATAGCACGTCAATGACCATCACAGTTTCATCACGTAAAGGCATTTTTTCAATCAGGATTGTGGTCAGCGTCTCAAGAACTATACAAAACGGGAAGTGTTAATAGGTATATGGCGTTTCAACATAAAAACTGAAATGTCAATAAAGTGATCATCTTGCCACAGTTTACTTTTCTTAAACAATATAATTTGGATTTCCTCGGTTTGTTTTGAGGATATCGCATGGCCGCGAGGAGAAAGGAATTTCTCTTCAAGTGTTGAAAATATTTAACCAATGATCCATGAGTAGATTCAGGGGTCGGCTGAGTGGACCGCTGCCACCCCTTTTCTGTAAAATTTAAAGAATTCTCTGGACGTAAAATAAATACTATGTTGGTTGCAAGTGTACCACGCCCCTTTCTGAATTTTCTAGATCTGCCCCTCTGAGCGTAGCGTTTTATTTCTTTGTTGATTTACCTGAATTTATTTTGCTGGGCTTAACCTTTTCTCTACCAACATGCAGGCCTGTAGAAAGAACAGCTAAAAGAAAAGGAGAATTCTTAAGAACTAAGAAAACAGTTCTGAGACGTCATTTTTCATTTTGCCAATATTAGCGTTTTGGTGGTTTAGCTTGCAGTTAAAAAACATATAACAAATTTGACAAAGTTTCCCCTTTTGAACGCCTAAATGTACATTCATTAAACTTTTGTCGAGATCCAGCTCACAACGCATTTAAAGTCTGTAAAGAAGAATATTAATATAACGCATACGACAGCAGGTAGTAATACCTCTTAGTAAAAGAAAACTACTCTATGGCTTTGAAAACAACACGTAATTTATATATTTTTTCTACCAGAATGCTATTTCATGCTTATGATTCCACAATAACTTGAACATTTCTTTTAAAAAGCTTTAGCTAATATTCGTCTTTTACACCTGTTTAATAGTGTGGTACTATATTTATTTTCAGGTTTTCCCACAACTCTTTGTATCCCGTAATACTGTCCTCAGTAATAGCTCTAAACATTATTTTTCTTTTTATTTAATATAAATACTATAGCTGGCTCTTTAGAGAATATGATTGTGGTACAGACTATAGAAGCAAAGAACAGCACATGACGCAGATATACCAGCGACTGTAATTGGCTGACCACTTATCCGGTGTCCTCAGCTGAATATACCCTGCGCGGGAAGATGATTGACTACACGTATTCAACCTCGTCCCCAGGCCTGGTCCACGGGGTCTTCTCTTCGATTATGGCGGGGGTGGGAAAGAAAGAGTCTTCTCTGGACTCTCTGGAGGCGAGACAATTTCGCTTTCCCAAACAGTCGTTGCAATTTAAAGGACACTATGGTAATTAACATAACGCTCTAAAATGGTGCACTTTCTAATTGTTACATTTCGTTCTGCACTGCAATAGACACTCTATACAAATTCAGTTTTTTAAAACCCAAAAGATCGTTTCTCGTCTGGCGATTTCCCATTGATAGTTTCACCTGAAAAATAATGCGCATTAATTTAGTTACAGAAAGAAAATTTTCATTTAATTCGAGATCAAATAGGAAGGATTTTCACGAGGCTAGAAAACATTCAAAAAGATTTGTAAAGACGTGATGATAACGTTATACTAGTAGGATTTTCAACCAGTTTAATCTACGATACACTTGGGTTAATGATTTCGGAGGATTAGTTTAGAATAAAATATTTTTATAGTGTTATTTCAATAATGATATTTCATGCACTAACCCAAAAATTCTCCAATTTCACCAACATGGCCTTTATTTTCGGCCCAGTTTCCGCGTCTCCGTTTAAAACACTTATGCCAAATATAGGCAGCAAAGAAGACCAGGAAGACTGTACCCAAACCAACGACAACTGTAATAAACATTGGTGACTTCAGATCACTTAACATGTTGTTGACCTCTAGTCCCTGCGGCTCTTGTTTTGCCCCAGAATCAAAGTTGGAATTCTGAAGATGGAGCAATTAATCAAAAAAGTTATATTAGCGCCTGGATTAACGGGAAAGTAGGTGAGGGCATTGTGTCGAAAGGTTCAGCCAGCCATTTTTTCACCTAGACGAAAATGACTGCTGCTGCTGTCGGATTCAGAGTGGGTTAATATTTTTTGGAACAAAAGTGGCCCTACAATTGAGTCCCGTGGGAATCCACAAGTAATTCTTTCCTTGACTCTTGGCCATTGATGACAATGCATCATCAATGGCCAGTAAACAGCAATCAATAAACAGGTGAGCCTTGCCATCGCGATTTTTTCCCAGTGAAGGAAAGAAATTTTCCTTCACATTCTTTCTCTTCTTCCTGGTGTATAAATGAGCAATTACAGCTCCTGGTAACGACGACATGTTTATCAGCTTTGACTTAATTGTGTTATGACTTGTTCCCCGAAGGGGGACTACTTACGTACTCTAAGTTATTCAGGCTGTATAGGTACGTTATGCCACAAAATAAACAAATAAAAGGGGTTTAGGTTTTTACTACTTTTGGTCTGAGATTGGAATAGATATTAGCCGTAACGCTTTTGCCTGTGAAATGGGTAAAGGTTAGTCCTATCTGGAGACTGGAACAAGGGCTTAGAATTGTGTGTGTCTTTTTTCATTTCTCATCTGAATAAGGGTGGCCAGGACTATTATGAATACGGAAAGAGTTCCAAGAAGCATTCCACAAACCCCGGCAACATTTATTTCTCAGGATTATTCATATGTTTGAGCCCCCCCCCCTGTCCCACCATCCCCCCTCCCGTAGAGGCTACTCAACAAAGTTTTATACGGGGAGGCAACGCTCCTAGAGAATAATGAGAATAGTTGTTTGTTCAAACAAGGTAAGATCTGTCAGGAGTATAAAAATTATAGAATGATAACCTAACTACCCCTAAACAAAAACGAACTATAACTAACCTAACTAAGGCCTGTTTTTCATGAATGCCGCGGTTTGATCAATTGAATGCCACCGGTGCTGGGTTTTGTATCGTATAATTGCAATGACTGAACTAGAAATCATACCTCGATGTTACCAACGAACTTGGTAATAACAGCGTATTTATCATCGTTGACTACAAATTGGACAACATCCTTGATGCAGTTTTCCAGTATAATGTTCCCCCCCAAAAGGATTGTTTTTGAATGCCACGCCATAGCCATGCTTCTCTTCGAAGAAATGGACAACAGAAAACAATGGATTGTTCTTTTTCTTGATATATTCCATGGCTGTGAACACCTCCTCCATCACTCCTTCGATCGACTTTTCATTGATCAAAGCGTTGTAGGCCTCATCAAGGTCCTCAAAATCTGAGTACACATAAAATAAAATCGGCTCGTGTACCTAACTTAGATCTTTCACTGTGAGTCTCTTAGAATTAAAGAAATATCCTGGAATAGTTTGGTAGCAAAAGACAATCACCTCTTACGTTCGCACCAAGATTCACCGCTTTCTGCAAACCAATGCTATCTCTTGTGGCACCAACCTATAAAACAAGGCGGATTGTCATTGCTCTCTATTGTTTACCCACGAAGCATGCACTTAAAAGTTCTTGCGAACTCGTTGAAACGTGTCCGTGCGTTCCAGATTGAATTTGAATTTGGAAGTGTTGGTTTTTAAGGAGAGGGGGAAACTGAAATACCCAGAGAAAAACCTCTCGGAACTAAGAAAAGAACCAACGACAAACTCAGCCCATATATGGTGTCGACGCCGGGGTCTGACCTCGGGCCATATTGTTGGGTGGCGTGTGATGTGCTGTCACCACTGCGCCATCCTTGTTCCCCCGTTAGGACGTCGCTAACATCAAGTCGACAGAACATGAAATTGTCATTGCATTTTGTACGAACCTTTATTTGTGCGACCACACCAAATCTCTCCACTGTAACGCCTGTAAAAGCTCTAGACAATGTCGCTACCAAAAGTGAACAGATGGTGAGACCAATCATTATCCAACCCACAGCGAGCAGTCGGGCAATTACAGACTTTGGCGTCTTGTCGCCGTATCTTCAAGAAAAAAATGCATTCAAAAGTTAAAACGTTTGAGCTATCTACTCAGAAAATGGTTCTACTTTCGTCTCTTGTTATTCTCAACATCGTCATCAGAGTCACCAAAAACGGACTGAAGAAAGAAGATTCGTTATCTTTTTTTCGAAATTACCTTGATTTATTATTCCTTGTGTACCGCAGATCAATCATATATTAATTCAATATTTCAATGGGAACATAATGACTTAAATCGCAGATCACACAAGATACCGGCTTAACCATCGGATGAATGCATTCACTGATAGGATAAGTTGTGGTTCAATTTTATCCTTGGTTTAAATTTTATTTCCCCGATTATTTCAAGCTCATTATCACACATTGATATACCAATCACCCTGGGCGTCCCATGATAGCTTCTCAAACTAATTTATTCAACATCGCTCTTGTATCTATATAAAGATGTACCTTTGCCTAGTTTCAAACAAGGAAGTTTAGAGCAGGTCTGGGCACGAGTCCGTTTATTATGGGATAAACAACATGACAGCGTCATAGTCAGAAAGAGCACTTTGAGGTTAGGAAAGCTCTCAAGTTTGGTGTCAATCGGGTCAATGTCGAACAAGATATAGCTATTTAAAAAGGTGAAAATTTTTAAGAGATATATGGGTTACCAGCCACACACCGTCCGGAAGTCCAGTTAGGTAGCAAAGCAACGATGACGGCGACGGCAACGATAACGGCAAAAAACAATAGGTTTAGACAAGAAAGGATAAAGCTTTTTATCCACTCTTGGTTTAGATTGGCAAAACAGCACTGAATTTTTGCACTTGCATCACGCTTTCTTGAACGTGAAGCGCGAAGAATATTAAAGCAGTACGAGTTCTTTTTTAAGGTGGCCCGCACCTATTGCATGCGCGTTAGTTATGTTTTAAAGTCGTGTTTTTCGGCAGGAAAGACTTAACCGATTTGTATGATTTTTGGCATCCTTAATAAGGAATGGTCGACCCTTAAGAAACTGTTATTATTTTCTTGTAGGTATAAAAAGAAAAAAATGTCGATAACTTCGAAACCCTAAGACAGATTTTTCTCTAACTTCAGCAAATAAGCCTCAGAGCTCTCTAGTTTTATAACTGCAAGTTTGAAGTCAGTCGTGACCGTAGAAATCGCTTACAACTTTCACAAATGTGTTAGCGTTGCATTTTAAGGTTAAATTTGACAAGCTATTTGTGCAGCGAGTTCTACGGTCACGATTGACTTCAGACTTGTAAATATAAAACTAGAGAGCTCTGAGGCTTGTTTGCTGAAGTTAGTGAAAAATCTGTCTTAGGATTTCGAAATTATTCACATTTTTTTGGAAAAATGCGGTTTAAAACATATGCCGATATCTCAAACGTTTTAATGCCTACAAGAAGATAAATGACAGTTTCTTAAAGGCCGACCATTCTTTGTTAAGGATGCCAAGAATCACAGAAATCGGTTAAATCTTTCCTGGCAAAAAAACGCGTTTCAAAAACATAACCAACGCGCACATAAATAAGTTCGGGCCACCTTAAGTAACGTTTTCCTAACCGTCGCCGTCGTCGGTTGCTTAGGGTCCCTAATATTTGTTATTTAATGCTAGAGTTTTCGAATGGCTGTATCTCGTTCAATATGGACCCGATAAACACCAAACTTAAGAATGACTATGTGGGTCTTAACTTGTTTATTCCATAATAAACGGACTCGACCCAGCCACTCTCGGTTTGAAATTAGGCAATAGCCTATAATTGTTTAATGGGCAAATCTTTCTTTACATTTTTTTCCTCAGTTAGCATATGCCTTTCATTCTGTGAGCAAGCTATTGAAATAAACCCTCTTAATATCGAAAGAGCATCACAATTTCAGTTATCTATGACAAAAAAAAAGAGCCAGATATACCGAATAGTTTCGTAGTTATTTCCTTTGTTATTGCTTCCAAAGAGCGGAAAATTGCTCAAATTGCTCAAATTAATTAACTCTCTCAACGTTTGGATTTAATTTGTGAATGCAGTGACGCCTTCTATGGGTTACTTCGTATGCTAATGAGCAAAAATGTATACTATGACGTCAGCAAAGATTCCTATAGAGCAGATGTGCCTACCCAACTGTTGACATGGTAACAAAAGCCCACCAGTAGCCGTCAAATATCTCGCGATAAAACGGCCTGCCAAACTCCTCGTTATTGGTCTTCGTTTCCTGTTTGAATTTAACAAGACAAGTCCTCCTCGATCAGTCGGCTAAGATCAACTTGCATAAACTGAGTAATGTTATGGTGGCGAACGGTATTAAAGCTTGTGCATTTGTGACTTTTTTTGTTATACACCAGGAGCCTATTATAGACGTATTTTGCATATTTCCCCCGGATGAGTACATTATTATGAAACGTAAGAATTAACTAATAGCGTTCAAGTTACTATTTTCCCTAAGCTAAATTCAAAAAATTGCCTAGAATTTTCTATAGCTTGGGGAAAGCTAAAACTTTTTAGATGACCGTTTTATTCATGTACAATTTTCGACGCTTAACTAATGAATTCCCTACGATTTTCTGAAGTTAAATTTTCCCATTTCACTCCCCAGGTTAAGCTATTTTTCGTAGGGAAAGGAAAACTTACATTTTCGGAATTGAAAATGCGATGCAGAGAGGAATCAGAAGAATTCTCAATTTCGTAAAACTTTAAATTGCAACTAAAATGTTGAGGAAAATAATACTGAAGCCCTTGCAATTTCGATAAGATTCAAGTTGCCCCAGGATGACCGAACGGATATAAATTTTTTAGAGTCACTTAGAATGCATTTTTAGAGATCTAAAAGTACTCTGAATAGCCTAAAAAGTGTTTTCAATGCATTTAAATACACAACAACTCTCTTTGGGGTTCTCTGGGTCTTTATTGAATAGACCATCGCGCGATACCCTCAGGGAGGGAGGGATGGGACAACAAAAGCTTACAATCGAGTTCAACGCATTAGCTGGCTAGAATCGCATAATGACTCACACGAGGCAGCAACTCACATATATACATGGGCTTGGCGCTAAACTTCCGTCACATGTATTTAATCCTGATAAACAGGTTTATCACTCACTAAATACACAACAACTCTCTTTGGGGTTCTCTGGGTCTTTATTGAATAGACCATCGCGCGATACCCTCCAAACCCCCAAGGAGAGAAAAGGGGAGTTAGTGAGTGAGACCCTGGCTCATCTGTTTAACAGCCTCTAATTTGTAGCGTAGTGAATGGTCTAAGTAACGCTCATATGCAGTCGATGTCCAATCGCCTTGTAGCTTAATATAATCGCTAGGCACGCCGCAGTGCAAGGCAAACGAAGCACCCCCTCGCCTAAAGGAGTGTCCAGAGAAACGCGAGCGATCGTAGCCGCAGAGATCCAGTGTGCGTTTCAGTTTAGTTGTGAATGTGGTATAAGTCAGTGTTTTAAGGACACCGTCCTCTAGGTAAGTAAAAGCAGGTTCTAAAGCAGATTTGTTACTTTGATAAACACCGGCAAGCTTGAAAGCGCGAGTTACCGCTGACCAAGGACACAAGGAGGAGTGAGCAATCTTCGGAACTGGAACCAGGAGAGTGCGATCTCGGTATTGGATCGTTTTAGACCAACGAACAACAAGAATGATGCCCCACGGGAACAATCGAACATCGCATTTCCGCAGGTGGCGCGTGGTGTCAAATTCCGTGGTGGAAGGTGGCAGTAAGTTTGACTTACGAAAGAAGGAGAAAAATGCGACCAAACATGCCGCCCAAAAGGTGCCGTCAAGCGAGGAGTCAAGATGTAAATGGCATTGCATTTTGTGAAGGACATCGGGTGTAATAGGTAGCTTTTGCGTCACACGTTCTCCATTAATTCGCTTTATGCCTCTCATGAGGAGAGTTTTCTGATGCTTGAATAAAGGGTCTTCAAGAGGGTTAGGGTAGCCATACTGTAGGTGCAAAAGACGGACAACGTTGAGATAATTGGGAATGCTGCGAGTAGAGAGTGTTCGTGCGAGGAAGACAATGTAACGGAGGAGGTAAATAGCGCGACAGGGAACTGGGGTATAGCCGAAGAAGAGACAGAAGCGAAGGTATGCTCGTAGCTGCGACTTATAACTTGCTGCTGTGGATTTGGCAAAGGCATGGTTGCGGTACATTCTCAGTTCCTCCTGTAGTAGCTGCTCCTGAGTACGGACTGCACCTGCCAGGGGAGAGAAGAAAAGGCTGACTGTGAAACCTGAGCGCGTTGGCGGTCGAATGCTAGAAGAAGGGTGTGGAAAAGTTCCTTTAGGGTTCTGCAGAAGGCAGAGTCATGAAGGCGTGAGATGGCATCGGCAACGGTGTTAGCCTTTGAAGGGATGTAACGAGCGGTGATTCGAAAATTGTTAGTAGCAGAGAGCCAAAATATGGAGCGTAACCATTGCATAACTTGGGGGTTGCGACTTGTGCCTTTGTTTAACGCGCGGATTGTCGTGTGGTTATCAGTGTGGACAACAATCCATTTGTCACGCAAGTACCATTTCCAGCGGTGTAACGCTAGGAAAACTGTAAAGGTTTCTTTGAGGTTGATATGCGCTTCTGTTAGATCAGGATGATCAGTAGCCCAGTTAGTGTAAAACCAATCACCCTGAAAGAACCCGCCTCCTCCGATAGGACAAGCATCGGTAGAGAATTCTTCCAAAACGGTTGGTGTTGAAGCAACAAAGAACGCTTTGCCATTAAAGACGCTTAGAAAACGCGCCCACCATAATAAATCGGCTCTTAGGGAGGTGTTAATGCGCACGTGGTGATGTGGGCGTGATAAAGTGTTCGTGACATCGATTATTCGCCGCAGGAATGTCCGGCCTCCGAAAACTACACGTGCTGCAAAGTTTAATTTTCCTACGAGGCTCTGCAATTCTCGCTTTGTGATTGATCGCTTGAGTAAGGTATCGCTTAATAACTGTCGAAGTTCGCATAGCTTGCTGTCGGGCAAACAAAGTTGCCTAAGCACTGTGTCGATCTCAATTCCTAAGAAAGTTAATCGCTGCGTGGGAGCGACTGCTTTCTCCCAGTTTATGTTAAAACCAAGTTCGGTCAAAAGTTTAATAAGTTCGTAATAGGCCAATTCGCACTCTTGCTTGGTATCGCCAATTATAAGAAAATCATCAAGATACGCGAGGATTGTCCGAAATCCCCGGCGGGCCATCATGCGCGTAACAGCTTGTGTTAATCTGTGAAACACCTCCGGTGATTTCGAGGCTCCGAAGGGTAGTTTATTATCGTACAAATACGTGACATGTTGATCTCCTTGAAACTGCCACGCTAGTCCAGTCGCGCGGTAGTTAGAAGGGTGGATTGGGACGTGGCGATAGGCACTCTTCAGGTCAATTTTTGCGAGGTAGGAGTTAGGTTTTATCTGTGATACAGCTTTTTCTACTGTTACATAAGAAAAGTGTTGCGTTGTGGCATAGGAGTTTACATTGGAAAACTGCGGTCTGCTGCAATCGTGTATGAGCCGGATTTTATCAGTGTCTGGTTTTGGGATAGCCCCAAGGGCACTAACGATAGTCGGCTTCACGTGGGTTACTACGTAATTGCCTTTGCTAATTTCCTCGCGGATTTGGTTTTCTACTTTGTCTCGTACATCGCTTGCGGTCGCCGATTTGTAGTTGTTAGTTTCCGCCGTTTTCAAAACGCTATCGCTAGGAATAATTTCAAAGCCGTTTGTGAGTCCGTTAATGATAAAGTCCCTGTCACGGTCGGTTTCAAGGTTGTCTATCCAGGCCTGTCGGTTAAGTGGGGATTTGATCATGGCTTGTGGGTCTATTAGAAGTCACGCTGTGGGCGCTGTTCGATGTTCGTGCTGTGGATGACCCTGGTTGCAATTTGGCACCAAGCAAACATGTTGAAAACGGCAGTTTGGCCAAAGGCATCCCGTTAACGAATTAAATTGGCGGCAAATTGGAGCTGTGGGTGAGGTTTGTGGTTGGCGGTTAAGGCGTGGGGGAAATCTCTGTGCGTTGGGTGAGGTTGCAGCTGGGGTCTGCGAAGGACGGCGTTTAATCAGAAATCTGGTATGAAGGTGCTGCGAGTCACTCCCCCATCGAAAGCCATATTCGCACTGTAATTTACGATACTCGTTATCGTACGCCAAAGCCGAGGCGAGTGTATGGGACTCGAGGAGTTCAGCAAATTTTATTGTGTAAGCCAGGTAATCAGCGATGGCGGTAGTGGTTGCTGATAGTTTTCCTGTTCGAAGGAGCTCGTGCATAATTCGCGAGTTTGCGGCGACCCACATAGAAAGGGTGACATGTTCTAATTTTGGTTTTCCCCTCGCTGAGCGAATTACAATTTTTGCCCCACTAGAATTATTTCCAATTTCTTGCTCGTCTTCGCGATTGTCATAAGTTCCCAGGTTTACAAAGTCTGGTATTAACAGAGGCTTCTCACCTTGTTTTGCGCTTGTTCCCTTTTGCTGTAGGCCAAGAAACACGTGCGGGTCGTTGTCTAGTCGGGGAAGAGTTGACGTGTTTAACGCTGGCGGTTTGGCCGAGGAAAAGTCGGTCGATCCTAGGGCCAGAAGAGATTCGTCCAGCGAGCCTGCACTTTCAATTTTCTTCAGAATTTCTTCCAAACCTCCATCGCTCGCTAGTGACTTTGTAGTGATGGGGTCGCTCGCACCAGTAGCATCTCCTGGAGAGGGTTTTTCGTTGACATCCTTTCGCAACTTTTTCAGTGCCGCTTCGAGAACGCGTTTCTGCCCTATGCTCAGCCCCAATTTCTCTAAATCCGTCGGAGTGAGGAGCTGTAGGGCTTCCTCGGTATCGAGATCCTCCTTCTTGAGGATATCCACACTCGTTTCTGTAAGTTTAGTAGCCGTACACCACGTGTCAAAGTTAAAGCTCGCCATAATTATTCGCACAGACAACAAAAGCTTACAATCGAGTTCAACGCATTAGCTGGCTAGAATCGCATAATGACTCACACGAGGCAGCAACTCACATATATACATGGGCTTGGCGCTAAACTTCCGTCACATGTATTTAATCCTGATAAACAGGTTTATCACTCACTTCAATGCATTTAAGAGGAAACCGTCGTTGGGTGTCCATGGTTTTTGGTGCCCACGTATTTCTATATTTTTTTAGATCTACGTATTTCCGTTTGTTTTTCCACTTATCATTTTTTTTGGGGGGGGAAGGGGCTGTTCTAAGGGGGGCTGGCTAGCCACCCAATCCCCCCTTCCCCCTGGATCCGCCCCTGGGTGTTACAATTCTCTTTCTTCCAAATAATGTTTTGTACTTACCATCATCCAGACAAATATCCCTGCTACAAACGACAGCAGAATTGTCAAGGCAACGATGGGGAGAGAGCTGCTAATGGCATTCCAAATTTCCCTATCCCAATCTTTGGATGAGGACGACTCCAGGAGAATCCAAAATTTTGATGAAAGGCAGGGTTTTTTTGTAGATTTTGTCCTCATCGCTTTGCACTGGAAGAATAAGATGAACGCTATCATTAAGGAGAAGACTGTGAAGTTGAGATCTGTTTAGTGCTTGTGTCTTGAAATTTATTCTTGTTTTGGTTCCTGCATTAAGTTTGGCGCAACACTTGTTCAAAGCCAGATCAAAAACGTAGTGAAACATCCCTTTTACTTCACTCGCATTTTCACCAGAATTTGTCGTGACCGGTGGTCTTAACAGCCATGATGCGTTAAGCTCTTTTGGGCAGACGGGTTTGATGCGCTTTGGGCGCTGTGGGCCATAGGACCGTACTAGCATTCGATCTACAAAACTGATCGAGTCTCAGGGGTGTATCCAGGATTTTTGTTAGGAGGGGGTGCACCACTAACTGACTGATGACGTAAAAAATTTTAAAAGCGAATACGAAGAAGAGGGCTTTTGACTACGAAATAACATAATGTGAACTGCTGAGAATACATATCAAACGATAGAGCAGATTTTGTATGACTGTGAAGCGACTGCACAGTGTTAATTAGAAAGCGGCCGCAGGTCATCCGGGGGGGTGCGCACCCCCTGCACCCTCCCCCTAGATCCGCCCCTGAGTCTTGCGAAAAAATTGAACAGACCATAGTTGTCACAAACAACAAAACAAATGGAAGCATCATCTAGCAAAAGCAAAACTGGACTGTAGCAATGATCGTTAATGTGCAATGATCTGCCAAAGAGAAGCTAATTAACTTTTTAAACTGCTTGGTTAATTTATTTCAGAAGATTTTTTCTTTTCTTCCTGCCGACGTAATAAAAGCATACTTACTCATCTGGGTCTTTTAGATGCAAATACATGATCACCTATGTCATACCTAGTACAAATTGACTTGTTTTGCAAACTGTTTTCACGCGACTGGTTAAAATTATGGAATTAACTTAAGGCAGGTGCTTTAATGAAGCTTTTATGGTGTCAGAGAAGAAGGCTATTATATGTTTATAATATATATATGTGTATATAAAATATATTATATGTTAAATTTTACATTCTATGTTTTTCTGAGAGTTAATAAAGAAGACATCTGGATGCAAGTTTGTTTCATTCATCTAACTTATCTCGTCAAATGTTCGACAATTATACAGGAACATTTTTTTAAGTTCTTCCTTTGCTGAAATGTGCTTTCATTAACAAGAAATTTTATCTATGAAAGTAGACGTATTGCAGCTGAAATACATCTCACGGAGATGTTGATTTTCTGACGGATTTGAAGAGTCACCCAGTCCCTTCCTCAGTCGTCTTCACTTGAGGCAATAGAAAAAAAAAAGGCAACGACTTTAAGGGGGCTGGTCCTTATTTAGAAAGAGCGAGGGCATGTTCAAATCCCCTTTACACTCTCCTTTTGTGGGGC